TCGCGCCGGGTTCTGGCCTCTCAGGACGTCACTTTTGACGAGTCCGTCCCCTTCTACCGCCTCTTCCCCTACCGCACTGCCCCGCTCCCCCCCCCGCCTCTCTTCCTCGCTCCAGGTGCTGAGGTACCAGACCCCCTCCCCCCTCAGGGTGCCGCTCCCTCAGGTGTGTCCCAGGTAGACCCGGGTGAGCCTGTCGAGGTAGCTGTTGACTCGCGTCCTGCGTCTGGGGGTGCTGAGCCTGGGAGTGCTGCGTCTGAGGGTGCGGAGCCTGGGGGTGCTGAGCCTGGAGGTGCTGAGCCTGGGGGTACGGAGCCTGGGGGTGCTGAGCCTGGGGGTGCGGAGCCTGGGGGTGCGGAGCCTGGAGGTGCTGAGTCTGGGGGTGCTACGTCTGGGGGTGCTGAGCCTGAGCGTGCTACGCCTGGAGGAGCCCTCTCCTCCCAGCAGCTGCAGGAGAGGTACCTCGAGTACTGCCGCCTCCGGAGAGGTGCTTCTGGAGCTCGTCCCGGTACTTCCCCTCCTACCCAGGAGCTCCCCCCCATTCAGGTGATCCGCGAGTGGTACACGCGGCGCTGCAGTCTTCGTAGTGGTGCTCCTGGTGCTGCGGACCCGAGCGGTGGTGCTGTTGCTGGTGCTGAGGACCCGGACGCTGGAGCTACTGCTGGTGCTGAGGACCCGGGGGCTGGAGCTGCTGCTGGGGCTGAGGACCCGGGCGTTGGAGCTGCTGCTGGTGCTGAGGACCCGACCGGTGGCGCTGCTGCTGGTGCTGAGGACCTGACCAGTGGCCCTGCTGCTGGTGCTGAGGACCCGGGCGTTGGAGCTGCTACTGGTGCTGAGGACCCGACCGGTGGCGCTGCTGCTGGTGCTGAGGACTCGGGCGTTGGAGCTCCTACTGGTGCTGAGGACCCGGGCGTTGGAGCTGCTGCTGGTGCTGAGGACTCGGGCGTTGGGGCTGCCACTGGTGTCCCTGCTGCTTCTGGAGACGCTGCGCGGCCGCGACCGTACTTCGTACCGCTCCTTCAGCAGGTTCTTGGTCAGGCTCCTCCTCCTAGTCCTCCTCCCTCCGTCGAGTGTCCTCTGCCTGTCCAGCCGCAGTCACAATTACCGCCTGCCTCGCCTCTCCCTGCTCCCTCCCCTTACGCTGGTCCCACAGGAGGTCTTACAGAGCGTCGTGAGCCTGAGTCTCGTCCTGCGTCGCCTGTTCGTACTGCTCGCACTGGTCGTCGTGTCCCACGTGAGCGTCCTCCTCCTGTCCCTGGCACTCACTACATGACTCTGCGTCCCTCCACTGCTCCGCAGCGTGTCCCGCTGCCGTCTCCTCCTGCGTCCTCTCTTCCTACTCTTCCTGACCCGGAGTCTGACTCCCGTCGTGCTGCCAGTCCCACTGTTACGCGTCTCCTCGCTACAGTTGTCACTGACCCGACCTTTGAGTCCTCTGCTGCGTCTGCTCTGGTCGCTGAGTTGGTTGACTTTGCTGCTCGCTGTCGCCTAGACTACGCTGCCAGCCTTGTCGCTAGGTCTGAGTCTGCGTCTGCCTGTCCTCCGTCCGTCGGGGGTGAGTGTGCCCTCGGCACGGACGTCCTTGAGGACAGACAGGAGGAGTTCCACTGCCTTGCTGCTGCTTTGCCCCGTCTCGTGTCCTTGCTAGTTGCCCCTGAGGGAGACCCGGATGCACCAGACATCCCGACCCCACGCTCTTACGCTGAGGCGATGGCGGGTCCCTACTCCTCTCAGTGGCAGACAGCCATGGACGCAGAGATGGCTTCCTGGAAGTCCACAGGCACCTACGTAGACGAGGTTCCCCCTCCTGGGGCGAACATCGTCAGTGGCATGTGGATTTTCAGGGTGAAGCGGCCGCCGGGTTCTCCGCCTGTCTTCAAGGCGCGCTACGTGGCTCGAGGCTTCAGTCAGCGAGAGGGAGTAGACTTCTTTCAGACCTTCTCCCCCACCCCGAAGATGACTACTCTTCGGATGCTGCTGCACATAGCCGCTCACCGCGACTACGAGCTTCACTCTCTTGACTTCAGCACTGCTTTCTTGCAGGGCAGCCTGCACGAGGAGATCTGGCTGCGCCGCCCCCCTGGCTTCACTGGGTCAGTTCCTCCTGGCACCCAGTGGAGGCTTCAGCGGCCGGTCTACGGTCTCCGCCAGGCGCCACGTGAGTGGCACGACACACTGAGGACGACACTTGCGGCTCTTGGGTTCGCTCCCTCTACTGCTGACCCGTCGCTGTTTCTACGCACCGACACCTCGCTGCCGCCGTTCTACATCCTCGTGTACGTCGACGACTTGGTCTTTGCCACTGCTGACACCGCGGCACTCGCCCACGTGAAGTCGGAGCTGCAGAGGAGACACACGTGCACAGACTTGGGTGAGCTGACGAGCTATCTTGGCTTGCGGATCACCCGGGACAGAGCACGGCGCACCATCACCCTGACTCAGTCACACATGGTGCAGCAGGTTCTCCAGCGCTTCCGCTTCACGTACTCCTCGCCTCAGTCCACTCCTCTGCCTACCGGTCACTCGCTCTCAGCTCTGCCTTCGGATGAGTCCGTAGAGCCGAGTGGCCCGTATCCAGAGCTTGTGGGCTGCCTCATGTACCTGATGACCTGCACTCGACCTGACCTTGCATACCCTCTTAGCATCCTAGCACGCTATGTTGCTCCTGGCCGTCACCGGAAGGAGCACATGGATGCTGCTAAGAGGGTGTTGCGCTACTTGTGCAGTACGTCGGGCATGGGGCTTGTGCTTGGAGGGCGAGACCGGGTTGTTCTCACAGGGCACTCAGACGCTTCTTGGGCAGACGACCAGGCTACTCAGCGGTCGTCCCAGGGTTACACCTTCAGCCTTGGCTCTGGCTCAGTTTCTTGGCGTTCTACTCGCTCTTCTTCTGTTCTCAGCTCCAGTTGTGAGGCTGAGATCTACGCCACAGCCATGGCTGCTCAGGAGCTACGCTGGCTGACCTACCTGCTGACCGACCTCGGAGAGCAGCCTCGTTCTCCTCCAGTGCTGTACGTCGACAACAAGGCTGCCATTGCCTTGTGTGAGGAGCACAGACTGGAGCACAGAACGAAGCACATCGCTCTGCGGTACTTCCTTGCTCGAGAGCTGCAGCAGCGTGGTCAGCTTTGTCTGCGTTACGTGGCCACGGAGGCCAACACTGCTGATGTGTTCACCAAGGCGCTTCAGCCTTGTGACCATCAGCGCTTTTGCACTCTGTTAGGCCTTGTACCTACTGGGCCTCACTTGCTTACCTCTTGACCTTGCTTGTACTGTGATCACTATATATATATCCCTACTTGTTTACTTTTGCTAGGTTGTGATCACTGTATCTCTTGCTTTGTTATAAACCTGCATGTGAACTGGTCTTGTGACCGCTTGCTTGTGCTCGGAATTTGTGTGGAATCCTTGAGATCCACCCTGAGCTTGCTTTGCTTTGCTTTGACTGGTCTTGTGACCCTGTGGTTGTCTCCCACTGCGCCTATGGGGGTGTGTCAAACATTGCATGTTTATATTGTCTAGGCTGTAGTGGGTTACACCTTAGGGGGTACACAAAGTTAGGGTTTCCTACTTGTACCAAACTCTGTTCTAGTTCATTCATTCCTGCTCAGTTATTTCTGACAGACGCCGCGCGTATTAATTACGCTGTATCGCTTCTGCGAGGCCCGGCACTGGAGTGGTGGCGACGTACCTTGGACACGGGGACCCCGACAGGTGTGACACATGCGGCAGACGGGACTTCGGACTCTGCTATTGGGAGGGCATCATCAATATTCGGTGTGGCCACGATTCGCACGTGGAAAAAGTGGGTCGCAGCCTTACGAGAGCGTTTCGAGCATGTATCCGCCTCGGAACACGCTCGCATGAAGCTGCGTACCTGGTCGCAGTTGGCTTCTGTTCAAGACTACACGGCGTCGTTTATGGCGCTCGCGGACCAAGTGGACGACATGGCGGAGGCGGAGCGGTTGGATAAATACATCAGCGGCCTCAAGTACGAGATACAGTTCGAGGTGCGCCGAAACCGCCCGACAACATTCAACGAAGCCGTCCGATTGGCCGAGAGCACAGACGCGCTGATGCAGTGGGCGAGATCGAGTTCTCGGGAGGGAAACCGATTTCGTGGACAGACCCAGCGGGCCACGATTAACGGAGTCCATGCGCCAGACCGCCCTTTTACAGGGTTGTGTAGCCGGGATCTCATGTAGTTTGGATATTTTGCAGTCAGTGATTTGCGCTAGGCTTTGATTGGTTGACGAGGTAGAGTCCTTCACGAGAGCTGAAACGAGGGATGCGAAGCGAACAAAAATCGTTGGCTGCTTCCGAACCACCTAGGCACGGAAATCAGGTTGGGTTCCGAAGCTCATTTCCGGGCAATGTGTCCCACCTCCGAAAAATCTCATGTACAGAAATCTGTTTTGCAATTGAGATTCACGGGCAAAACGGAAATCTGTCGCTCGCTGAACCTCCAGCCCAACTACTGAATTTCGCCTACACAAACAGGGTGACTCGAGCTGCAAGTGTTTTGCAATTGAAGCCAATTTCTCTTACTTGAGATCCTGGCTTTAAGTGCGGGAAGCCGGGCCACATGTATAAAGACTGCCCCGACAGGACGCAGGGAAAGAAGAACGACGGGAAGGAGCCGGGAAATGGGAAGAGTCAGTAACAGACGGGCCCCTTACTGACTGTGCTCTGTCGCCCGAACCCCACCATCCCCACCGAGTCGTGGTTCCGATTCATGCAATCGATCGCACTCGGACGAATAACGGGGGTGAACATGTGGATCACCCTGTGCTGGTTGTTGGCACGGTAAAAAAATAAAAATGTTCGTCGATGGCGGGGCTAGCCATAGCCTCTTCAATCTGGCGACAGCAAAAAAATGCAAGTTGCAGCTGGACAGGTGTCTGCCCGAAATTGACGCTCGCCTCGTGGATGGGACGCCTCTGGCGATTTTGGAAGAAACACGGACGGTGCGGATTGAGTGCGGCGACGATTTCGGCTTCAGCATGAAGTTTCTCGCGACGACGTTGGACGGATGCGACGTGCTCCTGGGGCGCGATTGGCTGCGACGGCACAACCCGATAATCGATTGGACGACGGGATCGTGCAGCATCAGCAAGGACGGGAAGCTGATTACTCTGCCCGCGTGGACTCCGGACTGCATCGAGTCTACATGCGTCAAAGCCATCACTATTACACGCCACGTCAACAGGGGTGCGCAACTGTTCGCCGTATGCTTGCGCGAGTTGGCAGCCGACACCGACGGAAACGACATCGAGAAGCTGTGCGCAGCTGTACCACTTGATTTAGTGGAGCTGATTCGACAGTACCATGATATCTTCCCCGACGATTTGCCACCTGGCCTGCCACCCGAGAGACCCGAAGACCACAAAATCCAGCTGGAGCCTGGCGCGCAGCTGACTGTTCGTACACAGTGGCGGTTGACTCAGCCCGAACTCGCGGAGCTTCGAAGTCAACTTGAGTCACTGTTGGAGAAGGGCTTCATCCGACCCAGTACTTCGCCCTTTGCCGCGCCGATCCTGTTCACACCGAAGAAGGACGGCGGCATTCGCATGTGCATCGACTATCGCGCGCTCAACCGGGTTACCATAAAATCTCGCTATCCCATCCCACGCACCGACGACCTCCTCGACCAACTTCGCGGCGCTCGCTACTTCTCGAAGATTGACCTACGCGGCGGTTACCACCAGATCAGGGTCTTCGCTGACGATTGTCACAAGACCGCCTTCCGAACCCGCTACGGCAGTTACGAGTTCACCGTGATGCCTTTCGGCCTCACGAACGCGCCATCAACATTTCAACGCACCATGAACAGGGTATTTCGCGATCTGCTCGACAAATGTGTAATCGTCTACTTGGACGATATTCTGATCTTTAGCAGGACACGCGAGCAGCACCTCCGCGACCTCGACGCAGTGTTTAAGCGGCTACAGGACAACCGGCTCATCACCAAGGGTTCTAAGTGCGAGTTCTTTAAGCAAGAGTTGGAGTTTTTGGGGCACGTCATCTCACGCGACGGCATCAAAATCGACCCGAAGAAAATCAAGACCATCCAGGAGTGGAAGGCCCCGACTAATGTCACGGAACTTCAGAGTTTTCTGGGGTTTGTGAATTATGTCCGGCGGTTTATCCCGAATATGGCGGGGATAACCGGCCCGCTGACCGACCTGCTGCACAAGGACAGAAACTTCGTGTGGGGGGAAGAGGCTGAGGCGGCTTTTCAGGAGTTGAAGCAGTTACTGGTGTCCCCTCCGGTTCTTCGCATCGCCAATCCATCCAAGCCGTTCGAAGTTGTCACCGACGCCTCGGATTTCGCCATCGGTGCAGTGCTACTCCATGATTTTGGCAACGGCTTACAACCGATCGCCTACGAGTCACGCAAGTTGCAGGCAGCCGAACGCAACTACCCGATTCACGACAAGGAGATGCTCGCCATCATTCACGCGTTTAAACTGTGGCGATGCTACCTGACAGGCGCCGACGTCACTGTGCGAACGGACCACAAGTCATTACAGTACCTACGCGCGCAACCCAACCTCAACCCACGACAAATCCGGTGGCTCGATTACATGGAGCCACATTTCCACTACAGGATCACGTACAAGAAGGGGGCGAATAACATCGCCGACGCCTTGACCCGACCAACAGTTCAAACCGCAGCTGTACTGATCACCCATTCGAACCCGCTCCTTTCGGGACTATTCACCCACGGCTACACTACGGACCCGTTCTTCACGACTGGAAATCACCAGCAGGCGACGACGCAGAAGGGGAATTATTACCTAAAGGCCGGAACTGACCGGATTTGGGTTCCCGCTTACCGGCTGCTGCGTGAACTCCTTATTCAGGAGGTCCATGATTCCAACCTCTCCGGACATTTCGGGGTTGATAAAACCCAGAAGCTGTTGCACCGTCAGTATTATTGGCCTGATTCTGCTAACGACGTGCAGCGATATGTGTCCTCATGCAGGGTGTGCCAAGCCATGAAATCGACACGTCAGCGGCCAGCTGGGTTGCTGCAACCCCTCGAGCCACCCGAACGACCGTGGCAACAGGTGACGATGGACTTCGTCACGGGGCTGCCAGCTGGGCCGTCCGGCAACGACGCTGTACTCGTCGTCGTCGATCGCCTCACAAAAATGGCGCATTTCGCACCTTGTCGCACGACAATCACCGCCGAAGAAACTGCACGCCTCTTCATCTCCACCGTTGTGCGACTACACGGCATCCCATCGGCGATCATCAGCGACCGGGACCCAAAGTTCACATCGAAATTTTGGAAGGAGACGTGGGCGCAGTACGGCACGAAGCTACAGTTCTCGTCGGCATACCACCCGCAAACCGACGGCCAGACCTAACGAACCAATCAGACGATGGAGCAGCTGATCAGGACAAACTGCCCCGACCCCGCTCGCTGGGAACATTCGCTCGCCATGCTGGAATTCGCGTTCAACAACGCTCCGTCCAGCACGACTAATCACTCCCCGTTCTTCTTGAATTACGGGATGGACCCGGTGGTACCTACAACGACTACACTTGACAACCCGGTCCCGAGGTCACAAACATTTGTGACAGAACTCCAAGAAATTCGCGAGAAGGCTGCGGACGCAATTCGCAAGGCGAATACCACTTCCCGCAAATACTCGGATCTCCTACGACGGGAAATCGTCATGACAGCTGGGCAACTAGTGCTACTCGACACGAAGAACCTGCATCTGCCCGGCCCATCGAAATTATGGCCACGTTTCTGTGGACCTTTCAAGATCATCAAGATGGTGACACCTGTCACCGCGAAGCTGCTACTACCCGACGACTGGCGTATTCACGACGCCTTCCACGTCAGCTTACTTCGCAAGTTCGTGCCTGCCACGACAGACATCGCGCGCCAGAACGCCGTCCCGACAGCACGACCTGTCCCGGAACCGACACTTGACCCGTCCAAGATTTTGGCGCATCGTGTTCGGCTCGACGCTTCTGGACGCCACGTGGATTTTCTAATCCGTTGGACTGACCGCACCAGTGAGGACGACACATGGGTGCCATCCGCCTCGCTTGAAGCTTCCCCGCTTCTTGGTGATTATCTGGCCCGCAAGCGAGCTGACCACCTTGCTTAAAGGAGGGGGATAGTGTAAGGAAAAACCCTTTTTCCTTACTGGGGTTTACTCAACCGCGTACAACCCCAACTTTCGGAAGTGCACGTTCGGCCGCTTTGCTTGCTGCCGAAGCAACCTCTCGTCGCCTTCGGTTTTCCTTGCCCAACCTGCACCCAACCTCGCGTTCCCGAGGTTCCCGCCTAGCTAGGTTGCCTCGCTATATAATCGCATGCCTTTCATTGTATCGTCAGTTCATTGAGTCACAGCCTCGTTATTCGTTATTCCGCGCAACTCTGTTTGACAACTCATAACAGTAACGTTTCAGTTGCCTTGTTACAGTAACGCTGGCGAGACTTTTCAGCTTCGGCAAGGGCGCGGTATTCTGCCGCGCCCTGCGGGTCAGTTTCGCGCGCTGAAGACGCTGCCTTCTGCTGTCGTTTCGACTCCTTTGCTGCCACGAGGATCGCGACCACTGTACGCGGTCGCGCCCTGCCGCTCGATACTTGGGGCAGAAACTCTCGATATGGTGAGCCCCAGTAGTACACTTCGAACAGTGCACTTTACAATTAAGATCATAAAAGCATATTTCCAACAGCATGCACCAATTAGATATGACAATGAATACTTGGAAAAGAGTACGAGTTTGGATGGTGAAGGAACATAACAAACAACACACCAGAACATAACAATGAACATAACCAAGTGATTTTTGTGATTATTAGGGGTGCAAGATCTCCGATTTGGAAGTGGTGGTAACTCCGATTTCGTGGACGAAAGGTATCATGGTCGGTCTGCCCCCACCCAGTTCAGAAAGCTTTCGCGCCAGGTTTCTGTAACCCTAGCAAGGTGTACAGCCACACTGTTTCCCAGAGAACACACCAGGTTGTTTGCTGCTATTCCTGGCCCCACTCACCGGGTCGCAGGATCCTGGTCCCTTGAGAAGTTTTATGTCAGAGAGCCCGCCAGGTAGAATGCGTACAAACGCTCCCACATCCTCGCCCCAGTAAACTTAGCCTGCGCTGCGCTTCATCTGCCCACGAATTTGAAGCATTTGATTTGACGGTGCAGTGCAGCGCGCGAAGCTGTTGTCCCTAGCCGTGTTTGGTTCGTCAGGGCAGAATTCAGAACGAAGTCAGTTAACGGAAAGACGCACCTGCCCGTGTCCTCCATAGAAGTTCGAATCGCATGTAATTGAGCCCCCATCACTGTTTCGCCCGTTCTGCCCCCTCCGCCAACGTACTGTACGTATCGCTCTCCGCCATTCCACAGCAGCAGCAGCTCCACTTGCACACTGTCCCCCCTGCCCACCTTCTTGCTTCCGCACTTCTCTCCTCTTCCCCCACCGTACTGTACTGTCACAACGAACCCCCGTGTCCGGACTCAAGACTGTGCGATAACCCCTCTTCGTCTACGTCCACCTCTCGATGTGTAGTGCTGTGCTGCACTGTACTTCATTCGCCAGCTTGAGTTACTACGCTAGTGCTGCAGCCATTCAGCAAGCCTTGGAAATATATCTCCCCACTAGAAACGCAACGAAAGAGCTCTCGCTCGTGAATCTTCCACTCCTACACATCGTATCGCTCGTCAACATGTTGCCACGCGTAGCTTATCTGCTCCTCTTCTCCGCCTTCCTTCTGCACTCCGCGTCGCAGGCTGACGCCGGCAGGAACAGCCCCCTCAAGAATACCTTAACGAAAATCCGATCCCTCCCGTCGAAGTTTTTCAAGAGTAGAAACCGCGGCATCGGAAAAGGAGGAAGGATATCAAACTCCGGGAAAACCCAGTCTTCCAATGGAGAGGGGGTGGGTCCGATTATTTACAATGGCGGCCCGGTCGTGGTCGGCAGGCCGACCGTGAATATCTACTTAATCTACTATGGCAACTGGCCCAAGGGTTACGGGCAGAAAATCATCGAGAACTTCGTGAAATCGCTGAGCAGCGCGAACGGGGCGCAGGGCGGCCCTGGCGAGAATTCCGTTAAGAACTGGTTCGCTATTACTGGGAATTACTACATGACGAACAACGAGACTAACAAGGACCGATACGTCGGTACAGAAGTACGTTCACTCTTTGGATGAGGGAAGCATAGAATGGGGTTAGGGTCAATCGGAACTTCGCTATACATGTGCGGCCTTCGCGACGTTCTCAGCCATGCCCGTCCGTCTCGCGCTATCTTACTCATTCGTTTGTCCGCGCCTTAGGATCCAGCCCGCTTAACGCTCGGAACGCTCCGCGTTGCTGCGTGCGCCGTAATGCCCCCCTCCCTTGTGTAAACTCGTCGCGGGTGCTCCTAAGCTGCGACTTGCTGCCCATGCCTGCTCTAATCTCCGACCGGATACCTGCTCCGCTCAAACCTTTCGCCGCTCTAATCTTTTCCCGTCCTTGTGTGTGTACCTTTGTGTCGCCGTCGTGTCGCTGCTGTGTCGCTCTCGCCTGCCGTGTCGCTCTCTCCAGGTGCGCCTCGCAGGAGTGGCGTACGACGCATTCTCGCTGGGCAAAGGGCCGCTCTCCGCCTCCGACATCGCCACTAGTACGTCGCCGCGTCGCCTCAGTTTTTCTCCGCGCTCTTCTTGTTCCTTGTCTTCCCAACTTGTGTTTAGAGTCGACTCAAAGTCTAGGGCCGTTCTCCGCCTCCCACGTCACCATTAGTATGTCGCTGCCTCTCTTCTGCTCCGCGATCTTGTTCCTTGTCTCCACAACTCTTCCGTTTTTTCTCACCGTGTTATATCCCTTCTTCCCCTCCCCCTCCCCCTCAACTCCCTTTTCCCTACCCCGCCCTCCCCTCTCCCTCCCCCTCGCTCCCTTCCATTTTCGGTCCCTTTTCCTTCTGCCCCAGTGCATTTTCGTATGACAACTCCCGTCACTCCTCACTTAATCCTTGCTGCCTTCCCCCCACTCTCCCCCTCTCTCCCTCCGCGCTCGCTCCCCACTTCCCCGTCTTGCCGCTCCCCCTCCTCCTCCCCCTCCCCCTCCCCCCTCACTTCTTCCCCCCCGCTCCCTTCCGCGCAGTCGCGCGTTGGCAGATCGGCAAGGGCAAGGCGCTCAAGTACGATGCGAACGGCGTCTACTTCGTGCTGACGAGTAACATCGTCGAGGTCGATGGCTTCTGCACCAACTTCTGCGGCTGGCACACCAAGGCCGCGCACTATCTCGGCCCCTTCAACCTCGGCTTCGCCGGGGATCACGGCAGCTGCCCCGACCCGTGCATGCCTGAACCGTACGTGCTCAATAGCGGCCCTCACCCTCAACTTCTTTCCCGCCCGTCACCCATTTCAGCCTACTTTGTGTTCCGTTCGCTATCTCTCGATTGCTTTGACGCGTTTGCCCCAGCGTCGCCTTTCACTCGTTTCAACTCATCCCCCCTTTTCTATCCCCTGTCCCCGCTTTACAGTGCCTCGCCTAACTGCAACACGGCCATGGACGCTACAGTGTCGACCCTCGCTAACAAGCTCGTTAACATCATCACAAACCCTGACACTGAGACCGGGTGGATGATGGGCGACGGTTCAGAGGTTTCCGATAACTGCGACAAGAATTACGGAAACGACACTGTCGAGGTCAAGTACGACCGTAACAAGGATGGGTTCCAGTACCGTTACAATCTCGTCGGCAATGGCGGCATGAGGTTCCTTATATCGAAAGCGTGGGACCGCGTCGAGAACACGTGCATGCTGCAGAATGATCTGCCCGTAAGTGTGGGGGGGAGGGCCAGAGGGGGGAGTGGGGGGAGATGGCGAGAAAGGGGAAGTGGGACTGGGCTGGGAAGCAGGGAGAAGTTGGCGTGGTGAGGAAGGAGATTGCTTGTTGGCTGTTGGGAAGGTTGGTGCTTTTGATTCGGCGTTGACTATCAGTGATGCTCCCGTAGCGTCTTGACAATCTGTTTTTGTTTTCTTAGTTGTTTCGCCTCTTTTCTCCCTTTTTGACTTGTGTTTTACAGGAGGAGAGCACGCCCTGTCCCAACATACCTCGCTGGATTCGCCCTCGCCTGTGCGATGTCTTCAATAAGTGTTGTTAATCGAACTGGCCTTCCCGAGGATGCACACTTCAAGTGCCACCCATGTTTTTTCCATTCCTCAGAATGCAATTGCCTCCAATGTCTGGAGACGTGTCTGCGTCTCCGCTCAAACATTTGTTTCATTATTTGGTTCCTGAGTTCCCCTTTCCTCCCTGAGCTGCTTGTGGTTGGCTGTTCCCACTGTGCTGCTGTCATAGAGCCTGCTTTTCCTTCGGCCCTTTGTTGTGACTATAGCATTTGTGCATGTATTGTGCTCTTCTTATGTCGTCTTCCTAAACAAGATGTTAGTGGTGATCGTGGTTGTTAACTGTAAGCTTTCTATTTCAGTTTTTGAACGAATCCGCTAGAATGGCTTCAAAGCAATTATTTGCTGTTGTTGATTCTCGTTCCATTGAACACCGTGTAAGACATACATATCGCCCGCAATCAACTTTATGGTGGAAGCGTAATCGATCTGTAACGCACCTTCCTCGGAACCGTCGCGTTGACCAGTCTCGCTGCGCCCCCCTGGAAACATGTTGACGCGACCAACCTAAAAACGAATGTGCTACACGTGCGAAAGGCGGTTCAAATCGCTCGTATGGTGTCGACACTTTTCCTAGGTCCGGAAACCCAAAACTGCGAGCCATACTTTTGTGAAATCCACCAAATTCATTGTGTTTCACTATTCAACTGCTTTTTTTGCGGTGGTGACTGATGGATAACCCTTGCCGAAACACCAGCGCGTTCAATTCAGAGCCGAAAACGCGTTGGGAAGCAGTCACCGTCAGATTGGGGCCGACCTCTGGCTTCAACCAGTCAAGATGAAGTGCATGTCGGACGTAGCGGATAGTCACCCTTGATAACCTGCATTTTCCGACACTCCTGATTCCTATCAACCCTGAGGTTGTCAGGCTGAAAGAATGCATAAACTACACCTTTCAGCATGTTTGGAAGTTAAGCAAGAATGTGAAAACTGCTGTTTTGTAAAAACCGTCTTACAACTCTAGTTAGGCATGCTGGCTCTTTTATAGCACTCGACACATCATCTTGGGGTTATCTACTCGGGGCAAGACGAGAGTCGATTCGAGCCGAGCTGGATAAAATAAAGAGTTTGCGCAGCTGGCTGCTGTAAAATGGCAGGGTAGCTGGGGCGCTGGGGCGCTGGGGCACTGGGGTGGGGCGCTGGGGGCATGTGGCGGCGAATCTGACCAGGTGCGGGGTCAACATGCGAGAAAGACACCACAGCCACCAACAACCACCAATCGGCTCGGCATTTCGGCTCGGCTTGGCTCGTTGTTCCATTACAGTACTGTACGGGCGATAGAATGGGCCAATAACAGACAACCAAGGCTCCGCCCCTGGCCCACAGGCTACGGAATATGGCTCATGTGACCATGAGCTGAAGCTAGCATACTCGTTACAAATTTCCAAGAATTGTTGCATGACCCGCAGAAGCGGAAACTCTCTCCTTCCCATTTCACACGGGCACAGCCATAGCTTCGTTCTGCCGTCCCGATTAGGAGAGGGTAGTCGAGTGTTTCGTTCGTAGGGGACACGAGTAGAAGCACTATCCGCGGGCGCGAGCTCGTCCCTCATCGCTCGTAGAAGCGTCGCTCGCCGCGTTCTGGCTGATCGAGCCACGAGAAACACACGGAGGGCAGCAGTTTCGCCAACAACCGGTAGTAGTGTGGTACTATCTACTGGTCCTTACTAGCCCCTGCGCTACCGGGCTTGCCCTTGATTATGCCGGTCCGTTGTGACTAAGCTTGCGAGCGACCCGTGCCGCGTTACTCGATACGAAGCCGCGCCTCTCTCGTTTCCTCCGACAGTTTTGCAACAGCTCGGAACTCGACCTGGTGACGTTCTAAGACGCTTGCCGCGTTACTCTCAAAGACAAGACTCACCACGTGGCCTTGCAAGCCTCGACATTCTTCCCCTGACTACCAGGATCCGCTTCCGCTTCACAGTTCCGACCTCCCCCAATCCGTGCTTCCGCATCCCCTCTTCCCCTTTCCGCGCGTGTCGCCATTGCGGCCATCATGGCCCTCCGCCCTTCCCGGCGCTCCGCCCCGCGCGGCCTTTCCGCCCGCCTCGTCCCCGTCCTCCTGCTCCTCCGCCTCTCCCACGCCGTTACCGCCGCCGCGGAGCCTTCGGGGAGCTCCGCTGCAACGGACGACGGCGCCTCGTCGATTCGCATCAAAGTTCTTCCGTCGCTGCTTCGCGTCGCGAATTCCCTCGCGAATCCTGGCGACCCTGCTGCGACGACTGCGGCCGTTGCTACTGGTGGCGGCGATGTAGCGGCGACCGCGTCCCCCGCCGCGCCTGCTAACAAACACCCACAAGCGACGACCGCCCACTCCCCATTCGGCATTCCGCGAAGATCTGGCTTCCGCGCTACGCGCGCGGCGGCTTCCGCCACTCCCGCTGCCGCCGCCGCCACCGACGCCGCCGCCGCCGCCGCGAGCAAAATGGCCGCCGTCCAGCCGCAATGGCGCAAAGGCCCGATTCGGTACTTTGGCGGTCCGGTTGTGGCGGCGGAGACTCTCGACGTGTACTTAATCTACTACGGCTCCTGGCCGGCGGGTAGCGGGCAAGAAATTTTTGAAAATTTTGTGCGGTCGTTAAGTAGCACCACGGAGCAGGGCGGGCGCAGAGGCGGCGGCGGCGGCGTGGCGACCGTGAAGCAATGGTGGGAGATTTCGGCGGGGTATTATATGGCGGCGGACGGGAGCAGTCGATACGTTAGCTCGAAGGTGAGACGGGGAAGGGAGGAAAGGGTGAGGGGGAAGGTGGGGGTAAAGGTGGGGGAAGAGGTGGGAGGGGGGAAGAGGAAAACGGGGGAAGAAGGGGAGAGGAGGGGCGAATCAGAAGTTGCTGCCAGCAGCATGCGGGTAACTCATCTCCGCTTACAATCACCTCGTCTTATATTCACCCCTGTCGCGCTCCTCCCGTCTCTCTCTCTCTCCCCGTCTGTTGCATCGCATGGCATGGCATGGCACGGCACAACGCCACCAGGTGCGGCTGGCGGGAGTGGCCTACGACGACTACTCGCAGGGGCGCACGGGGCTCTCAGAAGGCTTCGTCGCCGCCTGTAAGTTGCATAATCGTGCGGTAGAGTGCGGCGTGCGTGGTTCGGCGGGGCGTGCGTGGTTCGGCGGGGCGTGCGTGGTTCGGCGGGGCGTGTGTGGTTCGGCGGGGCGTGCGTGGTTCGGCGGGGCGTGCGTGGTTCGGCGGGGCGTGCGTGGTTCGGCGGGGCGTGCGTGGTTCGGCGGGGCGTGCGTGGTTCGGCGGGGCGTGCGTGGTTCGGCGGGGCGTGCGTGGTTCGGTATGGGTTAGCTATCTGTTGACAGCAACACAGTCTTCTGAGTCGTCGACTTAAAAATTCACTGCGTCCTACCCCCCTTCTTCTTCCCCCCTTCCCCTTTTCCCCCTTACCCTTTCCTCCTTCCCCAACCCCCCCTGCCTCGTCCCCCCCTGCTCGCCTTCCCCCCTGCCTCTTCCTTCCCCCTTCGAAGTCCCTCCCCCTGCCCCCTCCCATCCAGCCGTGAAGAGCGTACTGACGGCAGGCAATCTCCCCTTCGACAGCAGCGCTATCTACATGCTGATAGGCAGCAGGGACGTTTCCCTCATCAACCCTCGATCCCCTCTTGCCCCCCCTCCCCTGCAGCTGTGAAGAGCGTACTGACGGCAGGCAGGCAATCTCCCCTTCGACCGCAGCGCTCTCTACATGCTGATAGGCAGCAAGGACGTGCGCGCTCATCCCCCTTGCTCTCCGGCCCTCCCCACTCCCCTCTTCCGCCCTCCCCCCTCCAGCCGTCAAGAGCGTGTTGACAGCAGGCCAGCTCCCCTTCGACAGCAGCGCCATCTACATGCTGATAAGCAGCAAGGACGTGCGCGTGTCGGGCTTCTGCACGGACTACTGTGGCTGGCACTCCCTGGCGACGCACAACGGCGCCAGCCTTGTCTACGGCTTCCTGGGCCACCACGGGGCATGCCCGAACGGGTGCATGACGCAGAAAGGGTGAGGCGACTGGGGGGAGAAGGGGGGGGGGATGGGGGGGTTGGGATTGGCGTAAAGGGGAGCGTGGCGGCGCCAGCCTCGTCTACGGCTTCCTGGGCCACCACGGCGCGTGCCCCAACGGGTGCATGACGCAGAAAGGGTGAGGCAAGGGGAGGCGGGGAGGGGGGAGTGTTGGGGTGGAGCGTTGGGGGGAGAGGGGGAGGTGAGCGGAGGTGAGGGGGGTGGATGTTTACAGTGAGTGTGTTAGGGTTAGGGGTTCCTTCCTGGGGCACAACAGCGCATGCCATTGCCCCTTGGATTGCATGACAGCGCATCCCCCAATGTTAATCCCAATGGTCTATGCTACATTGTCAACCCTCTTTTCCTCGATCTCCCTCCTTCATCCTATCACACTCCCTTGCCTCTCATCCTGCCACCCACCCTTCCCCCCACCCCTCCCCCCACTCCCTCCCTTCTCTTCCCCACCTCAGCACCTCTCCCAACGACAACCCCGGGGTTGACGCAACAGTCTCCACTCTCGCGCACGAGATTGCCGAAGCTGCCACCGACCCTGACCTCCGAACCGGCTGGCTAGCTCCGTCGGGCGACGAGAATGCAGACCTGTGCTCGTGGCAATACGGCAACTCCAACCCTCTCACCGGGAAAGCCGTGGTGAAATTCGCCGCGGGAACAAGCGGTAACCAGTACCGTTACAACCTAGTGGGAGCGGGAGGGATGCGGTTTCTAGTCCAGATGAACTGGGATAGAACAAAGCAGAAGTGCGTGATCAGGGTTGGCGGTGGCGAGGGGGGAGGAGGCGGCATGTGTGGGGTGCTTCCTGGAGGGCTGAAGGAGCAGCTATGTAGAACGATCGGGAGTTGCTGTTAGGGGAAAGGGGGAAGGCTTTTGAGTCGACTCAAAGTCACCTTGGGTGGAGGCGTCATGTGCGGAGCGGAGTGCTTTCTGGGGGCTTGAAGGAGCAGCCGTGTAGAACGATCGGGAATGGGAAGAGCAAGGGAAGGGCACGGAAGAGAAAAGGAAGGGAATGGGAAGAAAAGGGGAGGAAAAGGGGAGGAAAAGGGGAGGAAAGAAACGCGGGTACGTCCAGTTCGGGCTATGTAACAGGGTGCTTGTTACACTCTCTGTAACAACTGCCTGTTGCTTATAGTCCTACTGTCCCACCCTCATCTAAGGGGGCCATGTAACCGGCTGCTTGTTACACTCTCCGTAACAACTGCCAGTTACCGGTACAAGCCTACGTTACCATCCTTAATGGGAGCAATGTAACAGCCTGACTGTTACACTCTCTGTAACAGCTGTCTGTTACAAACCTTCTGTACCTGCTTCCTCTACACATCTGTTTGAAAATGCATATACGGTGTTAACTTGGTAGTGGCTGCCATGTGGCTCGTGCGAGTGTGTTCGTCTCTGCTTTCTGCGCATGTCTCTGCTTGGTAGGCTCTATAGCTCGGTGCCATGCCATGTGGTGCGTGCATGTGTGTGTGTGCCTTCTGTGTGTACTGCATACTCTCTAGTATGCGCTTTACTGCTACCGTTACTTGCCTCTTGTTACAGGCAGTATATGACTCTACATGTAAAAACGCCCTGATTGTTACAATGCTGGAGAACAGCGAGTTGGCAAGGGCAGTGTATTACTGTATCATGCTGATTCGTTTCCAATGGCTTTTGATTGGAAGTTGGCTTTTGAGGAGGAAAACAGGCCATACGTTGCACGTACCCTAGTGATTCATTTCCAATACCGTATCTCGATACAGTCTGCTGCCACGGTCTGCTGCCACAGTCTGCTGCACACACCACACCATCCAATGGGTGGGACTGGATCCTCAATGGAACAGCAGCATGACAATATGATGAATCGGATCGAATAGTGGGTGCCACTGCTGTGATCTCATGCTCTCTCTGGCATGGCATGCCCTTGCCGTGCCACTGCTACCACTGCTACCACTGCTGCCACTGCTACCACTGCTGCAACTGCTGCTAGAGTTGTTGCTGTTGCTGCTGCTGTGACTGTGCAATCATGTTTGTAGCAAGTGTGAGGTCTTTGTGACATTGCAGCAGAGTTGCTGCTAGAGTTGTTGCTGCCACTGCTGCGGCATCGTGCTCACTAGCATGGCAAGGCCTTGTTGTGCACAAGGAAACCTCTGACAAGCGCAAGTTCCCTATGCACGCTTCAACTGCTGCTGCAGCTATTGTTGCTGCAGCAGCGCTGCCACTGCCGCGACATCTTGCTCACTGGCAAGGCCTTCCCATGCCACTGCTACTGTTGCTACGGCTATTGCTGCTACTGCTGCTACTGCTGCTGCTACTGCTGCTACTGCTGCTGCTACTGCTGCTACTGCTGCTGCTACTGCTGCTACTGCTGCTGCTACTGCTGCTGCTGCTGCTGCTACTGCTGCTGCTGCTGCTGGGATTCCACGAGAAGGTTGGTGGCGAGTGCGAGGTCGTGATGACACTGCAGCAGCGCTGCCACTGCTCCTCGACATGCCCTTGCCGTGCCACTGCTACCACCGCTGCAACTGCTGCTAGGGTTGTTGCTGCTGCTGGTGCTGCTGCTGAGATTCAACGAGCAGGTTGGTAGCGAGCGTGAGGTCATGGTGGCACTGCAGCAGCGCTGCCACTGCTGCGCTGCGATCAAACCCCATGGTGACGAGTGCACTGATGGATGGCTCTGGTGGGAAGGAGGCAAAGGGAGCGTGCAGATAGGTGGGCAGCTGGGAGGGGGTGCAGAGGGGGAGTGGGGGGAGAGAGGAGGAGACGGGAAGTGGTGGGAAGTAAGGAGTGGAACTACAATGTGAGGGCAGGCGAGCTAGATGGGGAAGGTTGGAGAGTGGGCCAACAGATGGAAGAACTTCCAAACAGCATAGGCACATAGGCACAGAGGCACAGAGGCACAGAGGCACCACACATGCACGCATGCACGCATGCACCCATGCACGCATGCACACATGCACGCATGCACACATGCACCCATGCACACATGCACGCATGCACGCATGCACACAGCAACATAGCAGACCACAGAGCGTGCGTGCCAGGCATGGCATACAGGGTATCCTAGCAGGGGAGTCTGTTCCGTTACTTGCTCTGCTTGGTGCTGCTGCCACTGTTGCTGCTGCCACTGTTGCTGCTGCCGCTGTTGTTGCTGTTGTTGCCGTTGCTGGTGTTGTTGTTGTTGCTGCTGTTGCTGTTCCAGTCTCGATTGTTGAAGGAACGGCAATCGCTCGTGTTCAGGTCTCTCACGCTCTTGCTCCTGCTGCTGCTGCCGTTGCTGCTGCTGCTGCTGCAGCTGCTGCATCACTCGTTGCAGGAACTGGGTAAGCACGCTGAGAGCACGAGCGAGGGCGGCGTTTATGTAAGTGCCAGCAGTGGCAAGCCGGTTGGACACTTGCTCTGCAACAGGGTCAGGAATCTGCATGCATGGGTGCATGTTTGAATACATGCATGAATGCATGTATGGATACACAGAAGGATGGAGGGAAAAATGGAGGGAGGGAAGGATGGACGGATGGCTTTTGAGATGCCACAAAAGTGTGTAAGGCAAGCCAGCTGTGGCAAGCCGGTTGGACACTTGCTCTGCCACAGGTTCAGCTATCTGCATGTGTGGATGCGAGGAAGGACAGCAGGACGGAAGGAGAAAAAGAAGCATGAGAACACAGAAATGTGCGAGTACATAAGGTCCGGTTGAGGTGCACTTCAACAGCAGTTACAAAGAGATTAATGTGGGGGAGAAAAGGGGGAGGGGAGTGGAGGGGGAGGAAGAGGAAAGTAGGTAGCAGCAGACGCAGCAGTAACAGGAGCAGGCATGGCAGCAGCAGACAGACGTTTATGCCTAAAAACGCATGATGTGACTTGTGGGAATCCGAACAAGAAGCTGACTCTCAACAAGAAACGAGAAGTATGATTACCGCGAGCTTACATATCCCCAGGGCACACATAAGCCTGAAGAGTGACATTTCTTTTACTAGTCTAAAAAGCTGCTATAATTCGACTCTGGTGTGGTTACCGCTAGCTTGCGTATCCCCAGGGCGTTGCAGCGGTAGAGCGCAGCAGCAACGAGCCCTGTGGCGCCAGGAAGGAGTGAGGAGAGGCCGTCTGACAGCAACAGCTGGTGTGGGGAAGGGCAGGAAACGAGGGAGCAGGAAGCAATGTTGAGTCGACTAAACAAGCCAACTAGGTTGAGTGCAGGTGCAGCAGCAACGAGCCCTGTGGCGCCAGGAAGGAGTGAGGAGAGGCCGTCTGACAGCAACAGCTGGTGTGGGGAAGGGAGAGAGCGACCACAAAGTGATGTTGGTGGTGACGTTGCCGAGAGGGGAAGGAAGGGAGGAGCGACGGGAGGAGCGAAGGGAGGAGCGATGGGAGGAGCGACAAGAGGAGCGAGGCGAGGAGAGAAGGGAGGAGCGAAGGGAGGAGGGAAGACAAGGCGTCAAGGAGAAAGGGACGGAGAAAGAAAAAGGAACGCGGACTTATGGTGCGATAGCTCAGAACCTTGCCCTCTTGTAAAGGAAAACCGGACGGGGTAACGCACACCTGCACACCCCCTCTCCCCCTCCCTCCCTCCCTCCCTCCCTCCCTCCCTCCCTCCCTCCCTCCCTCCCACCGTGCCCTCAGACGCACCTGCAAGCCTGCAATCATGAGCAGAGTCTTATCAGTGAATGGTATCCTGCTAGGAAACTGACCCTGTCACCTTGCCTTGCCTCCCAACCACCCTGCCACCCCCCACCCTCCCACAGTGCCCTGACACGCACCTGCAAGCCTGCCAGCATGAGCAGAGTCTTATCAGTGAAGGGGATTCGCGAGAAGAGGAGGAAGCGGGTTGAGGGGGGCACGTCGGCGTATGAGAGGAGGAGGAGGGAGGAGATGAGAGCGTAGGGACCGGGGGAGAGCGTGAGAGGCACGAAAGGGGCGGAGAGAGGAGAGGAGGAAGAGGAGGGTGGAAGAGTGAGAGAAGTTGGTGGGCCTGACGGGGGGATAAGGAGAGGAGGGATGGGGGGATGGGTAAAGGGGTGGATTGGAGGGGTGGGTGGTTGGCATGGGAATGAGAAGGAGCGATTGAGAAGGAAGAGGGAGGGAGAATGGAAAGGTGGAGACAGCAAGGAGACTAAGAGCGTGTGGGCGTGCGCACTAGGGTGTGTGTGTGTGCGTGTGTGTGTGTGTGTGAGTATGTCGGTGTGTATGTGTGTGTGTGTGTGTGTGTGCATGTGTGTGTGTGTGTGTGTGTGTATGTGTGTGTGTATGTGTGTGTGTGTGTATGTGTGTGTGTATGTGTGTGTGTATGTGTGTGTGTGTATGTGTGTGTGTATGTGTGTGTGTATGTGTGTGTGTGTATGTGTGTGTGTGTATGTGTGTGTGTATGTGTGTGTGTATGTGTGTGTGTGTATGTGTGTGTGTGTATGTGTGTGTGTGTGTGTATGTGTGTGTATGTGTGAGTGCACGTGCTGTGTATCAACAATAAAGCGAGAGCAATAACTGGAGTAAAGGGTAAGAGTGTACACTGCCGGCCAGCAGCAGTATGGAGGACCTTTGGGGATTTTCTAGGCGCCTCAAGAATAGGTGAATGAAGGGTGGAGAGGCTACCAGTGAGCAGCAGCTTACCCGTGAGAAGCAGGAAGATGACTTGCAGTATGGAGGAGACGAGGAAGGAGAAGAGGCAGAACACCTGCTTGGGGTGCGAGAGGTGAGTGCGAGAGGTGAGTGCGAGAGGTGAGTGGGACAGAGAGGCGTGACGCCCTTGCATTGCACGTTCCTGTGTGGTAACTTTTGAGTCGACTCAAAAGTCACCACGTTCCTGTGTGGCAGCACCCAGGATGTCGTTTCGTGCGAGGGAGGGAGAGAGTGGGACAGCGGTCCCTCAAGATTATTAAATTCTCAAAACTGAGTCCTATACAACGGTCCTTGCAGCAAGTCGTACAGGGCCTGTGCAGTGTTGTGCCCCTACCACTTCCCACGTCCCACTTCCCACCTCCCACCTCCCACACTGCACCGCACAGCTCTAACTAGCTCTCCCCCTTCTCCCATCTGGCCCGGGGAACCAATGGCGCACATTGATCTTCCAGCAGGAAGAGCAGCGGTGGTATGAGAGGTCATTGAAGCAAAGAAGTCCCCCCCCCATCCCCCACCCCCCCCGCACAAACCTATCCCTCCATTTTTCCTTTCCCCCAGAGAACCCCGTTCTGTGTCAACTCAAAACTAGGCTCCCAGAGAACCCCTCCCTCCCAACGCACGGTGAACCTGCAGGGGCCCGTCTGGCGCTCGTGCGTGCGCAGCAGGAAGAGCAGCGGTGGGATGAGAAAGCACCACAGCCAGGTAAGTGCCCCGCCCCCCTCTCCTCCCTCCCCCCGAACCAACCTCCCCCCTCCCCCCTCCCCTTCCCCCCAAGCACCCGATCAACGCACGGCGAACTTGCAGGGGCCCATCTGGCGCTCGTGCGTGCGCAGCAGGAAGAGCAGCGCGCAGCCCAGCAGCAGCGCGGGCAGCGCGGGGAAGGGCAGCGGCGCGAGCAGCAGGCGCCACAGGTGGTGGCGGAGGAAGAGTGCGGGGTAGGAGAGGGAGGCGTGCGCGGCGCGCGGGCCGAGCGGGAGGAGGAGCGAGGAGAGCGCGGAGAGGAGGGCGATGGCGCAGGTCACGGGGGCGCCGTCTGGGGGAGAGCGGAGAGAGGGAAGGGGGAAGTGGGAAGGAGGCGTCAGTGCTGTGCGACGAGGCGTCAGTGCTGCGCGACGAGGCGTCAGTGCTGTGCGACGAGGCGTCAGTGCTGTGCGACGAGGCGTCAGTGCTGTGCGACGAGGCGTCAGCGATGGTGTGTACTCCGAGAACTGCCGTCGTCAGGTTCTACGACTTAACGTTCTACTTACAAAATCCTGCCGGTCCAGCCAGACTCATGCCGGTAGCAGATGTTCCGTGCATTCCGGAAAAATTGCATGCGTTAGAGCTAGAAGCGTGACAAGTAACTGCGTCGTTGTGACCTCTCAAATACCCCCTTGTAAACTCCAGCCACTTAATTCAGGAAAAATGATATGCGGAGAGCCCGAGCCGCGAAAGAGTTACTGTCCTGGTCGAGTGCGACAAGCGCGATAGTAGAGGAACTCGCTGCTGGCGTGGATCAGGCAAAAGCATGAGTTACAGACTCCCAAAGCTAGGTACACTGATTTCAAGCTTTGAAGACAGACTAGCTATTATAAATTAGAACTTGGTGTTTTATTTTTTACAATAATATAGACTACTACAGTCTTCTGAACTATTAAAAAGACATATTTCACTCAATAATGCTATGAGTGGCCTAATTCTTTCTTAGACAAACCGCATATGTTCAGACTTATTGCTGCAAACAAAGCTCCTTGTGATTAACCAAGAGGTTCCTGGAAAGTGAGGTGCTATTCCATTGTTACAACTAGAGTGTCCCTTAGTAGTAGCATCCATACACACTTTCCACAGCATTCTTGTTAGTGTTATTGTTATTGTTAGGCAGTAAAACAAGCAATCTGGAATGCACTGTAGCTCCACCCATCCCACGCTATCCGCTTCACCAAAATTCCATCAGGAGCTCGCAACGGTCGTGATTACTGTAGACGGTTGCGCAACGCGGAATGGAAAAATGTCTTTCTTTTTCTGGCGGCTGCGATATGCAGTGCTCACAATGACACGCGATGGTAGAGACCTTGCAGATTCCGTATGGTTCTTTTTGGGCTTTACTCTCTGAAAATCCGCAATCCATACCCCACATTCGGGCAAAAATAAGAAGAGGGAAAAAAAGGGCTGGGGGGGCGGGGGGAAAGGGCTATACGGGCAGCACGGGCAACCGAAGTCAAGGCAGATTTTTGTTTTACTGTACACTGAATCTGCGGGTTACAAAATATCATGCCACCATTCAGGTCACATGGTCGATTGGCCAGGTCAGCGTCATCCTGCCGTTGCAGTCAAGCCCACTTGGCACTCACGGTCACAACAGGTAAGCCTCTACGCCACGTGACATGACGTAATTCGCTCGCCTTTGGAAGTTTCGCCATATGTTTTTTTTTCTATCGCCCCTGTTTTGGGCAGCAACAGCAAGCAGCCCATCAAAAGACAAACTGTACACTTGTGGGACCTACACAGCACTGTGTTCTGTTTCTGAAAGAACGCGGAGCAGAAAATAAATATCTGATGCGAAAGCACTAGCGCCTCCCCCTCCCTCACTCCCACCGACCCCACCAGCAGCGCTGATTCTACTCGTTCCGTGCATAGTAGAGCAGAGCAGCATCGTCCTCTCTCTTGTCTTACGTTTTTTTCGTTCGCCAGTCGCGACAGTCATGTTCCCATTCCATCGTCTGCCAATTATGAGTCGCACTTAGTTGCTGATTAGCGCGGACTGGACTACGCTTGCTGCAGTCAAGTATTCCGGCAGTTTTACGAATCTTCGCATTGGACGATATAAGCTGCCAGGACAGAGCAGCATCTCGACAGCTAGAGCAACGTTCCCATGCTCGTGTCGACCAATGGCTGATAGACACGCACTCATAACTTAGTCCAGCAACACCATTAGCGTGAGCAGAACTCGACCTTTCGTTGTAACACAAACGTTCCACATTTTCCATATTGCGCCGCGACCGTCAAGACTCTGACAGGCTGTCAATATGAACGCATGTCACCGAACCTTCATGTTTGGACATCGCTTGCAACACCACGGACAGCTGCGACAGCTAGAAAATCGCCCACCGCCGCGGCGCGGAAAAGCTGCTCCGTGTAGTGCTGAAATCTCCACCCACTCACTACGAAAAGAAAGAATCCAAGTTCGTGCCGGCGCGCTAGTGTTTACATGAACCCACCCCGCTCCTTCCGCATCAATCCTGCTCCTTCTGCCTCGCACGCACTCTCCGCCCACCGCCCCCAACCCAAACCGTCACTGGTCCTGTAAAGCACGCCGAGACTCCGGCGACTCAGCATCGCTCGCAGTGTTTCCGTCAGGCTGATTTAATCCATCGTACTCTTCTTTTCACGTGCTTGTAAGAGGTTAACCCCGACTACGACAGCCTCGGCTGGACACTTTCTGAGACTCGGAGTCCCATTGCTCCCTCCTTCGCTCCATCCAGTCCCAGTAACGCCGCTGCCGCGCCTGCTGCGCCGTACGCGTTATGGACGACTCGGTACTCGTAATGCTTCCTGACGGCGCGGTGCGCCTCTACTCCGCCACGGGCCCCGGCAACCAGCCGGTCCTAGCAGACGCGGTTCTCACGGACTACCCTGGCTGCACGCTCGGCGTGTTAGAGGAATGCCTCACGTCTCTCCCCGCCGAAACGCCCTTGCACCCGGGCCACACGTATTACATCACCCCGGGCGCGGCGACTGCGGACGCGCCCGTGGCCGCCGCGGCCGCGACCCCCGCCGCGGCCGCGACCCCCGCCGCGGTCGTGACGACCGCGGCTCCGCCTCCCCGCGTGCCCCGCAGCGCGCCCTCTATCCCCTGCCCCTGGCAGCACCAACAAGGATACCCGACTCATAATGTCTGGACACCTGAGCCTGATTATGGCTTCACCGTCTCTTCTTCCACAGGAAGAACCGGCGCTTCTCGTTCAGATTCCTTCGGGGTATACACTGCGGACGGAGCATTGGCGGCCATGGCTGGCGGCGACGCGGAATCGTTCGACTTGTCCCTACTCCTATGGGGCTTCGACTCTCCCCTTGCGTCGCCGACCCACCCTCAAGGTGGGACGCCCGGTCAGCGGCAGCGGCTGCACCCGCGCCGCTCGCTCGAGATCACGCGCGGCTCGCAAAGCTGCTCGCACAGCCCTCTTGTCGACGGCTCTCCGTCGCGACACTCGCTTTCGAAAGGCCCTACTCCGAAGAGCACCCGCCGCTCCTCTCTCTCCCGCCAACTACGGCGCGGCACGCCGTGCGCTAGCTCCGCTCCCGCAGCGACGCCCATGACCGACGCCGCCGCTGCTGCCGCCCTGTCGGAGAGCTCGCGGATGCTTGCCAATGCTGGGCTTACTAGAAGCGCTGGTGCTAGTCCGAGTATGAACGGTGCTGATGCTACTGTTCCGGCGTCGACCGGCAGACCCAGGTTGCCGAAATCGACGGCCAGGCGCGTCCTTGCCGACGCGTCCGCGGCTGTTGCGGCATTCGGCCGCAGCTCGCGCGGGTCGGATCTGTGCAGCGAGGATGGGCTTAAGGAACGGCACCATGCAAGTGTCGCAGGCGTGATGGCTTGCGGGACTTAGGTCGCGCGGGAAAAACTACGTAGAGGTGGTAGCGGGGGGTGCGCAAGCAGGTATTAAAACCCAGGGTCCACACGTTTCAAATTTAGGAAGTATGGTTGGACTTTGTAACCCAACCAAAGGTAGGAAGGATGAGGCAACTTCGGGATACTTGAGACTCCGGGATGAATTTATTTTGTTCCCTACATTTGAATTTTTGCCCCCATATCTGCTAAAATGGGTGGCGTTCAGAGCAGATGATGTCGGAATATAGAATGGTGGATGGATTGTTGTACATTCCTTGGCTCACCCATCCAGTCACCCCATAGTTCCATGTGGTGTCGGGAGGAGCCCGGCCTTTTTTGTTCTTTTATTTCTATAATAAAATTCATGTGCGGTCGTGAATTTGTTCTCATATTCAGCAGAACCGGGTTTCCAAATCTAAGTCTGTCCAGGGCTGTTGTCTATCTTGTATCCACGAATAACAGGTGGATGTGAACTGGTATGAATTAGAATAGTATCTTCAAGAAATGTAGAACTACTTTACTCCTTTCGTAACATTCTACAACAGTGTAGTCGGTTGTTTCGTCTTGGGATGGGGAAGTAGATCTTGTAGATGCTGATTTCCCTTGAAAACCGCATGCAACGCTGGCGCGCCACTCCTAGCTCTTTTCCCCTCGCTTGACGCCACGTCCTTCCGATACCCTCCAAATGAGCTGGAGATTGCCACGTCATATCCAGCTCCGACCGAAAATCTTCCTGCCCCTGGAAGGCGGCGTCTGGCTGGGAACCCACACCTGCCTCCAACAGAAGAGAAGACATATCTGTGTTTGTACCTTGCATTGCAAATTTGCCGTCATTTTCTTCCTCTCCACCTCCAGGATCTTCTGTGCCACTCTTCTTCACTCCCCTTCTGTGTAAGCTTCTGCAGCCCATCCTTGGTCCTAGAAATCTCTTGGCAGCATTTTTTCTTTCTGGATTCTCAGCGCTGTTCATATGAACAACTCGGTGTCTTACCTGGTGTCAATCTTTGCAGATCCACCAGCTCGTATCAGACATGGCCAACCCCAGAGTGTTCTTCGATGTCACCATCGGCGGCGCTCCAGCTGGTCGCATCGAGATGGAGGTAAGAACCAGCGCCGTGGTTTGCGCAGCTCATCTTGCTGCTTGCCGTCGTGTGACTAACTAGTGTTATTGTCGTAATGGTTTTGCAGCTCTTTGCTGACGTCACACCCAAGACTGCTGAGAATTTTCGCTGTCTGTGCACTGGTATGTGCTTGCCGGTTAATCGTGATGCTACTGTTTTATGCTAAGTCACTCACAAAGCTCATCAATCGTAGTTGTTCTACAGGTGAGAAGGGTGTGGGCAGGTCCGGTAAGCTCCTTAGTTACAAGGGGTCGTCTTTCCACCGAGTGATTCCCCAGTTCATGTGCCAGGTACGCACACATCGTCTTAAAAAACAAAAACTGAGTATTGCGCGGAACTTCCGCTTCATCCTCTTTTTGTTCCAGTTCATTAACTGGCTCTATATTTTCCCTTTTTTAGGGTGGTGACTTCACTCGCGGAAACGGTACTGGTGGTGAGAGCATCTACGGAGAGAAGTTTGCGGATGAGAACTTCATCAAGAAGCACATTGGCCCTGGTGTGCTCTCCATGGCTAATGCCGGGCCCAACACTAACGGATCTCAGGTACTAGATCAAGCTTTCACGCTGACCCATTTCATAAGCCTAGTGTGCTCTTATTCCGGTTAACCTCACTTCTCCTTCCATTTTGTTTATTGGCAGTTCTTCCTGTGCACTGCGAAGACGGCGTGGCTGGACGGCAAGCACGTGGTTTTCGGACAAGTTGTGAATGGCATGGATGTAGTGAAGAAGATCGAGGCCGTTGGCTCCCAGTCGGTGAGATCTCTCCCCTACCCCTCCAAGTCTTGTCATTCTGCTACCAGAGTTTCCTCCCCGCCCATCCATGTCGCCCTCATTCCAGTCTTAACGCCTCACCGCGTTCCCTGTCTGATCTTCGTGACTTGCGCGCTTGAGTATTTTCGAGACGGCAAACTCAACGTCCCTACTCCGTTAGCACTCATTTGTTGCCCGTTCTCGACTGTCATGTTTTCGGTCTTTGCCCACTTGAATTGCTTGTCCTGTGCCACCAGGGTGCAACCAAGAAGCCCGTGGTCATTGCTGACTGCGGCCAGCTCTAGAAGTATCTACACTAAATTTTGCAAAGCGTCTGCCTTAGTGATTTGACGCGTGTATGTAATTGGGACTTGCCATGAACCCGTTTATGTTTTGATGCGGAAAAAGTGAGTTGGCTATGATACGGTGCGGTGGTCAGGCCACATGAGAAATGTTGAATGGAAGGAAGGCTGCTGCTTTTGTGGTAGAAAATGCTGATTTCCATAGCTTGGGCATGCGGATGTAACATTTGGTCTAGAACCAACCTACTGGAAAATAGTTTTGTCTAGAAGACAGTAGCATCAATGTCCGCTGTATGTAGAGTGTTCTCTTTAGGCAGTGCAACATTCAGGCAGAGCAGATGGCAATTGAGCTTGTTGGGCAATTACTACCGGTAGTACTACTAGTAGTATGATAAAAGCTAGTGCACACCATACATAGAATGGAATGTACGGTATAACGCTGGATCCTTACCCCTGGAAGAATCAGGTATAGTACCATAACTACCAGTACAACCAATACACCTACACAGCAACCTGAGGTAATATTTCCACCAGGTTAACATGAAGCCACATGGGTCACTACTGCTGACTGACAACTATTGAATGGCACAGTGCTACAAGGAAGTACAAGCCTCAAGCGCTACGAAAAATCCTTGCCTCGGCTCATCTCAGCAACTTCACCATGCGACAACTAGAGTCAGCCACATCACCATGCAGTGCCCCTAATTCCTCAATCTCTAGTACCGTACCACCTCCTTTCTCATGCCATCCGATCTGGTCTCACCACTACACCACGTGCACTCCCAACTCGACAAACACTGTTCATGCCACAACACCCACTCGCACCCACTCACACCCACTCACATCCGCTCACACCCGCTCATACGCCGGCGTGGCATGTCACACCACCTGGCTCTAATCCTTCTCAAGGCCTGGTTGAGGGAACACGGGCATGTCAACATCTTCATAGCTACGAAGAGTCATCCCCCCTGCCACTCCCAAGAACCCCCCACTCCCATCACCCGAACCACCACCACCAGCACCAACTGCACCACCAGCACCTCCCCCAACATTCCCACTCCCACTCGCCTCCCCATTCTCACTCAGCCTCCTGCCTCCCCCCACCAACCCACACGCTCCCGCCTCCCCCCCTCCCGCCCCCGGCCCCCCTCCCCCCCCTCTCCCTCCCCCCGGCTTCCCCCCATCCGCCCTCCGGTGAGCGTCAAGAAAGAGGACAACAACGGTGATGTCATCATGCACCATGCGCCGCTGCTTGGGATCCAGCATCTTCAGCTCTGGGAGGGAGAGGCCGAGCTTGCGCGCTGCACGTGTTATTGCCAGCCGCACCAGCTGCCGTGCTACTCCCTGGTGGGCAAGTGAGCAGAGAGGGCAGTGAGAGAGAGGGTAGAGGGGAGTGAGCAGAGACCGCTTCACTGTCGCTCACATGCTCCCACAGCCCGACAGTAGCCATCACCAGGAACGAAACTGGTGTGACTACCCCAGAACGCCCATGGCCCGATCCCTCTCATCTCCCAGCACTCACCGATCGCGGCTTGGAGTGAACGAGCTTCACCGCTTCACTATCGCTCACATGCTCCCACAGACCATCAGTCGCCATCACCAGAAAGCGGTGAGACTACCTGTAAATGCCCATGGCCCAACACTCCTCTCCCCAGCACTCACCGATCGCGGCTTGGAGTGAACCAGCTTGACCGCTTCACTGTCGCTCACATGCTCCCACAGCTCGTCCGTGGCCATCACGAGGGAGCGGTGGGCCGGCGCCAGCTGCAGCACCTCCACTGCCGGCTCTGCCAGCAGCAAAGGCTGGCACTGCAGCACACTCACCTCTACTACCCTTCCCTTTCCCCACTCCCACTCCCCCCTGCCAGCTGAAGCACCTACACTGCCGGTTCCCCTCTCCCTCTCCCATTCCTTAACGCACCGATCGGGGCTTGGAGTGAACCAACTTGACCGCCTCAGAGTCGCTGAGATGCTCCCACAGCCCGTCAGTGGCCATCACGAGGAAGCGGTGGGACGGCGCCAGCTGCAGCACCTCCACTGCCGGCTCCCCTCTCCCATTCCCCCACTCACCGATCGGGGTTTGGAGTGAACCAGCTTCACAGCCTCTGAGTCGCTGACATGCTCCCACAGCCCGTCCGTGGCCATCACCAGGAAGCGGTGGGCCGGTGCCAGCTGCAGCACCTCCACTGCCGGCTCGGCCAGCAGCGCGGGGCGGCGCAGCGGGCGGTCGAGGCGGAATCGCGCGTAGAGAGGGTCGCGCTGAAACTCGTTGTGCTTCAGATAGAAGTCGCCCAGGGAACGAGTCACCTGGGGAAAGTGGGGGGGAGAGAGGTGCGATGCGAAGTGGTTCAGTTGGGTGAGGAAGCGCGCGTAGAGCGGGTCGCGCTGAAACTCGTTGTGCTTCAGATAGAAGTCGCCCAAAGAGCGTGTGACCTGGGGGGAAGAGGGGAATTCAGGGTTTTGCGGGGTTGCAATGGTTGGTTGGACGGGTGTAAGGGGGGCTTCGTTGCGCTTGTGACAGGAAACTCTAAGGAGCGAGTGACACGGGGGGGGGGAGGGGAGTAAGTATGGAGGGGGGTGACGGAAAGTGGTTCAAGCGCAGCGGGCGGTCGAGGCGGAAGCGCGCGTAGAGCGGGTCGCGCTGAAACTCGTTGTGCTTCAGATAGAAGTCGCCCAGGGAACGCGTGACCTATGAATGGGAGGGGGAAAATAGGGGTTTGAAGTGAGGGGGGGATGGTTGGATGAGGGAACTCGTTTGTTGCATGGGTGTGGAGCGGTTGGGATCTGTTGTGCATGAGACAGGCATATCTCAGGGAGCGAGTGGCCTGGAGGGAGGAGTAGGGATCGGGGAAGGGAGGAGAGTGGTTGACGAGTGGTTGCGGCGCAGCGGGCTGTCGAGGCGGAAGCGTGCGTAGAGCGGGTCGCGCTGAAACTCGTTGTGCTTCAGATAGAAGTCGCCCAGGGAGCGAGTCACCTGGGGGAAGGATTTGGGAACGGGAAGTGGTTTGGCTGGGTACAAAGAGCGTTCGGAACTCGTGCTTGAAAAAAAACCTAAAAGTTTCCGGCCAATGAGTTTATGGGGTGGGGTGGATGGGGGGAACAGAGGGTGGCTTTGAAGGCCCACCCCAAAAAGCATACCTCCTTTTTCTTCACCTGTCCTCTCTTTCTTATTTTCTCCTTTCCACTTTGCCTTCCTTCCTTCCTCCATTCCTTCCATCCCTTTCCCATAAACCCAAACGCGCATCCACTTCACCCACTCCCTTCACTCCCCCCCACCCTCCTCCCCCTCCCCTTCCCCTCGCCCCATTTCTCCGACTTACCTGAATAATCCCTTTCACGCGCCACACTCCACTCCTCTGCACCACAATGCCCTTATCCTCAGGATGCAATCGCTGCACCGCTGCTCTCTCCTCCGCCGAATTCGCGTTGTGTTCCGTCGAAACCACTAACGGTCGCACCGCCCCCATCACCCCTCTCCTCACCCCCACCACCGCACGCGAATCCCCTAGCGAAGCCACTACCAGAACCGACCCCTGCGGAGGGACAAAGGCTACAATCGCGCATGTGCCTACTGCTGCGTATTGCGGGACCTGGCGCCACTTGCACCGTACGATCTCCAGGAAATTGGATTCGATCTGATTGAAGCTGTGATGGACGGCTGAGATGAGCTGATCTTGGGAGAGGTGGGAGAGGCGGGAGGGTGCTTGCGGAGGCACATGGAGTAGCTTGTCCTTTTGCGTGTCCTGTTGCTTGTCCTGTTGCTTGACCTGCTGCTTATCCTGTTTGCTTTGCGTCGAGCCTTGCTGTTGCTGCTGTTGCTGTTGCTGTTGCTTCCCTTCTCCCCCCGCTCCTCCTCCCGCTTCCGCCTTCGCATCCCCACCCTTCCCACTCTCTCCTCCTCCTCCTCCGCCGCCCCCCCCACCACCATCGCCCCCACCAGCGGTGGAGGATGCATGTGCATGAGCAGCAGCAGCGGCAGCAGCAGCAGAGGAGAGGGCTCTGGCGGTGCTGGCAGCACATGCACTGTCAGACGCCCTCCCACAGCACTCGTCCACCAACGCGCCTGGGGGGGAGCATTGGCGGCAGGGGGGGAAAGGGAAAGCGAGGAAAGGTGAGGAAGTGAGGAAAGGTGAGGAAGAGAGGAGAGGGCGCTTGCAGCACATGTGTTGTCAGACGCCCTCCCACAGCACTCGTCCACCAACGCGCCTGGACGGAGGGATGGGGGGGGGGGGGGGTTATAGAGAGGTATGGGGTGAGGGATGGGGGAAGGATGTGGGTAGAGTTGGGGAGGTATATGGGGCGGGGGGGGATGGGGGGGTGTATGGGGTGAGGGATGCGAAATGGTACTTACACACTGAACCAAGAAGCCTGCATAACCTTATCCTCTCATTTCACCCCGCCCACGCAACCTCCCCTCTCCCCCCTCCACTCACACACACCTTGCAGGTCAGGCAGCAGGTGATCGGCGCTGAACCAACCAGCCTGCGCATCCCCATCTACTAATCTCAACCCTCCCCTTCCCCCTCCCCTTCCCCTTTCCCGCCGCTCTCTCCCTCCCGAATTCCCTTCCCCCACCCTTTCCTCCCTTCCCGCCACCCTTTCCCCCCTCCCCGCTGCCCCTTTCCCTACTTCTCCCCCACACACACCTTGCAGGTCGGGCAGCAGGTGGTCCGCGCTGAACCGGGCAGCCTCTGCGCCCCTACCCACTCATCTCAACCCCTCCCCTCTCCCTGCCCTTTCCGGTCCCCTGTTTCCCCCCCGCACACACACCTTGCAGGTCGGGCAGCAGGTGATCCGCGCTGAACCGGGCAGCCTGCGCGCCCCCATGCCCGTCGAATATGCCCACGAACGTTCCCAGCACGTTCGCGTCTACTCTCGCCACGTCCTCGCACGCCACGTTGCCCTCCACCGCCGCCATTGACAGCTCGCCTGGTGAACGAGAGGAGGAGCAGGGGGAGAAAGAGGCGAGGGAGTGGGGAGCAGCAGGGAGAAGGCGGGGGCAGCGGGAGAAGGAGGGGAGCGGAGAGGGGGGGAGGGGCAGAGGGGAGCAGAGGGGGAAAGTTGAGTGAGGGGATGATCAGGGGAGACGAGGATAGGAAGGAGCAGCGCGTTCGCGTCCACCCTCGCCACGTCCTCGCACGCCACGTTGCCCTCCACCGCCGCCACTGACAGCTCGCCTGCATGAGAGGAAGGGCGAAGGGAGGGAGAGGTGAGATGCGGATGGAGGGAATGGGTGTGTGTGATGATTCACGTCCTCGCACGCCACGTTGCTCTCCACCGCCGCCATTGACAGCTCGCCTGGTGCGCGTGAGATAAGGGGCAGGGGCGGAACCGGGGGGGGGGGGGGAGGGGAAGGACGTGGGTAAGGGCGAACGGGTTGTGTGTGATGATACACGGCCTCGCACGCCACATTGCTCTCCACCACCGCCATTGACAGCTCGCCTGGTGCGCGTGAGAGGAGGGAGGGGAGGGGGGGGGAGGCAGCGGGGAGCAGAAATTCCCTGCGATGGGAGATAGGGGTGGGAGCAGAGCGGGGCACGGGAGCAGAGGGGGGGGGAGAGAGCAGAGGGGGAGAGGAGGGAGCAGAGGGGGGGCGGAGGGAGCAGAGGGGGAGCGGAGGGAGTAGAGGGGGGGCGGAGGGAGCAGAGGGGGAGCGGACGGAGCAGAGGGGGGGCGGACGGAGCAGAGGGGGGGCGGACGGAGCAGAGGGGGGGCGGACGGAGCAGAGGGGGGGCGGACGGAGCAGAGGGGGGGCGGACGGAGCAGAGGGGGGGCGGACGGAGCAGAGGGGGGGCGGACGGAGCAGAGGGGGGGCGGACGGAGCAGAGGGGGGGCGGACGGAGCAGAGGGGGGGCGGACGGAGCAGAGGGGGGGCGGACGGAGCAGAGGGGGGCGGACGGAGCAGAGGGGGGGCGGACGGAGCAGAGGGGGGGCGGACGGAGCAGAGGGGGGGCGGACGGAGCAGAGGGGGGGCGGACGGAGCAGAGGGGGGGCGGACGGAGCAGAGGGGGGGCGGACGGAGCAGAGGGGGGGCGGACGGAGCAGAGGGGGGGCGGACGGAGCAGAGGGGGGGCGGACGGAGCAGAGGGGGGGCGGACGGAGCAGAGGGGGGGCGGACGGAGCAGAGGGGGGCGGACGGAGCAGAGGGGGGCGGACGGAGCAGAATGAAGGGGGAAGATGAGTGGGGAGACGGTGAGGAGGGACGGGATAGGAGGAACCAGCCTGCAAAGGGAGGGTGCCCTCTACCGCTCCCCATCGTACCTGGCCTCGCCTCCCCCCTCCCCACCTTACCTGCTCCCCTCACGGATAAACGCTAGACGGATAAGAGTGTCTGTTTCACACAGGTGCCTATAGCGTGTTGGCAGTCGAGCTACCTGAAAAGAGCCCGGACAGATACATGCTATGCTACCACTGGCAGATGACTGACGGATACGAGGGCGAAATAATGGCCCGCTTCGTTCCATATGAAGCCGGCTATTGAGTGGACACGTGAGGCACGTGTCAGGCATCATCCAGTCGACACGTGCCTGACCTGTGCTGCGAGGCTATGGGCCGATTCATATGTGAAGCCCCCGCTAAAGAATTTTCTTGCTGACACGTGCCTGACCTATGCTGCAAGGCTATGGGGGCGATTCATATGTGAAGCCCCCGCTAAAGAATCATCCTCCGAACACGTGCCTGAAGGGTGCGGGGCTATGGGGCAGTTCCATATCAAGGCAACTTATGAGACGACTACGACTAGATACACCATCCTGCTGCTGACACATACCCGAAGGATGCGAGGCGATGGGACAGTTCCATATCAAGCCGTCGTCGTCATCGTATCCCGTGACCAGCCGCTGCTGCAACGCACTGTCGCTGTTCTGTCCCCCCCCCCGCCCTGCCCTCGCGACTAAGTAAATCGCCCTGTGCTGCAGACACATACCCGAAGGGTGCGAGGCGATGGGGCAGTTCCATATCATGCCGTCATCGTCGTATCCCGTGACCAGCCGTTGCTGCAACGCACTGTCGCTGTCACTGTCCTGCCCCTGCGCTCTCGACGGCCTCCCCTTGAGCCCACCTGCTTAAAGGGGAAGGGAAATGGGAGAGAGAGGAAAACGGGAGGGGAAGAGGAGGGGGACAGGAGGCGGAGGGGGAAAGGGAGGGGATCGGGAGGGGGAGGGAAGATATTGCCACACATTCCCACACGCCACCACACACTGCCAGGCACCGCTCCACACCACCACACACTGCCAGGCACCGCTCCACACCACCACACAGACGTGGGGAGAGAGATTTTGACGCTTAGAGATACAGAAGTTCAGAGATTCAGAGGTTCAGGCAGCTGCACGCATTGATAGCCATCTTATAATCCCGTGAGACACCCACATAACGACATGCAGAAAGAGAATCACGGTGCATGATTACGGGGAGAGAGAGAGAGAGAGGGAGAGAGAGAGAGAGAGAGAGAGAGAGAGAGAGAGAGAGAGAGAGAGAGAGAGAGAGAGAGAGAGAGAGAGAGAGAGAGAGAGGGAGAGAGAGAGAGAGAGAGAGAGAGAGAAGAGAGAGAGAGAGAGAGAGAGAGAGAGAGAGAGAGAGAGAAGAGAGAGAGAGAGAGAGAATTTCTATTATGGCACGAGACGCCATGCAGCAAACGGCAGCTCAGCAGTGAAAAGGGGGCTCTTCAGATGCTTTTGACCGAAGCAGCTAAGAGCGTGTATCCTGGTCGACCTCCCATCCTCATGCTCCCATCCTCGCATCCTCTCATCCTCTCGTCCTCACATCCTCACATCCTCGCATCCTCAACCCGAGTCCCGTTTCCAACCATCCGCGGCCCCTATGTGTGCCATATGCGACCCACTTCTTCGCCCTGCCCTGCCCTGCCTGGGCTATGCGACGATGCTTCTCACATGCCTCTGCCGCGTGCGACGCCTGGCTTCGCGCGACTCTATCTCGTGCAAATCTATCGCGTGCGACTGTATCTCGCGCGACTCTCTCACGCGTGCAACCCTCCGATTTCATCCCCCCTCCACCCACCCAAAAAAGAAAACGGTGCAATGCGGTTCGTGCCGTGCGACGGGGAAGGACACGTCGCCACGTTCCCCTGCCCCTGCAACGCGCGAAGCTTCGCTTCCATACCGCTTCAATCTCCCGGACCTCCTTTTTTCAGGCGCCTCAAAAATATACACGTTCAATTTCTTCAATCTCCCAGCTAATAATAAAAATATCTCCGCCCCTTTCGCAAAAGTAACTCTCGCTTCCTCGCCGCCCCTCCCTCGCGTGCCGATCTCGGGAAGGCCACCAGCGAAAAACGGCGAATACTGGTTACTTCCGGTCCGCGAGTCAATCTTATCACCCGCGCCCCGGGCTTGGAAAAAAAACTCCAAAATCGCGACGTAGAATTATGGTAACGGCGGGAACGGCGGGAACGGTAGATGGTCACTATCGATGGGAAGGCCAGCGGGAAGGCCAGTAGGGCTTGTCGGGCCTGTGGGGCTTGTCGGGCCTATCGGAGGAGGTGTTTGGGATTCAGATCCTTGCCGGGGCAGACGTTGGTGATCGGGTTTCAGGTTGTCCTGACACATGACGCGGGACGGACACGTAGGGCAGGGCAAGGCCAGGCAAGGCAAAAGGGCGACGATCGCCGAGACCGCATTTTTTGTGGTTTTTGTTTTTCCGAATAGCCAGGTGAAACGAGCTCACGCAGATTGCCGTGGGGAAGAGCGAGAGTGGGGATGTGGGGGAGAGGACGTTAAGAGGACGAGGACGTACCGAGAGCGCTAACTGACGCACTAACGTACTGATCAATTCGACGTAGCTGCTAATACGACGTACCGAGATGACGGTAGAGCCCATGGGGGGAGAGGCAGCCGAGGAATTGGTCGCACGGCCACGGCACCATGCAGGCCCGCTGGTATCGCCGCTAACAGGAGATTTCGTCGTTGCGATAAGCTCCGGACGAGAGGATGCTGAGAAGACGGCGCGGATCACGGCTCGCTGTGCGATCCTCTGCGGTTGCTCTTTGGTTTTCAACGCGTGCTGCTGCTCGCGCCTCGCAAGGCACTTGTCGGGCAAGCTGCTGCTTCGAACGCTGCGTTGCCTTCCCGTATGCACGCTGCTTCCTCGCCAATGACAGAATTGTTGACGGTGCGGTAATTAAGCGCATGAATGTGCGTCAGGGACTGATAAGGATAAGGCTGATAAGGATCAGCGGGAACTGTAAACTTTTAGATATTAGGGTTCGTGAGACCGACAAATCACGTACGAAGAGAATGTTTCTGCGGAAGCCCTAATGCCTGGTCGCGATAATAAGATGCGACTGACTAGGAAAGCTACTGACGTATTAGGGTTGGATATAATGGATCCAGTAGGCAAAATCAAACACCTTATATAGCATCTGCACCTCTCAGCTAACGCGAATGCGCTACAAGCAGCCAGGTTGTGCTATGATCTATCAATCCACGCTCATTCACTCGCGTAATGAGATCGGACGCGCGAATGCCAAGGTAGCTCTTGAACCTAACTACGGCCGACGTAATGAGCCGTGGCCCTTGGCCGTGCCTTGTCAAGCGCACGTGACCGTCTCCCGTGGGCAGGAAAGGCTTTGATAACGTATGCTGCTGGGCTGAGCGACGAGTCACGGGAACCAGCAAGCACAAACGAATCTTCGAACGGGGGAGGTGGTGGGGGAAGGGCGATGCTGGTGGTGTGCCTACGAGCGAAAAGGACGAAATCGCGCGCATCGGCGGAAATCGTGTTTGTCTCAAAAGAATCGACCCAAATTGCTCCCCGCTCGCCACGTGGGCGTTTTTCTCAATTGATTCGACCCCCTTTCCCCCGGACCCCCACCCCGTTTTTCCCGCCCTTGCCCTCCGAAATTCGGGCACCCGCTGGAATTTCGTGAAATCACAAAAAGTCACGAATACATGCTTTTTACATCATGCCAAATCCACCATGTAGTTGTGGTATGCCACATCAGCTTTCGCAATCGATAAGGCGCGTGTCTTTTGGTGTAGAGGTTCAAAATTAAGGTCGACCTTTTGGTGGTAACCGGTAATTTCGTTGAAAGCTGTTTGGGATAATCGTGTTTCCAAGTTTAAAAGATTGATGAAACAGAGGGACAATGAACTGGGGTCGAATTTTCACGTGCCCGTTTAGCCAAACGTGTGTTCTTCTTTTCATGCACAGTGAATGTGCGACATTCACGATAGTAACGAACGACATCGTACCTCGTTACTTCATCCGGATTAGTTTACGAGCTACGTTTTCAAATCGGGTAACCTACGAAACTGGGGCGCGACTCGGGTTTTACTGTATAAAGTCGAACTTCTGAAGTCGAACTTTGATGTGCCATGTGATTTTTGGGAGAAAAAATCGCGACTCGGGACCCAAAACTTGAGATTCTCGAGACAGGTCGACCTAGGTTCAAACGTAAAAAATCGACTAGAAAACATGAACTTTGTAATAAAATCCGAAAGAGACGCGCCCTAATTTTGGCGGTTGCTTCTCAATCTCAGGAAGCTCATATGCACGTTGATTGTATCGTATTTTTTTGGATTAGCCCATGCCAGTAATGTAGATAAGGGCGCAAAAAAAAAAAAACACATGACAAATCAACCTACAGTTTCTTTATGTTTTCTATATATCTACATGAAGCTTATTCCAGAAAAAAATAAAAAACTAAAATTTAAATTTCATAAAATTTTAACTATAGTAGCTCCACGGCAAATAAAAATAAATGTCTTTTGAAATAGGTAGATATTTTGTTTTATTGTACTTCTTGATATTATTTAGAATAAAAATATTTACTCGTATTACAAAGATTAAAAAAATATGTTACTGCAGTGGCACATAATTAATATAATCCATATTACTGCTAAATTTATCATTAGAAGTCATAGGTGTTCTGTCCAATCAGATGTCGCTCGCATGTTGAAATCTTAGCGTTACGAAAAAACATGTATTCGTGACGTTTTGTGATTTCACGAGATTCTAGCGGGTGCCCGAATTTCGGAGGGCAAGGGCGGGAAAAACGGGGTGGGGGGGCGGGGGGAAAGGGGGTCGAATCAATTGAGAAAAACGCCCACGTGGCGAGCGGGGAGCAATTTGGGTCGATTCTTTTGAGACAAACACGATTTCCGCCGATGCGCGCGATTTCGCCAGCGAAAAGGGTTGCTATTGATGAAGGTAAGGGCGGGAAGGAAGGGGGGAAATACTGTACAGTATTAATACACCTGATGCCTGTTTGAGCCCCTCCCGGTTGCCTTACGAAGGGGGCGTATAAGCTGTCACGAGCATTTCGCATAAGTTTCGTCAATTCGCAGCTAGCTAAAAAGGATTCGCATGTGCTTATAAACAAGATCTGTAACCTAGTTTGACTTCAGTCTCTTCTGCTTGACTTCGGTCTGTACCTAGTTTGACTTTGGTCTGTTCGTTACTATTGGTTGACGCGACGCGCTTGTAATGTAGGTGCATAAGGCTGGGGAAACGACCTCGGGTGCAGCGTATCCATCCGGCGCAAGGCAAATTCGCGTGCATGGGGTGAGCATCAGCTGTACTGTAACCGCATTCACAGCTGGGGATGGGCGGAGGGGGAGAAAAGGAGAGGCGATACGTACACGTCGGTGGGGGGGTGGACAAAGGGCGGAAAACGAAGGGCGGAGATGTCGAGGCAGGAGGTTCGGGGGAGAGGGAATTGTGGGCAGCCGTATGAATTGAGAAAATATATGGCAGTTTTGTGCGGTTGTTAGTGATGGAGTTCGGCGAACAGATGGATGCGGGGGGTTTGTTACAGAAAAGACGGCGAAGGGCTTGTTGTGGCGATTTGCTGGCGGGAAGGGGCTGGCTGGCGTGGGGGGGAGAAGCGGCGTGGAAGGGATTTGGGGAAGCTGAAGAAGGGATGGTGGGGGGGAGGGGAGGGGAGGGGAGGGGAGGGGAGGCCTGACAGTGATGGGTGGCAGGCAGGCCTGTCGAAGTTCCTGGGGCTCGTACTTGCGCTCCCCAGCTCCTCCCCATCTGACCCTTGGTTGGGTGTAGGTGAGCGTTTTGGCGCCCTTAACGGGCACGGGCGCACCCCAAAGTGAAAACTTGAAATCCGGGCATGTGCGAAGTTTGCACTTACACTGTATTTGGTTAAGTGAGAGAGCTGCTACGCTAGAGTGCTTCAGTTCCTTTGACGTGCTAAGGGAATGTTCGGGTGCTCCAAGGCTGACTGAGACACACTACACACACGAGATTGGCTAGAAAACGCTAAGGGAAAAATCCCCTCCGCGCGCTATCGTGCAGGCTAAGGAGAAGAGGGGGCAGGGGGGCGGGGTGGTTGTCTCTGGCACCCTGGGGGTGGGGGGGTCCAACGATCGGAAACCAAAACTTAGATAAAGGGGAAGGCCTGGTTTCGTCCCTTAACGCATCCGGGGAAGGGTCAAACGAAGCACTTAGTGGCACGGGTGGGGTGCGAATCTAAAACTTGACGCATTGGAGCTGGAGCGAAACTAGCCCTTAATGTCAGGGCATTAAGGGCATATGCCCGTCAATCGACAGGCCTGGTGGCAGGTGAACCATACGATGCTATCCACACTGCTGCGTGACCTGCGATTGGTCGATGAAATTAGTCGAGCTGGGACTGTAGGCCATGGGTGGGATCATATGAGCCATGGCGGAACCTCGTCCGTGGCGTGGCACCGCAATCGCCCGCCTTGCGGGTCGTAGCGCATTTTTTAAATACTGTTGCGCTTGGAATCCAGTACATTTGATTTTCGTTTCAATTACAGTGGAACTCTGTGAGAAAATATTCCTAGTGTACAACAGGCGACTAAAAGCGTTCTCCACATCATTGTCACTTTTGCCAAACCTTGGCGTTATTCTGCAGGTATTATTGGGGTCGCACCAAATTGATTGTATTGGGCTTACGTTTAATTTCAAGGCGTATTCGTGCTGGTTGCGTTGCACGGCTGTTGCTGCCTAGCATAAATTGTGTGGAGGCTGATGCTAGCTACCGAGGTAGAATCAGCACCACACTAGTTGTGGGACCGTTTTCCTAACAAAGCACCAAATTTGAACCTGCAGACTGTTAAATTTGTGCGCCCAAAAGGTGGTGTTCTGCATGCGGGAGCGTTAAATTTGGCGTGAACAGATTTGGCGTCTCTTATCACCAAATTCTGGTACGCAAAAGACCATCTATCAACGACGATTCTGCGGGCTCTATTTCTGGAAAATTAACGCTTGCAGAAAAGCACCGAGTCTGCTTATGCTTCATAACAGCCCAAAGCCTCACTGCTAGTAGTGCATATATTAGCTACATAAAAATCACCAATGTCATTTTCCACATTGTTTTATTTTCCCACTCTATTACAACCACGTTTGCACATTAAAACGCACTTGTGACAGTATCCAAGATCGTAAAAAAAAAATCATTTTTTAGCTTCACCAACGTTAAAATTAATATTTATAGTACAGCCATTAATCCTTGTTTTGGTGGTGACTGTTGTGTCTACACAATTCCCCAAGTTGTATCCTATAACACTTAAAAAAACGTCCGCATGATATAGACAACAGGGGGTTGCAGTACGTACGACTAAAAGTTAAGTGTCACTTTTTGACTTCAATCACGAAGAAAAAAAATTGCAAATACAAACTTCTGATTGATATATACAAACCAGAATAACGTTCGATTGTTTGTTGTGAGCCTCGTTGAGATAGCATTCGCGTTGGGAAGGATCATCATTGCCATATAGCCAATAATATAGAAGCATTTTTCCCTCCGCATCCATTTGAACGCATAAAACATGAGGTATTTTGTGAATGTTGCCATAAGTAACAATATATGGGTTTTGAATAACATTGATAAACCCAACACGCCCACGTTATCGTCCTCATACAACGTCGCAAAACATGCTCGGAGGCTTTATGCAACTAAGAGAGCTTGAATTGGCCTCGCGCAAAATAATCGATCCACCCTCAGTAAAGGCAACACCATGGAAATAACATCATATCTTCAATATAAAAATATTATTGATATGACATGTACGTTTAACGTAATGTCTCTAGCCCCCTGAATGGCTACGCTTATCACCGAACCTCGATAAGTCGTCACATGCTGATGCCATTAGATTTTACAATACACATTATTTGCATACCGTCATACCCCGGATATAAGCGCCACCCGCGGATAAGCGCCTTGCGCTTTTAATCGGCACCCGGTGCTCGATTATAAGCGCACCCCCTTGAATAAACTTGTTTTATTATAAGCGCACGTAAACTTCATATTTTGAATCGTGTTCAAAACACTGTAACGATTTCTACTTTAGCCGTGGGATGTGTTGCAGATTCGCTTCCCTTCACATTCGGACCCTGCACTGGATGCGGGTCCAGTCAGCAGGAGCAGTCAGGAGCTGTCAGAAGCTGTCAGAAGCTGTCAGGAGCTGTCAGAGTGGATGTATCTCCAGCGCGCGAGAGAAATTTCACATAACTTCGACTCGATTGAAAAAGGCAAGCACGAGATCTACAGCTTGGTGTTAAAAAATATATAAAATATATATGTCGTTTTATAAACGCCGGCGCTTATAAATTTACCCGATTATAAGCCCACCCCCCCTAAAAAAACCTGTTTTATTATTGCCCCCCATGGGGGTATATCCGGGGTATGACGGTATTAATGTCACGACAACAATGTCAACGTGTTCGGCATTATGATGATCATTAATCTCTAACAAACGGTCGGATGACATGCCGACATGACGATATCGATCAACAATATAATGTTGTTGCGGAGGTTTCGTCTGTCAATATTAGGGGTTATCTGGTTTAGTCTGGTTATCTGATCCCGAATATTCTTGTGAAGCGATGGTCCTTGAGTACACTATTATTTGGAATAGTGTGGTTGGGAACTAGCGACATATGGAAATGTCAAAGTTCTGGAGATTTTTTTTTTTACTATTGCGCAAGCAATCATGTCTGGTCAGAAGCGTTAAATAAACTAGCAATATATCATTTGTGTTGCATAGAAGATGAACATACATCATATTTGTTATAAATATTTGATGTTAATATTAGCCGACAACGAGGTTTGGACGAGCCATAATTTCATCCAGGAATATTACAATCTCTATGAATCTTGTAAATCTATATGAAACATCAGTCTAAAATAACTTACATTTTCAAAAATTGATCAGGTTTATTGGGTATATCCGATTTACGGCAATGAATGCAAAACTAGACTAGCCTTCAAACCAGGCTCAATGCATAAATAGCTTCAGACTAGTTTTTGTTTTTTTAAGGTTCATCCCAGCTGCCTTTGAATCCTTTGGTCTGCCCTAAATAAGCTTTTACCGATGTATCCTTACTTATACATTCCTGGCTGTATATGCATTGTTGTTATTAAATATTCGCTCTTATAGAGGGGTCAGTCGGATGCCACTTTCAACGGTCTAGTTTGCTCTGCTCCAAGGCGGGACTGCAGCGTAGTTTGGGCAACGTCCAGCCATCGCACCAACCAGACAAAATTCGTCGTTGGCGGTCGCTCAGCCGAAAAGAATCGCAGAAAGGCAAAGCACGGGAAACAGTTTCGAAGAACCGCGTCGTAACACACAGAAATGTACCAAACCGCTCACCACACGAAGAGGGAGAGGGAGATTCGAGATTCGAGGTTCGAGAAATGTGTCTGGTGGGAGGAAGAGAGACACCTGCAAGGAAATTTGTACTGACTGTTTCTCTCAGAAGGGACAGTCAAGGAACAATCGGAGGGAAGACAACTACAGCACACCTTCACCTCCCCTTACCTGCTTGTACCTGCTTTTTTCGTCCTTACAACAAAGTTCCTTGGATCAGCTGATCCGTGTGCTGATCGGCGTGCTGCAGTTGCGGGAGCATCGAGAGCATCGCGACTTTCTGCGGAGCGGTGCACCATGTCGTCTAACGAGAAGGCGACGGTGACTAAAGAGCAGAATGACCGCCATAGAAAGGCAAGGATCTGCCTTTGATGCCTGTCGCTTAGTTACATCTTAGTGGTTCGTTAGCTGGTTAATTAAGTTATTCGTACGGTTCTTCTTTGGCTCGTTGTTTTGTTTCCGTTTTAACCGCTTCTCATGTCGGATTCCGCTTTTGTAAAATTAGGATTGCACGAAATTTTGTAGTTTCGAAGGCTGATTTCAGTGATCGAATTGTGACCCGTTCTCTGGTCGCGGGTGTTGTGAATTGGCGTAATGGACGTAAACTCTACCAATAGATCTACTCGATAAATTTACCCCGAATTTCCATATGATTTCGCGAATGCGTTCGCTCCAGATGTTTCTGATTCGCGCGTCCTTTATCACCTCTCACTCATCGCGCCGATGAAGAGCATTTTACCTCATGTTTCCTCTCCTCACAGATTCTGGACGGCCTCTTGAAGCTCCCCGAAAACCGTGAATGCGCTGACTGTGGCTGCAAGTAAGCACTCTTCTTTGCTGCTTGTCCTCTGTATGACTCTGCTGACGAAGCGAAGCTCAGAATGCGAGTTTTCCGATTTTGACGAATCTGTTTCTGCTGTGATGGACAGAGGGCCTCGCTGGGCGAGCGTCAACCTTGGAGTTTTCTTGTGCATCCAGTGTTCTGGCATTCATCGCAGCCTCGGAGTGCACATCTCCAAGGTGAGTCCGTCCTCCCATCCACGTTCTCTGAATCCGTTTTTCGTCCCAAAACGCGTCACGCCATCATAATGGAAGTTCGACTCCCGTCTGAGACCTGGCGTTACTTCAAACTTACTCTTTCATGTCCTGGTCATGGCGATAGTTCATTGAGCTTTGCGTTAACATTTATATATTGTGCCTTCGTGATGTGCAGGTTCGATCAGCTACGCTTGACACATGGCTGCCGGAGCAAGTGGAATTCATGCAGTGTAAGTGACATGTTCCATGTGACATTTGTCGTGTGTCATGCACCATGCGCCATTCATGCATGCATTGCTGCTAATTCGATCCCCAATCCACTGTTCTCGGTCCCTTGTTTCATATCCTGCTCTCGTTATATTTTTCAATTTTGGTCTACTCTTGTCCCAGCTATGGGAAATGCCAAGGCGAATGCTTATTGGGAAGCGGAGCTGCCGCCACATTTCCGCCGCCCCGCAGAGTCTGACAAGGGAGCCTTGGAGGGGTTCATTCGAGCCAAGTAAGTTTCTGATAGCACAGGTGTCCTCTTCGCATCCACCTCCATGTGGTGACTGTAGCGACTTTTGAGACATCTCAAAAGTTAGAACGGGATCCTTGGAGGGGTTCATCCGAGCCAAATCTGAAGTAAGACAGGTGCCCTCTTCGCATATACCCCCATGTGTTGACTGTGGCCTTGTATATAAGAGCACGTGCACAGTTCTCTCGGTTTACTATTTCGGTTGATGGTTGCTGGTTGTCAATTTCTGCTTGCTGCTTGCTGGTTGCTGGTTGTTGGTTGCTGATTGCTGCTTGCTGCTTGGTGGTTGCTGGTTGTTGGTTGCTGCTTGCTGCTTGCTGCTTGCTGCTTGCTGGTTGTTGGTTGCTGCTTGCTGCTTGCTGCTTGCTGCTTGCTGGTTGTTGGTTGCTGATTGCTGCTTGCTGCTTGCTACGTGCTGGTTGCTATCTGCTTTTTTCTGGGTGTCCAAGTGTTTAAAGAACTCTTTCTTCCAATGCAGGTACGAGCAGAGGCGTTGGGTCCGGCTGAACGACGAGAAACGTGCCCGCATGCGGCAGAGCGCACTGGACGAGGATCGCAACAGGGAACGCGACCGGGACCGGGGGGAACGTCCCCGCCGGTACCACGATTCCGATTACGACAGGGACTGGAGCCATGGCGCCCATGCCTCGTACAACCGTGGTGGTGGCGGTGGTGGGGGTGGGGGTGGCAGAGGGGGCTCGTCATATGATTCATATGACAGCAAGTATGATCGTTACGGTGGGCCTGGGGACAGGGACAGGGGCGGTGGTGGTAGGTACGATTCTTATGGAGGCTACGATAGGGATCCACGGGGAGGCAGTGGTGGCGGGGGGTATGATCGTGATCCGCGTGGTGGGTACGACAGGGACCGTGGGGGAGGGCAAAACTCGCGAGACAGGGATTATGGGCGTAACTGGAACGAACCAGAGCCTCGCTCGCGTCCGGAAAGCAAGGCACCTAGCACCACGCCTGTAAAGGTACTACTTTCTCTTCCCAAACGCCTCTCCACACCTCCTTTTTGCTTTCCTTCAGCCTCCCATTTCTCCTCTAGAATTGAAGCTGCCCGTGCATGTACCACTCCTTGTTTTCTGTTCTTGTAGATTCTGGCATGGTTAATGGCAGGATCTGTTTCACTCTTGTTCTGTTGCGTCTCTGCTGCTCTGCTTTTTGTGTCCTCCCATAGGTGACCATGTCAAGCGGTCAGCCTGCAGCAGGAGCATCAACAACTCCGGTTCGCCCGCTGCCTGGCCCGGGCTTTTCCCAACCCCCCCCTGTGCAAGCTCCTGCTGCTGCTGCTGCTGCTGCGGCTCCTGCGCCTGCACCAGCGGCTGCTGCAGCCCCTGCTGCTGCCGCTGCTGCACCGCAGCCTGCTCAGACTGCCGATCTCTTTGATCTTCTATCGATCAGTGAACCAGCTGCTCCGGCTGCTGCCGCTCCTGGTGCGACCCCTGCAGGACCTGCCGCTGCTGCTCCTGCTGCTGCTCAACAAGCAGCTCCTGATGCAGCAGGAGCGTGGGCAGCTTTTCCTGGTGAGTCAGTGCACGTTTTCTATGCAGGATTCTTGGTCAAGGAAGCATCCGGCATTGAATTCAGAACGTCACCTTTTCTCCGAGTTCGCTCCTCTCTCCTTTTTCCCTGCCTTACTCCCTCTGACTCCGTCTTGTCCACTTGTTAAGCGGTCGTTTTTCTCCCCTCCCGTTTCTTTCTCCGTGTAACACTGTTATTCTGACAGAGGCTGCTTTTGCTGCTGCTCCAGCTGCCAGCGCCCCTGCTCAAGCTACCACAGCAGCAAACCCCCTTGCAGACTTGTTTGCTACAGCGCCAGCAGCTGCTCCAACTGCTGCAGCTCCTGCACCTGCAGCTGCTGCAGCAGCAGCACCCAAGAACGTCAAGTCTGACATCCTGAGCCTTTTTGAGCAGGTGTGTTGCTAGCTCGGTGCTGTTCCTGCTGTATTTGTACCCTGCACAGTAGTTCTCCATTTGCCTATTGAGGAGTCTGGCGTTGGTTCCTGTCTCCACCGTGCTTGTGTGTGTTAATTTATCTTCAATTCCCTGTTTCCAAGAGTCTCTATGAATCTTGTTTGATATTTTTTTTTTTTTCCAACTTTACAACCTTGGTTTTCTTCTTGTTTCCTGCCGCCAGGCACCTGCCAGCAGTCCGTTCCTGGCACAGCAGCAGATGGCAGCTGCTATGTTCGCCCAGCAGCAGTACATGGCTGCAGCTGCTGCAGCCGCTGCTGGTACCACTGCTGCACCCGCTGCAGGGGGTGCAGCAGTCAGCATGCCTGTTGCAGGGATACCAGGCCTTGCTGCTGTACCTGGTGCTGCTCCAGGTGCCGCTGTTGGTGGGGCTCCTGCAGCCGGGGTAAGAAGGAGCACACCAGTTGAAGGGATTTTGCCTTCTCATTCTCATGCAGATGTTTTTGAGAGTGCTTAATCATTCGTTCTCCAGCTGTATGTTTCTCTAACGAGACCTTCTGCTTCCCACCTTTCCTCTCCAGCAGGCTGGTGCCATGTTTGCGATGCCTGGTTTTGTGCCCGGGGCTGTACCAACATTTCCTGCTGCCGGGTACTTTCTTTTGTCCCACCGCCCTCGCTGCACCATCCAAACTAACCAGTGTCCTGTGATTTGTTCCTTGTCCCTTCGGTCGTCCGGTTTTCGATGTTGGAGCTCTGAAGTGGCTGTATTCTTCTTTTAGTTATCATAAACGTCTCCAGCCTGAAATTGTTGTCATTTTTCTCACTAATTGTTGTTATTTTTCTCACTTTTGTCGTGGATGCAGGGTATTTCCTGGGCAGGCAATGCCTGGTGGTTACCCGCAGCTTATCCCAGGCATGACGCCCCAGCTCTTCCCTGGCCAAGTGCCTGGAGCTGGCGCTGATGCTGGGTTTGGTATGCCACAGGGCTTTGCTGGCTTGGCCGGGGTGATGCCTGCTGCTGCAGCTTCGCAACCAGCGGCTCCAGCTCCTGACACAGGTGCCAGCTACGACTTTTCGTCCCTCACTGCAACAGCGCTTCGCAAGTAAATTGCCGCAATGTGGCTGCAATGTTCTCGTGATTCCAACTACTAAAATGTTGCGCCCTGGCGTAGAAGTTGAAACTTGTTCTCGTATTTCACAGCATAGTAACTTCAAATATGGCTGGAACTGAATAGGTTCTGTTTGGGTAACTAAATGTTGACAAATTGGATAACAGTTATGGACGAATTCTCCAAGTGTTCAGCATTGCTGGCCTCTAATTAGGTAATCAGGTGATGGCTCCAGGGCTTTCCGATGGTATCGGCGAACATGCCAGGTGGCGCGTGCGCGTTGGAAGCCGATGCCGTCCACGGAGGCCTTTTTCGGATTTCCACGTGCGTCCGCGTGTACTGAATCTTGCTGCTTCAGCGCGCCTGTTTGGTTGGTCGCCTGACAGTCCATTGGTAGGAGCCCCACAGTTGCTTTCCCAAGGCCTTTCCAGATCAGCACGCCGTTGTCAGTGCCACGAGGCATGGCAGATATTGTTCACGTGGCGGGCAGGGTATGGTGGAAAGGGGTAAAGTGCCGCACAAGCAAGAACCCATGGAATATTGGACCCGCCTCCTCGAGATTGTCTTGGTTTCATGGCTTTCAAGGGACCACCAAATCGTCAGATCGGAAAGGGCCAGGTGTAGGAATGTGGGGGAATGGGATGGGATTATGGTAGCCTAGTCTACCTGAAAAGTGATGTGCTTCGTCTTCCTTGTCTTGCAAATCAAGCTGGCTAGTTCCTGTTGGCTGGATCATAAGAGCGTGCCTGCCGTTATTTTCAAGCGTAGTACGCTTGTATCTTTTTGCTCCTTCTGCCGTGTGCCGGCCAGTTTCTACGCCTGCTGTCCAGGCTGCAGCAGAAGGCGTTTTCAAGCTGCGTTTTGCGACCCGAGTGCTGTTAACTGTGGAAGGCTTCGTGCCTCGCAGAGCTCGCCTTTTGTTCTTGGGTGGAAGCGGAATCATCAACTTCAACCAAGATGCAAACATGTATGCCCTATCCAGTGAGCCAAATGGGTGTTCGTACTGTGAAACTCCATCGGCATGATTCGACAACTTCTTCTTTCCTCATTTCTAGCTGTGCTAGGACGTGCAGTCCTCTAAAAAGTACGTTCACCAAGACGTGGCGACAGGATGGGCTGCCGCTGCCATGTCCGCCTGTTCGACGTCAACAATCGTTCGTTCGTGCGCGTGCTGCTGATTCGCCACCTCCTTCGTCGAGTAACCGTTCCTCAGACCGCACGGCGCAGCAGAATTCAGCCAATCATAGACGCGGCTCAGTGGCTCGGCGCGCCGCGGTGACCTCCGAGCCGACGCCGGAGTCTGGAGGAGAGGGGTCTATGCGCCTACCCTCCGCTGGAAGCCTTTTCAGAAAGATCGCATCGAGTATCCCCTTGCCTCGCCAATCGAGACCCTCTCAACCATCCTCCCCACCCACTACTTCAACGGCGAGTTCACCCCCACCGTCGACCGCAGCCGGAAATTCCTCATTTTCCGGTTCAACCGTCAAGTCCTCCGCGGGTATACGACCCAGGTCTAAGAGCGGGGGAGATACGGATCTGGACCCCAGTCGCGCGTTGCCGTTGCCCATGACGTATCCAGACTCGAAGCCGCTTTCGCTAGAGACCGTGGAAGACATGGTTCGCTGCGACCCTGAAACCCAGGTGAGCTTGGAAGCAGAAAATGAAGGAGCGGGACGGGGTGTTGGGAGGGGGAGGGGGAGGGGAAGGGGGGCGTTGGAGGTGAGGGTGAGAAGTGAAGGGGAGGGGGAATGGGGAAAAGGGGAAGGGGAGGGGGAAGGGGAGGCGAGAGGAGAGGAGAGGGGTTCTTGCATTGGTTCAATGCAGCACCTGCCACGTTTCTCCTGTCCGCCTGCTATGCATGCAACCCGGATTGTGCCTTTGAATATGCTCAATGTATGGGATTGTGCCGGATAACTCATGCTTACAGTTTGTCCCATGGCCTTCCCTGCAAACTGCAGAATTGCAAGGAGGTGGTGTTTCAGTGGACGGGCAAATGCAGTCGGTGTAATGGCGCAGGCTTTGTTACGTTTCGAAGAAAGAAGGGGAAGGACTTTTCGGGGAAGTGCATCACGTGCCACGGAATAGGTATGCCTTCTGTGCCATTTTTGTGCATTGCAGATTCGCATATCTTTTGCTACTCCAGCGGAAGTTGTGAAGTTCTGGTGTTTTCCTTAATTCCCTCTTCCTTTATCCTCATTTTTGTTGGTGTTCATCCGGATTGGCAGGGTATGTGAACAGATTCACTGTGAGGGATGACATCCGTGTCATGGAGGACCCGGACTATCCCTGGAACGATGAACGGTTGCTCTGATGTAGAGAAATGTCAATCGGTCAAATCTGTAGGTGGCATTAAAACGTTTGTACTGTTTAGAGGAATTGGAAAACCTTCCAGCTGAGCATATTTACTTGTGGCGTTTCATATTCAGGTGCCCTATGCATGTTTTGATGTAGAGAAAGAATCTGATGTAAGGTACCCTTCATATTCCATGTTCAGTTGTGTTTTCTTGTCGAGTGCTCTTGTAAGAAAGATGTTCGTATGACTCGCTCATTTCCTATCAAATCCGTTCGGCTGGCGCTCTGACCAGAGAGTTCGTCAGACACAAATCTATCATTTCGGAATCACATCCACTCTTCTCCTGCAAAAGAACCTATGCGACCCTCCATGATAGTCCATGCAAAAAGGCGACCCTCCAAAAATCTTCCCATATTGATCCACCCGCTTAGGGACTGCAGCGTACAGAAGAGATTCGCTGCCTAGCCAGCAGTGCGTCTTGATTGACGATCCGCGTCGATCAGCACCCATTCACGCCTCAACTGTAAAGCTCTTATTTCTACAAGATGACCGTCGAACGAGTTTGTTCTTCCCGCTCTTCTGCGCCGTTGGATTGGTGATCCAAGGGCAATTGTTAATTCCTAACAAATTCCCCACTTTCTCCAAGGCTTCGGCAGGAGAATATCATTGTTGCGAAAAGCTCCGTTACTTTAAGTTTCCCGTCGCCTGCAATCGCGCTGTCCTGCTACCATGTTTGAGAGCCTCTTCATTCTCGCCGATAACGGGTGAGGCTAGTAGCTGTTTCAGAACCGTACCGCACCGCACCGCACTCCATTTCAAGATTGCGCCTGTCTATGCAAATCTAGGATAGCCCTTCACTCTTTCCCCGTCCCACCTAAACTTGTTCCCCCGTTCTCCGTCCCCCTTTACCCCATTCCCCGTTCCCCGTCCCCTGTTCCCCGTTCCCCCGGTTCCCCCTCCCTCCTCCGCCGATCAGCGAGGTGATTCTGGAGAAGCAGTGGGGCGGCAGAGCGGGCGACAGGCGCATATGCTCGTGGTTCTGGTCGGTATTAGTCGATGCTAGCGCCGCCGCTACTACCACCACTGCTGCGGCTGCTGTTGCTGCCGGCACCGCTGGTACTGCGGACAGTGCTGCTTCTGCATCTGCTGCTGCGACCGCTGGTGCTGCTGGTGCCGGTGCTGGTGGCACTGGTGGCGGTGCTTGCAGGGTGGTGTTGCCGCCGGTGCTGGTGGCGCCGCAGTGCTATGTGGTGCAGCAGCGGCATGAGGACGTGTTTCTGCTGCTCACTACTACTCAGGAGATGCCGCCGCTCATGGCTCTCGATGTGAGTTGGTGTGTGTGAGTGTTTGCATGCTTACACGTGTGTGCATATGTGTGCATGTGGTGCAGCAGCGGCACGAGGGCGTGTTTCTGCTGCTCACTACCACACAGGAGATGCCGCCACTCATGGCTCGCGATGTGAGCCCTGCCCCCTTCCCCTGCTCCCTTACCCTGCTCCCTTCCCCTGCTCCCTTCCCCTGCTCCCTTCCCCTGCCCACTTCCCCTGCCCACTTCCCCTGCCCACTTCCCCTGCCCACTTCCCCTGCCCACTTCCCCTGCCCACTTCCCCTGCCCACTTCCCCTGCCCACTTCCCCTGCCCACTTCCCCTGCCCACTTCCCCTGCCCACTTCCCCTGCCCACTTCCCCTGCCCACTTCCCCTGCCCACTTCCCCTGCCCTCTTCCCCTGCCCACTTCCCCTGCCCACTTCCCCTGCCCACTTCCCCTGCCCACTTCCCCTGCCCACTTCCCCTGCCCACTTCCCCTGCCCTCTTCCCCTGCCCACTTCCCCTGCCCACTTCCCCTGCCCACTTCCCCTGCCCCCTTCCCCTGCCCTCTTCCCCTGCCCTCTTCCCCTGCCCTCTTCCCCTGCCCACTTCCCCTGCCCCCTTCCCCTGCCCTCTTCCCCTGCCCTCTTCCCCTGCCCACTTTCCCCTTCTGCCCGTCACCTCCTGCCCCTTGACCTGTGCTTTCTATCCCGTCCCCCTGCGCTCCTCCCTCTCCCTCCTGCCCAGACCCTTTTCCCTTGTCTCCTCCGCAGCTCCTATCGTTGCTCATCCCATTCCCCCACACCGTGGCTCCCATCTCCTTCCTCTTCCCCCCTGTTCTCTTCCCCCCTGCTCTCTTCCCCCCTGCTCTCTTCCCCCCTGCTCTCTTCCCCCCTGCTTTCTTCCCCCCTGCTCTCTTCCCCCCTGCTCTCTTCCCCCCTGCTCTCTTCCCCCCTGCTCTCTTACCATATGCGCCCTGCGCCCCTCACTCTCCCTTCTCTTGCCCGATTCCTTTTGACCCTTATCCCTCCCACAGCTGCTATCATCGCTCATCTCTCTCCTCACCACATATCTCGGCCGCGTGTGTGATGACTCGCTAAAGGACCATTTCGTGACAGTGTACGCTCTTTTGGACGAGGCGTTTATAGGGGGGATGCCTCTGACTCTCGAGCCTGCAATTCTCAAGGTAACAACATTACACTTGCTCCTTGTCACTTCCCACTTGTTACCCATCCCTCCACACTTATAAATGACCACTTTCCACTTCCCACTTATCACTTGCCCCCTTTTAGGAGCTAGTCCCGCCGCCCTCTCTGCTAACCAAGGTGGTAGACACGATAACCGGGGGGGGTGGGGAGGGTGGGGCATCAGCCACAGCCCTATACTTCCTTGTCGCTCTCCCCCCTCTGCTGTCCACCTGTAGTTAGTCGATTTTGTAGTCGACTCAAAAGGAGTGTAGTTAGTCGATTTTTGAGTCGACTCAAAAGGAGTGTAGTTAGTCGATTTTTGAGTCGACTCAAAACTCGACTAACTGGTTGGGGGGCATCAGCCACAGCCCTATACTTCCTTTTCGCTCTCCCCCCTCTGCTGTCCACCCCTTTCAGGAGCTAGTCCCGCCGCCCTCTCTGCTCACCAAAGTGGTAGACACGATAACGGGGGGCGTGGGGGGAGCATCAGCCACTGCCACGGCTGCCACGGCAGCAGCCAACATGCCAGCCCAGCTAGGCCGCTTCTTTGGCGCAGCTGGCGCTGCTGTTGCCAACTCTGTCGCCCAGTCCTTCACCGGTCGACCGGGGGGCGAAGGCGGCTGGGGGGGAAGCGGGGGGATGGGCGGAAGGGCAGGCGGAGGGGGGGCAGGTCCGTCTGGTATGGGCGGTATGGTTGGTGCTGGTGCTGCTGCTGGTGCTGCTGGTGCCAGTGCCGGTGGTGGCAGTGCTGCGAGTGCTGTGGGTTCGGGTGCTGCGTTGCCCTGGCGGCCGTTGGGGCTTAAGTACCTGCAGAACGAGTTGCAGATAGAGCTACGGGAGCAGCTGGACGTTACTGTCGCACCGTGAGTGTCTGGGCGTGCGCCTTGTGAGACGTCTCAGAACTCGTCTCCATAGTTTGAAACGTCTCTCAAGTCCTTGCAGAGTGAACTGCAGATAGAGATAGAGCTGCGGGAGCAGCTTGACGTTACAGTCGCATTGTGAGTGTCCGCATGTGCAATCGTGAGACGCCCCTGTTATTCTGAAGAGTGCAGCGTTTTTTATGCACATTAATCCCTGTAATTTCCTGCCATTCCCCTGTCATTCCCTGCCATCCTGCCGCCCCCCTGCCGCCTCTCTCCTCCATCACCCCCGTCGCCCCACCTTCACGGCTGGCAGATCGGGATTGGTGGAGCGGTGTGACGTGTACGGGGAGGCGCACGCCACGTGTCGCATGTCGGGGATGCCAGATGTCGCGCTCTCATTCGTCGACGCACGCGTCTTTTCAGACATTGCCTTCCATCCCAGCGTGCGGTACCGGGAATGGGACTCGGACCGGGTTGTGGCACTCACACCACCCGATGGCAACTTCAAGCTCCTCTCCTACAGGTAACTCTCTTTTGAGTGCACTACCGCTCACTCACCAGTCATTCTCAGACATTGCCTTCCATCCCAGCGTGCGGTACCGGGAATGGGACTCGGACCGTGTGGTGGCGCTAACCCCTCCCGATGGCAACTTCAAGCTCCTCTCCTACAGGTGAATTGCTTTGAGTGCTCTACCGCTCACTCAAAAGCCATTCTCAGACATTGCCTGCAGGAAATTATGTTACATGATCCATGCATATAGAAATCACTTTTGAGAATTCTCAAAAGGGGAGGAAAGAAATTATGTTGCACGATCCAGGCTTCATTCTCCCAACCGTCCTCCTCCCTCCACTCCCGTCCTCGCCGTTCCCCCATCCCCCCCGTCCTCCCCTCCTATATCCCCACAGGGTGCGCAGCATACCATGCGTGCCCATCTACATAAAGCCACAGATAGCATTCGTGGGGAAAGTAGGGCGAAAATGGTGAAGGGAATTTGATCTTGAACCCTCTCAAAACACCCCCTCTCCTCCCCACAGGGTGCGCAGCATACCGTGCGTGCCCGTGTACATAAAGCCGCAGATAGCATTTGTGGGGGACAGCGGGCGGGTGAACGTGATGGTGGGTGTGAAGCATGACCCGGGCAAGCCTGTGGAGGGGCTCGTACTGCTGCTGCCGCTGCCGCTGCAAGTGGCTTCGTGTGACCTGCAGGCGAATGTGGGGACTGTTGCGTTTGACACAATCACTAAGGTGAGCTGAGCTCTAAAGTGAGTCGCGGTCTTGACCGTGTGAGAGTTGAATGTTTGTGCAAGTCTTTCAATTGAACGCAAGTCGCCTCGTGCGACCTGCAGGCCAACGTCGATACCGTGACATTTGAGACACGTGGTCTGTTAGTCGGTTGCCGCGAGACAAGAACCCCTACCTCTCAGAAGGTCTGTGCGTCTTCAAGGCATCATGCCTCTGAGGGGCCAACCCGTGACTGCCATCCCACACCCGAGTTTTGAGGCGCCTCAAAACCCAACCCGTGACTGCCATGCCATCCCACACCTGCATACCCATTCCCCCCTTCCACCTCACTCCCACCAGCTCTGCACATGGTCTATCGGCAGAATGCCTCGAGACAAGAACCCCTGCCTCTCGGGAGGCCTCCGCCTCTCCTCGCCCCTCCCGCGCCCGCACGTGCACCCGGTGCTGCTGGCGCATTTCAGGATCATGGGGGCAGCACTGTCGGGAGTGCGGATCGAGTCGGTGGTGGTGCGAGGCGAGGAGAGCCGTCGCCCGCACACAGCCTTCCGATCCGCGACTGTTGCCGGGTACTTCCAGGTCAGGACGTAGAGATGGGAGGCGTTGAGGAGAGGGAGGAGAGGGGCAGTTGACAGGGCCACAGGTGGCGATTTGATACCAATTCAGCACTTTGAAGGGGCTGGGATAGGGAGAGCAGAAGTTGAGCGATCATGAGTTGAGAGGAGAGTTTCAGGGGGGCACTGGTGGGGGAGTGCTGCTGGCGCAGTTCAGGATCATGGGAGCAGCGCTGTCGGGCGTGCGCATCGAGTCGGTGGTGGTGCGAGGGGAGGAGAACCGCCGCCCGCACACAGCCTTCCGATCCGCCACTGTTGCCAGGTGCTTCCAGGTCAGGACTTGAGGAGGAGGGGGGAGAGGGGGAGTTCATAGGGCGCATGTAGCGGTTCGAGCCCACTTCAGGACTTGGAATGGGCTGGAATATAGAGGGCCGGACTTGAGAGGAGAGTTGGGGGTGCCACAGGTGTGGGGGGTGCTGCTGGCGCAGTTCAGGATCATGGGCGCGGCGCTGTCGGGAGTGCGGATCGAGTCAGTGGTGGTGCGAGGGGAGGAGAACCGCCGCCCGCACACGGCCTTCCGATCCGCCACCGTTGCCGGGTGCTTCCAGGTCAGGACTTGAGGACAGGGGTGGAGATGGGGAGTAGACAGGGCCACCGGTCTCGATTCGATCCCAGTCCAGGATTTCGAAGGGGCTGGAATAGGGAGAGCAGGGTTTTAGAGGAGAGTTTGAGGGGGGCGCACTGTTCGGAATCATGGGGCAGGCTGTCAGGGGTGCGGATCAAGTCGGTGGTGGTACGAGGCGAGGAGAACCGCCACCATTGCCGGGTGCTTCCAGCTCAGGGCGCAGGGCTGCCAGCTCAGGGCGCAGGGCTGCCAGCTCAGGGCGCCGAGACGAGAGGGGATTGGTGTGTGCATCTATGTCCGGTCCAGGCACAGAGAAGGCAGGAGTTGGGGGGAGGCACTGCATGGTGCTTGCATGTCATACATGCCATTGCAGCATCTAGATTCTGGGTGCTTTCACGTCAGGGACTAGCTGGGTGAGCTAGTTGGGTGGCGGGTTAGGATAGTACCCTAGTCTTGCTGAGTTGGTGGATGTTAGAGGCAGGAGCAGTTTAGATTAGAAAAAGGTGTTTGGTTGAAGGATGGTTGCATGCAACTTTTGTTTGTTATAGAATCTAAATGTACAGTCCTGTTTTGTACAGCTTCAGCGCACAGTGATACAAAATGAAAGTGACCAGTATACGTGTAGATACAAATTTTGGAACACTCTGCACACTCATTCAAGCAAAACAAAACCGCTGTCCTGGCAAAAGCTTGGCTCCTGCGGCCATCGCAAGAGGCCATGAGGGTGAGAAGGTGCTAGTGATACGCGATAGAAGCAGGTGGCCGTCAGCCTACCATGGGCAACCGCAGTTGCTGTATACACTGACGCTTTGCTGCTTTAGAGAAGCAAAAGGTCAACAAGCTTGCAAGTTGACTGTTTCACCTTTTAATGCAGACAGTCTTATTTCCACACCCAGCTCTTGCTGCTGCTGCTACTGCCACTGCTGCTCTGTTGCTGCTCAGTCTGATTAGATGTAAGCGCTGCACAACAGTTCCCTTGCACTTAGCGAACGCTCAACGAGCCCCAGCAGAACTTAGCTAAGAGAACTCCACGGAATTCGCGAGGTACAGAAGGCTGATTGCGCTGACGAGGTGCCACGTGGAGTGACGCACCACGAAATCCCATTGGCAGCGCGACTTGCGGCTCCACGCGAGGCACGAGAGCGACAGCAGCGACAGCGCCGCGACCTCCGCGCGCTGCGCCGCCGACGCGCAGTAGAACGCCATAGCGCGGATAGGGCCTAACAGTGCTGGCGGAGGGGGAAGGCGGAAGGGGAAAGGCGGGAAGGGGAAGGCGGGCGGGGAAGGCGGGGGAAGGGAAGGCGGGCAGAGGGGCGCGGGGGGAGTAAGAAGGTAAGCGATACGAAGAGAAGGAGGAAGTTATGGGAAGCGGCACTCAGGAATGTTCACATGGCGTATGGACAGCGCAGGCAGTGTGATATGCAGTAACGAGCGAGCGCGTTACAAGTCTTCACGACTTGGCGGCTTTGTCGCTTTAGAGACTCGAAGACTTGCAAAACTTAGAAGACTCGTAGAGTCAAGGACTTGGAAGATACGACGACTTAAGACTCACTGGCGCAGGTTGCGAGAAAGCGGTCGACGCGCGGCCAGAAGCGCGATGACGTGTGCAGACTGTCCGTGAAGAGGCTGCTGATGGTCACGAGCGTGAAAACCGCCGCGAGGACCGGGCACGCGTTGATCCAGAAGGCGTACGCGACGGCCAGGTACAGCAGCGACGACACGGCGACGATTAGCGAAAACTCCACGCGCATGTGCGGCGACTCGCCGCTTCGCATGATCGTGAAGTGGTGGTGTAACCAGGTTACCGGCCACGCGAGGAGGACGAGGAGGGAGATGGTGAGTAAGCGGGGAACGCGGTACCGCCTTACGAAGTTTCTAAGATGGGAGTATTTAAATCCCCTGCGCCTATGACCGGGATGCGCGGCGGAGGCAGACGCGGACGCGGACGCCGCCGTCTCCGCCGCCGCCGCGGGGGCGCATGCGCCTTGCCGCCCATTGGTGGTGATATCATCGGAGGCATGCGGGTGTTCTTTTAACGAGCGCGAGGATCCATCGCACGTGCAGCTCCCGCTAGCGTCGCAGTCGCAGAGGAGGCAGATCGCTGCAGTGGCGGCAGCGTTGGGGAAATCCATGGCGGGATTAGGCGTTGCGAGGAAAGGCAGGGTGCACGGGCTGTAGGTGATACAGAGGTGAGACGGAAGGGGAAACGGAATGTGATACGGAAGGTGATACGGGTGATGTGTATACGCGCGTGACAGTAGGTACCCTGGAATCTCTGTGAGCCTGTGGCGGATTCCAAATCGGGTTTGACAGGGAATGGCGGCTCGACAGAACTACTGAAATCTCCGCAGAGAGAAAGGTTTAGAACGCCGGCTCGACAAAGCGTCGGACTGGCAGATAACGAAGCAAGGCTGTACGAAGAGAAGTGGTGCCGCTACGCTCTAAGGTGGTCTGCGAGGAGCAAACTCGCTGAGCACGGCCGCATCACCCGCTGAGAAATGGTTCTCGTAGCGCTGGTTTTGCGAAGGGACAGCCAAATCCCCTAAGCAAGCCGCGAACCACACAGCACAAGAGGGGACGAGCAAGGAGGAAGGGAAACAGCAAGCAAGATACGGCGGCGTGGCATGCAAAGGGGAGGGAGGGGGGTGCGGGGGAATGGGGAGGGAAGGATTCCACGTTTGTTGACAAGACAAGTACAGTCGCTTTTGTGCATTCGTGTGCGGTTCTGTGCGTTTTTGGTGGTAGCACCGTGAACGGATGGCGGCTGGCGCAGAGTGGGTGTACTGGCGAATTTCGTCAGCGTTCCCTGGCGAGGTTCGTCGTCACGTGTTCGATCTTTCGCGAAGCCGCATGGAGCCGAATATGCCGCGGGTCTTGCGCGACGAAACTTTCATTCCGCAGATGCGCCATCAGTGAGGGAGGGGGTCTGAGTGTTTGGGGAAAAGAGGTGAGGGGGAGAGGGGGAACGGGATGCGCGGAATATGCCATCCTCAATCCCCCGACGGCAGCTCAAGCAGGCATCGTTTTGTTCCGCAGTTGGAATTGATGCGTCGAGTAGCAAACGTCGTTCACACACAAGTGACCAATAGAACGCATTCGTACTGACACACGTGTGGTGAGAATGTGCTGGAAACCCGTCAGAAGCGCGTGTATCTTGTACAGTGAGCATTGGCCTTTCCGCGCCAAGCCCACAAACTTCAGCATGCTGCCAGTCCGGAACCTCTCTGGCAATCATCGTGGACCACCCGGCATCCAATAGGTACATCTGGATTTCCACATCCACCACGTCAAAACGTATCGCAGGTGCCACATCGGAAAAGGTGAGCCTCAGCACAAGTGATACCACGTCAGAGTTCGAGCGCGACAAGAAGGGAAAATCTGCTGACTCACACATGATTGGCCTTGGCGCAGAACGCACTCCCTTTCCGACTCTAACCTTGAACTGCCACGCACGCCGAGGGAAATTCGTTTGGGGGAGATGTTTCGTGAAGGAGATTCTGAGGGTGTGCAGAGCAAGTTTCGGAGGCAATGAACAATGAATATAAGAATGTACAAATAAGCAAATAGCAATAAATGCAGAACCCATGTGTCTGACAAAAATATATATGATACAGGGGGAAAAAAACAGCAATTGTTTCCAACATGAGCACCATTCAGTGCACCACCGATTTACTTCAACTAGACGGCAATTTATCCACATGGTTCTTTCCCCCCATCAATAATCCACGGAATTCTCCTGTGCTTGCCCCTCTCGGCACTGCTCCCGCACCCGCCATCATTGCTACTTATGCCCGCGTTATTGCGACTGGGGCTGCTCACAGTGGAGGTAACGCTGCTGCCACTGCTGCTGGCAGAAACACCTTTACAATTGCCCCTGCCACCCTCAAGTTTAGAGCCCCAAACCGGATCATCCTCCTCCTCCTCGTCTTCCTCCCTTTTCCCCACACTCTTCCACCCTGAGCTCCCACCTATTACACCTGCTCCTGCCGCTGCCCCTGCTCCTGCTCCTGCTCCTGCTCCTGCTCCTGCCACTGTCCCTGCTCCTGCCGCTGCCCCTGCTGCTGCCCCAGCCGCTGTCCCTTGCACAGGCATTATCTTTGCTGCTACCATCCCCCCCGTTCCAGCTGGTCTGCTCCCAAGCGGAGTGCGGGGGGAGGGAGACGATCTTTGAGGCACCTCAGAACCCGCCCCTCCCACTGCTCTGCTCCCAAGGGCAGCGCGGGAGGCGGGGGAGGAGGACGGAGACGATTTTTGAGGCGCCTCAGAACCTGCCCCTCCCACTGCCCTGCTCCCAAGGGCACCGCGGGAGGAAGGAGACGCTTTTTGAGACGCCTCAATACCCGCCCCTCCCACCGCCCTGCTCCCAACGGCAGTGCGGGAGGACGGGGAGGAGGAAGGAGACGCGTTTTGAGACATCTCATTTACCGCCCCTCCCACTGCCCTGCTTCCAAGGGGCGTGCGGGAGGCGGGGGAGCAGCGAGCCAAGCGACCCTGCACAGCAGAAGGGGAATGAGACGAGCTGGGGGAGTGGAACACGTGGGGCGAGTGCACTGGGGAGAAGGGCGAGCGGGCGGCATGGGGGAGAGACTCTGCAGGGCTAGACGAGGCACTGAGGCTTGAGGCGTAGGTGGAGCAGGAGGTGGTGCGATGCAGGGAGGAGGAGGAGGATGACAGATGTGGTGGTGCTACGGCATTGCTCAGGCTGACGCTGCGAGGGATGTACTGCTGCCCTGCTGCACTCATCGCCATCGCTGCTGCCATACTCGGATCCACATCCATACCCTTGCCCACACCCATGCTCATGCTCATGCTCATGCTCGTGCTTGGGTCCGGGCCTCAACCTGTGCCCATGTTGGGGGGGAAATTGGTGTGGGCGGTGGTGTTGTGTGAGAGGGCCTTGATGTATGTGGGGGCTTCGTGACAAGATTCCGAACGCGGGATGGCTGGGATGACCGGTGGAGACTCGATGGTATGGACTGCACTGCTCCTGCTCTTGCTATTCTTGCTGCTGCTGTTGCCGTTGCTGCTCTTGTTGCTGGTGCCGCCGCTGCTGTTGCTGTTGCTGTTGTTGTTGTTGTTGTTGCTGCTGGTGCTGTTTCTGCGGGGGTTCCGACCGTTTCCTGCATCGCTGCTCCTGGGTTGAGGCCTGTTGCCGCTGCCGCTGCTGCTGCCGCTGCTCCAGCTGCTTCGGCCAGTGGTAGCGGCGGTGGCAGCAGTGGCAGCAGAGGAAGCAACAGAGGAGGAGGAGGTGAGGGAGGTGAGTGAGAGCATGGACGCTGTGGTGATGCTGCTCTGACTGCTGCTCCTGCTGCATACCTCACTGCCAAGCCCACTCACAGACTCACCCTCAGCACCGCTCTCAACCGCACCACACTCCCCGTCACCATCCGCACCACCAGAGACACCACCAGCACCGTCAACAACACCACCACCACCACTTCTCTTTCCGCCTCCACCCTCCTGACACCCGTCCCCCTCCCCACGTTCCATCCCCTCTCCCCCCACACACCCCTCCTCTTGCATCTCCTCGCCGAAATCCTTCCCTTTCCCTTCGCCCACCAGCCAAAGCATCCCTCTGCTGGAAGACCTTCTATGCCTGCCGCTGCTCCTCCCCGTGCTCCCTCTCGTTGCTGCCGCTCCTGCTCCTGCTCCCGTTCCTGCCCCTGCTCCTGCTGCTGCTCCTGCGGCTGCGTGTGTGGACGCTCCCCTCTGAGGGCTGCCTTCGAAAGCGGCTGCTGCGTGCGTGAGCGCTGCAGACATGAGGCGCAGCGGCGCTGCTGCTGCCACTCCGAATCGACTACTAGTTCGTCTCAAAGAGTGGCTTCTACCCACCTCAGGGGCAAGCTCCTCAGGCTGCCCATCCTTCCCTTCTTCCTCCCCTTCCTTTTCCACCTCTTTTTCCTTCCTTTCCTCTTTTTCCTCGTCTCCCTTCTCCGCCATACTGTGCCGATTTTGCAACCTGCCTTCCCGTCCGCCTCTCTCACCCGCTCGACCCCCCACCTCTCCTTCTGCTGCCATGGATTTATCTTGACTTGCATCTTGGTAAGAAGAAAGTCCCCTTTCCCTCCCTGCTCCTACCGCTCTCCCTCCTCTCCCTCCTCTCCCTCCTTCCCTCACCCTCTCTCCTCCATCATTCTCACTCTCCGTCCTAGCAACCTGTTGCCCCTGCCTCTCCCTCTCCCTCTCCCTCTCCCGCTCCCGCTCCCTCTTTTTCTTTCTCCACTCCCTAGCCCCACTGTTATCATCCAACACATATACCACCGCCCCACCCCACCAGTTGCGCCCCCTCTGCTGCCCCTCGCTCGCCCCATACTTAGCTAAAAACTGCGCGTCGCTTAGGAACGGGTCCCCCCGCGCCAGCACTGCTGCTGCCGCCGCCGCTGCCGCTGTAGGAGCCGGCGCTGTTGCTGCTGCGGCTGACGAGAGAAACAAAGATGATGCTGAGGATAGAGATGAGGACGAGGAAAACGATGAGGACGAGGAAAACGATGAGGACGAGGAAAACGATGAGGACGAGGAAAACGATGAGGAAGAGGAAGCAGCAGCAGCAGCAGCAGCAGCTGAGGAGGAGGAGGAGGAGCTTCCATTGGTGGATGTGCATTGTTCCATTTCATCAGCAGGGAATGACGCCCGAACACTTCTGCTTCCCTTGCCGCTGCTGTTGCTGGTACTACTGACGCTAGCAGCAGCAGCTGCTGCTGCTGCTGCTGCTGGTGACGTCAGCTTCAGTGGTGGTGGTGTTGCTGGTGGTGTTGCTGGTGGTGGTGAGGGCAGCAGCAGCGAGTGGGCCAAGAATGGGTTCCTCAACCCCGCATATGCGGCACAGCCCCAGCAGCACGTCCACTAGAGCCGCATCCACGCTCTCCCGATTCGCATAGTAGAAGGTCTGAGGGGGGAGGAGTAAAAGAGGGTTGGGTGCGGTTGGGATACATTGAAAGTACAAGGGATCCAAAGTAAAAGAGGAGACAGCCCCAGCAGCACGTCCACTAGAGCCGCATCCACGCTCTCCCGATTCGCATAGTAGAAGGTCTGTGGGGAAGGGGAGGGAGCGTGCTCGATTCGGTTAGGATGGGTTGGGTTGGGTTAGGGCGGAAGCACATGGCGTGGAGGAGGAGACAGGCCCAGCAGCACGTCTACTAGCGCCACATCCATGCTCTCGCGATTCGCGTAGTAGAACGTCTGTGGGAAGTGGGGGGAAGGGGATGGATTTGGGTTGGAAACACGAGGGGATGGAGGAGAGGGCCCAGCCAGCAGCTGTCCAGCAGAGCTGCTTCAACGCTCTCCCAAGCCGCACCATCCCACCCACGCACCCTCACTCCCCACGCACCCTCACCCTCCCGCTGCCCCCCCCCCCCGCCACCCTCACCTGCACTTGAAACACGACTTCATCGGTGCCCATATTCGTGCCCGGCGTGTGCAGCGACTGCCAGAAGATGGTGTTGTGAGCCATGGTGGGCAGCAACAGCAGCCCGCGCTTGAGGTTCGCCTCAACCCGCCCATCCGGGAGAAAATTCACAGGATTTTGCAGCTGGCACCGCAGGGAATGCTGTATGCTGCGCGGGAGCATGTCGTAGAGCTCGTCCCTGAAGGGGGGGGAGGATGGGTGGCGCAGGGGAGAGGGAAGGAGGGGAGGGACTTGAGTGGAAGGTTGGTTCGGAGTAGATTGATTGAATGGGACTGGCAGAAGCTGGAACGACCCTGCAGTGGAACGTCCCTGCAGTGGAACGTCCCTGCAGTGGAACGTCCCTGCAGTGGAACGTCCCTGCGGCTCGTCCCTGGGGAGGGGGTGGGGTGGAGAGGTGGCAGAGCGAGGAGAGGAGGGGGTGAGTGGGAACTTTGGTAAAACACAGCTAGCACCGGAGAGAAGGGCGGGATAGGGGGGAGAAGGGGCGGGGAAGGGGGGAGAAGGGGCGGGGAAGGGAAGAGAAGTGGCGGGGAATGGGGGAGAAGGGGCGGAGAAGGGAAGAGAAGGGGCGGGGAAGGGGGAGAAGGGGCCGGGAAGGGGGAGAAGGGGCGGGGAAGGGGGGAGAAGGGGCGGGGAAGGGGGGAGAAGGGGCGGGATTGCGAGCCCACAGCTATACTGGAGTCACTTTTCATACTTCTGAGAAGTCACATCATCCCCGTGTGCGCAATGATTCCTTCGACTCAACGCACCATCACCATCACCACCACCACCACACACTCAACGCAGCAAGCACCTGGTCTTGCCCATGACCGCATCCAGCTGATGGAAAATCCTCTCCAGCACCACCACCACATTCGCATAGTGCAGCGCGAGGCCCCACACACCTACCAACCATCAACACTCTGCAACTTACCCACACAACACCAGCAGTCACAGCACGCCCACCTGGTTTTCCCCATGACCGCGTCCGGCTGTTGAATGATCCTCTCCAGCACCACCACCACGTTGGCATAGTGCAGCGCGAGGCCCCACACGCGCAGCGACACCCCGCACAGCGACAGCCCCCCCACACCCACGCCCACACTTATCACAGCACACATCAAACCCACCTGGTCTTGCCCATGACTGCGTCCGGCTGTTGGATAATCCGCTCGAGAACCACCACCACGTTGGCATAGTGCAGCGCGAGCCCCCACACGCCCAGCGACACCGCGCACAGCGGCGGGGGGGCAGCAGGCGCGGGGCCGAAGGCAGCGAGGATGCGCGCGCGCAGCAGGCAGAGCGCGGCGACGAGCAGTTGCACGGGGAAGTCGAGGTCGAGCGACCACAGGCAGTGCGACTGCAGACGCTCGATGGCCTTGCCTTGCGCTACCATGTCCTGGAGCTTGTTCCACTCGCCGTAGGCCTGAATGCTGGGGGGTCGGGGCGGGTGGGATGCGGTGGGGAAAGGTGCGCGGAAGAGGTGGGAAGGGGAGGAAGCAATGAGACAGGGGTTGGGCATTAGAACGGACGGGGAAGGATTAGCTTTGCCCTGCACTGCCATGTCCAGCAGAATTTTCCGCTCACAGTTCGATTCGATGCTGGGGGGTGAGACGGGGGGGAAGGCGGGGGGGAAGGGGGAGTGGGAAGGGGGAATGGGGTTGAAGGGGGTTTGGGAAAAAGAGGTCGAAGGAGTGGTGGGTGGGGGGGTGGGGCCGGGAAGGGGTAGGGGGCGGGGAGGAGAGGGGGAAAAGAGCAGGGTTGTGGTGGGAACAGGAAGTGCCACGGGAGAAGAAACGCAAAGGATGTAGGAGGAGAAAAGTGGAAGGCAGGAAACCTGATCATCGCACGTCACCGCGCACCACCGAGTATCACTGTCCATCACCGTTCATAACCGCGCATGGTGTGAGTGAGGCGCTCATAACAGCGAGCTTACCGGCGGTGCAGCTGCTGAATGGACTCCATCTCCGGAAGGAAGGAAACCTGATCACCGCACAACATCGCTCACGACCGCGCATTGTGTGTGTTCGCTCACAGCAGCGAGCGCGCTTACCGGCGGTGCAGCTGCTGAATAGACTCCATCTCCGCGCGCAGTCGCTCCGTCGCCTCCGCCTGCTCCTTCATGAACCTGGTGATGCCCGCCACTCGTACACGCACACGCACGCACGCGCACACACGCGCACACACGTCGCACACACGCCGCACACACGCCACACACACGCGCACACACGCGCACACACGCGCACACACGCCGCACACACGCGCACACACGCGCACGCACGCGCACACACGCCGCACACACGCGCACACACGCCGCACACACGCCGCACGCGCACGCACGCGCACGCACGCGCACACACGCCGTACACGCACACGCACGACGACGTGATGGCAGGCGAAGGGAGGGGGAATCGCATGGGCGTTATATCGTCAGAGATTGCATGCGATGCGAGATGGACGAGAGAAACGTGACGATCCTTTCGAAAGATATGACACACGTGCGCGAACGTCGAGACGCGTCGCGTCAAAACTTTATCCCTATCCTCCGCGACGGCGAGACGCGTCGCGTCGAGCTCACCTCATCAGCGCCTCGGCTTCCGTCGCCGACGCGGTGAACTGCGCCAGGTCAATCTCCGCGGCTTCTGCGCCGCCGCCGCCGCCGACTCCGCGTGCCGCCCCCGCAGCAGCAGCCCCGCTGCGCGCGCCCGCGAATCCCCCCGCCCATGCGAACCGCCCGCTGCTAGAACTCGACGCACTGCTAGAACCACCCGCGCCGCCTGAGCCAGCTGCGCCGCCAGCTGGGGCGGCAGCGGGAACCGCGCGCGCCGCAGGAGGAGCGGGGGGAGCGGGCGCGGTAAGTCGGTCGAGCATATCGCCTAACGAGTGCAGTCTAGGGTGGCGGCACTTGCGGCCCAGCACGGCCACTCGTAGCGCCACGCTCTGCAATTCCTCCGCCTTTTCCGCGCCGGCAAGGCTCCACAGCAGCTGCAGGTCGGGGGAGATTAGGGTTACCACGCCGGGCGCCTGGAGGTTCGCGCGCAGCGCGGCGAGAGAGCGCTCGCTCGTCGCGTCGTCGATTTCTAAGAGGCGCCGCATGATGCACCCGATTTCGAACGCCAGCATTTCTGTTTTCACGGCTCCGCCGGCGGCTTGCGCGCCCGTCGCCGCGCCGCCACTATTACTAGCAGTAGCGCTCCCACTCCCCATGCCGCCACCTGCTGCCGCGCCAGACGCGGCGGCGTTAGCAACTCCGCCGCTGCTTCCGCCGCGAAGGGCGCGGTAGCCGCCAAAGCCCACTAGCGAGAGGGAGCTCGTCTTGGCGCTACCTGGGGCAGGAACAGGCGGAAACATTCTCCGCGCCATGCGCTTCAACGGGCCGTCCCCGCCGCCTCCACCGCCGCCGCCGCCGCTTAGAGACAGCCCCATCAGCCCTGACGACGGCCCGACGCGCGCCGATGACGTGGCTCCTGCATCCTGACGCGACGTAAAGCCGAACCGCCATTTCCCCTCACCGAATCTACCCTTTTCCCCCTTGGGCGTGACCCCCCCCGCTCCGCCTGAGCCTGAGCGGGGCCCTCCCCCCCCGGTGCGTCCTGTTTCCCCGCCGCCCTTGTCCGCCGTCGCCGGCGGGGCGCTACCGGGAGAGCGGAGGCCGGAAAGCTTTTCCTTTTGCGGGTTAAGCGCCGCTGCGCCCATCCAGGTTCCGCTGCGCGTGCGCTCCAGCCCTCCGCCGCTTCCCCCCGTCCGCCCGCCATTGCCGAGGGCGCCGGGGGCGGCCGGAAGGCGGCGGGGCTTTTGCATGAGCGCGTCGGGGCAGAAAGGAATTTAAGTTGGCGCGGGATGCGGGGGACGATTTGGGTTAGACGAAAGCGGCATGCGATTAGAGGGAGCTTATTCGCGTGCCCCTGGATTCTGAGTAGCCCTTGCGCGTTCTCTCTTCGCCTATGAATGGCTGACCATCCTTCATTTCTTTAGAGTCCAGACGGAGAGTGAATAGGCTCGTTATATATACAGGCGAGGCGTATAGACCGTCACCGCCCAAGCGTGGACAGATTGTCGAGCCGTTGGCAGTGAACCACTAAGTGCGGGATAACTTTTAGAGTTTCGCGCCGCGAACGGAGCAGCTCTGCAGGGTCACTTTCGCCGGGCTGCCGGCCGCTCTGGCGCGCACGCCGCGTCGTGATCTAAGGAATTCAACGTGTCACGATTATCGCACGCGCTCCGAAATAAAACAGACCTGCCTCGTGCACTGGGATTACCTAGATTGCGGATGATGTTGAAGCGGTTGTGCGGTTCAGGAGGGCAGACAAATCGACATAACGAAGCGATGGGCTTGGTGTTGTGGGGCGTGGGAAGTAGGGAGAAAAGGGAGAAGAAAGAGTGAAGGAGAGGAGTTGCCTACACATGGCGCAGATGGGGTATGGCGCAAGGGGAAGATGGAGTAGGTGTGCTGTGTACCGACCCCAGTTTCTGCTGGCTGTCTGCTGGTCTGGTACTGTACATAACCGTACAGTGCCTGGGAGTGGGCCTGTCTGGGTTGCTTGCTCCTGGGGAAGGAAAGAGCGGGTTCATTGCTGGGACCAAGGCTCAGGTCATCTACACCGAAACACGCTGTAATACATTTCTGTCGGACATTACGATTGGAAGTTTGCAAATGATCTACCAAGAACCTACTCCTTGAGCTGACATCATTTTGTGCACAATTTAAAGATGACCGAGGGCTGGACCATATTAATCCGACGGATGTGCACTCTCGTCTGATGCAGGATTGGTTGGGTGTATTGAACTAAATCAACCAGGGTGCACAAAATCGGTAACCTGTTACCTGGACAAAATAATTGGGTAGAATCCCTCAGTGATAGGGTTGGTGGTTGCTTAGTATGGGACGGATTAATTTCTCAGAAAAATCATGAGCAGAAAGTGTACACGTTTGAAATCCCAGCCCACGCTTCCAAGTGTGGTGGTGGTGGCGGAAACGCGACGCCAGTCAACGGGGAAAAGCGAGTGGATGATCTTGTAGTGGAACTTGGATGGAAGCATGAGTTAAGTTTGAAAGGGATCTGAACGGTTGGAGATGGGTTGGGAGGATAGCAATCCAAACACCGAATCCAGCGAAAGCTGGACACTGGCTTTCGCTGCCCTTAAAAATATTCCACAGTGCTGCCCGTTACTGTTAATGTTCAGTGAGTGAAAAGGAAAATGCCATTTGTTTGGTGGGGTAGATGTTTGTTTCGTCAAGAACGAAGAATCACGTGCGAAGTTGAACTGTTTGCAACAGCGGGCAGGATGTGAAAGACATCGGTTACTGCAGCTGCACGGCTGTAAAAGTCGGTTATGACATCTGAACGACTCGGGTGGTACACATGTTCGTCACTGGCAGGCATCACGCAGTCACAGGCTTGATGATGACTCACCAGCAAACTTCATCTCGCAGTAGGGGCACTTGGTGTCCACCAGGCTTAGGGCGTATTCTCGGTCAGAGTGATTCGTGTCTTTCGCACACAACCTAAATGTACGCGACTTTGAGTTAGGACAAATTCCTGGTTTGTACGGATATTATTACATATTTCTCCTAGGCATCACTGTCATCTTTCGGCATTTATTTGCCAAAAGCGAGCATCATGGAATCTTCTGCAGTAGCAAATTACGGCAATCAACCCATTATAAGAAGAAAGCAGTAAGAAATATCTGGCGACTTTAGTTTACTCATTACGTCGCGAAGGGAATATAATTTGGACGGACGGTGGTAGCTCACTTGTTGAGCGCACACTCAGGCGGTCACGCATTTTTGTACTTCCTCTCTAAGCCCGATTTCCGCGTAAATAAGCCTTAGGATCTCGCCTGTTTCACAGGTAACACTAGAAACGTCATGTCCATGTGATGCGCGCTGCCTGGCGCGCGCTCTGATGACCCCATAAGGTCGCCGATTACGTGCTCTCATGGCGAAATGGCGTAACTAGCGTGAAATGGTATAGCCGAGCACAAATGCAAGTTCAGGCCCCGTTCCCCTTTCAATTCCCACCCGCTCCCATCCCCCTTCCCCCTCCCTTCGCCGTCCCTCCCTCCTTTCACCGACCCTCCCTTCTTTCGCGATTGATAGAAGCATTCTTGCCTCCTCACTCCTTTTTTGCCCCGCTCATCCCCTATTCCCCTTGTGTTCATCCCTCATTCCCTCTGCACTCCCTCATTCCCCTGTGCTCAACCCTTTCCCTGCTCGTCCCTCCCCCCTCCCCTCACCCTTCCCCGATGCCCTCATCCTTTCCCCTCCCCATCCTCTCGTCCCTTCCCCATTCCCTCATCCCTTCCCCCTGCGCTCATCCCTCCTTTGCCTTAGTTTCTCATTCGCTCGTTTTTCGCTCCTTCCCTTTGTGATCAGCTGTGCTCATCCCTCCTCCCTTTGTGCTCATCCCATCCCCCTGAACCCATGCCTCCTTCGCCTTGCGTTCATCTCATCTCATCATCGCATTCTCTGCGTTCACCCTCCTTCCGTTTGCACTCATCCCATCCTATTCTCCTGCGCTCATCCCCATCTCATCAACAACTGTACAAGCTGCTTCACCGTTTGGCAAGATACCGGAATGTACATCATCCACTCAGCAAGTATGTTAGCCTACCGTGTCACATAAAGGCGATTGGTAGGGTTATGTGCTGCTGAGGTTTCATCTACTGGCTTCAGAGAGCACTGTGCTCTTCTGGTCTGGGTTACCGGTGGTTGGAGGGGCACACGACAACTCTAGGAGCGATGTTATGAGCTGTAATAAGTAGGAATAACAAATACCGTATGAAAGATGTGACTACAAGCAAGTCCACTTTGAAAGTTGGCGTAGGCATAATGTATTCAGGCAATCCAGCTTGACAAGGACCTAGAAACTAGATATGGCACTTATCTTGTTATGCTTTGTCAAAAGGCGACGAACTGGAATATGGATAAGCCTGTTGTTGTATTGTATTTTTGTATCGTTACTACAGAATGGAAATTATACCACTAGTGCTTAGAAATTTAACTGAGTCACATACAGCTGAGTCACAGCTTTCGGTCGGGGACGAACTGTGAGAGATTTCTACCTGCCCTTGCCCCCATCACCCTGGATCTCGGGCTTGACAAGCTGAATGAAGCTGCGCCGCGAGATCTGTCGGTGGGTTTCGGGGGCACACTTCGCAAACAGACGAGTTACCACAGTATGCGTCACTGCGCTAGCTTAGGACGCGGCACATGTTTTCATTTTGCCAGGATCGAGGGGATCGATGTCTATACACCGATTCACCCACATCGATAGGCACACCGATGTGCATACACCGCAAATTTGCAGTGTGGTAAACACGCCGAGCCTTGGGTGCCAGGATTGAAATTTCCGGGTCGGGCAGGTAGGTTTCGCAGCGAAATACACCAGCGTTTTCGTCGTTAACCATTTAGAGCGAGGAACAAGCTGTCGTTATCCAATCATTATTTGTCTGCGACCGTGGGCGACGCCGATCGATCGCGTCTGTCACCTGTGGTGCAATGTGCTCTCCCGCCAACCCAAATGCACGATCGATGTGTGCACCATGGCACATCGATCGTGCGAGCTGCAGGTGCCACCATTTTGGGTACACTTTTACTGTATATTATCGAGGTTCAACGAAAACTGGATACCAGGCATTAACGAGATCGCCAAATCACTGTACAAGCGGCACATCGATCCCCACCCACGATCGATCATGGCAAAAAAAAAAACACGTGCCGCGTCCTTAGTTGGGACTTCGTCTTTCCAGCCCACGTTCCAAGTATTTCGCATACGTTAGCCAACCACGAACCAATCATCGTGAAGCAGCACCTCCAGAAACTGACCTCCACTGTTGGGAAACCGACAACCGCCGGTAGCTTGCTTCTCGTTTCTTTTACTGTACAGTAGAGCTGCCCGTTCGGGATGGGCAACTAGGGGACACACTTGCGATGCGATGCGAGTCCCTCACCACATCGCGCTCATGGAAAAGAAAACGGTGTACGGGCGGCGCAGCGTAACGCCGTGCAACAATCGTGCGGAATTCCACCGTGGTGGGGGGAAAGGGCTCCCGCACGGCAGGCGAGTTTGGGCGAGCGGCTGGATGCGAGAGGCGTCTACCTTCTGCGATGGATTTCGCTCAGTAACAAATTATATCAACCGTGGGAAAGATTTATCGTAACGTTGAGAAAACCAAAATGAACCGAATACACCAAATGAAAACGAACAACCGAAAGTCGGCCTCCACATTGCTCCTCGCCACTGTCGTTGTCCTCCCCACCCCTGCTGATGACCTGCTTCGAAACGCCATTTCACCCAACGAAGGCATTCTCTTCTGTTCTTGTTGCGCCTTTCCTACCTTGCTTCGGCACCATTGACAAGCCCAAAAACACTGCCGCGCGCAAGTGACCAATTCCTCCTCCCAGTGACGCCTGTGCTTCTTCACCACGGCCGCTTTTTCCATTCGTGAACCATTTCTTTCTCGTCTCCTATTTCCCTGTCAGCCTACTCTAAGCTCAAGCACACAGCCCCGCAACCTTGACACTTTCCTCGTTCACGTAGAAAGAGCGTGACAGTAATATAGAGAGTGCATCAGCACCCGCTACCACAGAACCGTACGTGTGGATTAGTAAACGCTCCCAGACCCACTTCCCCAACGCATCAGCCGAGAAAAACCAGAAGCGTGCGGTGGTTTTTTCAATCGACTTCCATGTTGGAAAAAGCCTGCAGTTTGCTCCGGCCGGAGAACACGCAACTAGCACACCTCGTGCCATCACCGCTTCCCATGAACAGCTAACAGCATCGTTACCCTTTACTCCATCCGAGTCGACTCGAGTCGTCTCACCTCTAGCCTCCCAGCCGTCCCACGCGATCACGAGCTGACAGACCAACCACAGCTAGAAGTTTCCTTCACTCCTCGAAACGCTATTCTCCTCTTCCGTTTCCTCGTGTCCTGTCGCTCAAGCCCCTTTCCCTCGAACATCCTTCCACCCTGTTCTCGTGTAACCTGCGCTCTCGTGTGCCTGCCTGCCTGCCGGCCTGCCCGCCTGCCTCCCTCCCCGCCTTTCGCGCGGCGAGCCACTTCCCATGGCGTTCACTAACCGGCAAAGACGGCACTCCCGCGAGTCCGTGCGACGAACTCTCGCCCTTCTCCTCCTCGCCCTCCTCGCCAGCGCCTCTTTCGCGAAGCAGAGTAACGACTTTTCGCAGGACGTCAAGAACGCGGTCGATAGCTCGTCGAAGCGCGCCCGGGACGGGATGAAGCGGTTAGGTAAAGACTCGCGGGCTATCCTAGACGCAAAAGCAAATCTAATCTCGCTCGAAGCCGCTGCGATGAAACTTGTCAACGAGATTGTGTCGAAAACGGGGAAGAACATAACGAAGCCGCAAAAGGCGCTAACGAGCATCGTGCGCCGCGTAGTGGCCACAGTAGACGTCCTTAAAAAGGCCGGGCTGTTCCAAGGCGGCGGGGAGGTGCAACCGAAAAAGTCCGAGCTCAACGCGACGGCGGACATGGCGGCTTTCCGCGCGATACAAGCGCAGGAGATAAAGGAGGTTCTAGAAATGCTATCTCCCAGCAAGGCCTTTGCGTCCGTTACGGGCTCTAGCTCCATTCCTAACTCTAGCTTTATCTCTGACTTTGATTTTAACTCCAGCTCTGACACTGGCTCTCATTATAATTCTAGCTCTGGTTCTGGTTCGAGCGATAGCAGCAAGAATCAGTTGAGAGCAACGGCAGCAGTGGCGTCCCTTTCCAGCAGCCGAACCGCGCTTCGGCGGGCGAAGCCGGCAGCGACTGAGCCGTGCAACGCGTGGATCTGCATCGACATCAGCATCACGGGCATCATCCTCGCGCTGAAAGGGTTGTTTCAGAACTTTCAGATCTTCTTTCAGGGCTTCATCTCGGGCTTCTTCCAGGCCTTCATCACGGGGTTCGTCCAGATTGCCGCGTTTCTCGGCGCCGCGTTCGAGGCCTTTTGTGAGTGCTTTTGGTTGGAGGGAGGGAGGGAGGGAGGGAGGGGAGGGAGGGAGGGAGGGAGAAGGGGAGGGAGAAGGGGAGGGGAGGGGGAAGGGGAGGAGAAGGGGAGGGAGGGAGGGAGGGAGGGAGGGAGGGAGGGAGGGGGGGGGAGGGAGGGGGGGAGGGAGGGAGGGGGGGAGGGAGGGAGGGGGGGAGGGAGGGAGGGGAAACAAAAGAGGGAGGGAGGGAGGGAGGGAGGGAGGGAGGGAGGGAGGGAGGGAGGGAGGGAGGGAGGGGGGAGGAGGGAGGGAGGGAGGGAGGGAGGGAGGGAGAAGGGGAGGGAGAAGGGGAGGGAGAAGGGGAGGGAGAAGGGGAGGGAGAAGGGGAGAGGGAGGGAGGGAGGGAGGGAGGGAGGGAGGGAGGGAGGGAGGGAGGGAGGGAGGGAGGGAGGGAGGGGGGGAGGGAGGGAGGGGGGGAGGGAGGGAGGAGGGGAGGGAGGGAGGGGGGGAGGGAGGGAGGGGAAACAAAAGAGGGAGGGAGGGAGGGAGAAGGGGAGGGAGAAGGGGAGGGAGAAGGGGAGGGAGAAGGGGAGGGAGAAGGGGAGGGAGAAGGGGAGGGGAGAAGGGAGGGAGGGGGGAGGGAGGGAGGGAGGGGGGAGGGAGGGAGGAGGGGAGGGAGGGAGGGGGGGGGAGGGAGGGGGGAAACAAAAGAGGGAGGGAGGGGGGGAGGGAGGGAGGGGAAACAAAAGAGGGAGGGAGGGAGGGAGGGAGGGAGGGAGGGAGGGAGGGAGGGAGGGAGGGAGGGAGGGAGGGAGGGAGGGAGGGAGGGAGGGAGGGAGGGAGGGAGGAGGGAGAAGGGGAGGGAGAAGGGGGAGAAGGGGGAGGGAGGGGGAGGGAGGGAGGAGGAAGGGAGGGAGGGAGGGGGGGAGGGAGGGAGGGGGGGGGAGGGAGGAGGGAGGGAGGGAGGGAGGGGGGGAGGGAGGGAGGGGAAACAAAAGAGGGAGGGTGGGAGGCAGTTTGAGAGGGGAAGCAAAAGAGGGAGGGAGGCAGGGAGGCATGGAGGGGAGGGAGGGAGGGAGGAAGAGAGAAAGGGAGGGAGGGACCCTATGGTGTGTATTTCCACATTGGTCATTCTGCATGTGTAGTGCATGTGTTTCACCTTTCCCGTTCCCCAGGCGTTGCCCTATGCTCCTCCCAACCCGACCAAGCACCTTACCTTATCTAACCTGTGCCCTCTGTGTTTCTCTCTTCCCCTTCCCCTCTTCCTTCCCATCCCTTCCCCTCCCTTCCCCTTCCGCCCCGCTGTCCCGCCGTCCCTCCTCCACTGCCAAACTCCCGCCTGCAGTCTTTGCGTTGTTCAGCTGTAAAGGCGCGACCACAATGCTCTTTCCCATGGATGCACTCGTGTGGGCCGGCGCACTCACAGTGCTAAGCGGGCAACAACTAGCAGACGTGGCAAACTACAACATGTTAGACGGCCTATACCCATACGATATAATGCAGAGCGCAGGGTGGATGGCGAGATTCAAGACGCAGCTGCCCGACCAGACCGTAACGAAAGTTTTCGGGCAGGGTTCCCCTATGGTTGTGCTGATGGGACGCCTGGGTATTCCGTCGGTGGTTCTCTGGCCGAATTTCTACGTTGGGAAATCGCTGATTGTGCACATCGTCAGCACGTCGTTAGTTCCGACATTAATCTAGTGAAGCGGAGAAGCTGAATGGGGTGAGATTGGAGGGAAATCGGCAGCAGGAGTTTATGGTCCAGGAGGAGGTTCGCTGGTGGAGTGTCAGCAGGCTGAGAATGCAGAAGAATCTATTCAAAACGGAATGTTTATTTAGTATCAGTAAGACTCTAGTCAAGATTATGGTGGTACAGATACGGTACATGCTTTTACACAGCATGAGAGTGTTGGCTGCGGTGGAAAGGGGAAGGGTAGGAGGAGAGGGGCCATAAGGGGGTATAACCTACATTTCTGTGCTGTGATATGCATGTACAGTGAGCTACCGGTGACTCAATACTGTGATGTATAACTTGTGGCATAAAGCCACTGTACATTGGTGATGGTGAGAATGTTCCCAACAACTTTTGTTCAATGGCTCCGGTCTGGCCCACTTCTCATTACCGTCGTTTTTTTCCATGGAGGAATTTGTGTAGAGCTGTCCGTTTGAAATCTCAATCAAACGGTAATCATAAAACAGCTATAGCAGTGAATTTCCTAGGAATGGAAGCCAGGGCCAACACAGGGCCAACAGAGCACCCGTCCTATTAGGGTTGTGTGGTGGTGGTGGTGTGTCGGGGGGGAAGAGAGGGGAGGGGGAAAGGGAGTGTCTTTCATCCAAGGGATTACATTACAGACATGGTACAAACAATTGAAGTGGCCTCCAACTACCCCAGGCCAGCTGAGCACAGTGCTATCTGAAGCCAGTAGATGCAACCTCAGCAACACAAGACACTACCAAACGGCCATGTGATAGGCTGACATACTTGCTGAGTGGACAATGTATATATCGTGCCAAATGGTGAAGAAACTTGTACAGTTGTCGATGAGATGAGGATGAGTGCAGAAATGGGATGGGATGGAGTGTAAAGGGGAAGAGGGTGAACACAGAGAGAATGAAGAGGTAGCACAAGGCAAAGGAGGCATGGGCGCAGGGGGGTGGGATGAGCACAAATTGGAGGGGGGATGGGCACAGGGGGAGGGGTGAGCTGAGCACAAAGGGAAGGAGGGATAAACACTGAGCGAATGAGGAACTAGCACAAGACAAAGGAGGGATGAGCGGAGGGGGGAGGGATGAGGGAATGGGGAAGGGACGAGAGAATGGGAAAGGTATGAGGGCATGGGGGAAGGGTGAGGGGAGGGGAGGGATGAGCAGGGGGAAAGGTTGAGTACAGGGGAATGAGGGAGTGCAGAGGGAATGAGGGATGAACACAATGGGAATAGGAGATGAGCGGAGGGGGGGGAAGGAGGGAGCACAGGGGGGAATGATGGGAGCAAGGGGAATACAGGACAAGTGCAGGGGGGATGAGTGGCAAGGATGGACGAGGGATGAACGGTGGGGGGATAAGAGGTGAGCGCAAGGCGGAAAAAGGATCAGCGCGAGGGGGAAGGGAACGGATCAGCGCAGGAGTATGAGCGGTGACGCAAGGGAGGGATGCGCGCAGGGGAGGGATGCGCGCAAGAGAGGGATGCGCGCAAGGGAGGGATGCGCGCAAGAGAGGGATGCGCGCAAGGGAGGGATGCGCGCAAGGGGGGATGCGCGCAAGGGAGGGATGCGCGCAAGGGGGGATGCGCGCAAGAGGGACGGCATGCGATCTAGATTTTGAGTGGGGTGAGGAGCGAGCAACGGGGAGACGAGGGATGAGCGGGGGCAAGACGGTGAGTGATTCTACCAATGGAGGTAAGAGTGCTTCTACCAATGGCGAAAGGAGGTAGAGTCGGCCAAAGGAGGGAGCGACGGCGAAGGGAGGGGAAGGGGGATGGGGCGGGTGGGAAGTAAAAGGGGGAAGGGGGCCTGAACTTGCATTCGTGCTCCGCTTGCATTGATGTTTAAGACAGTTAGTTACCTCCCCAAGCTCGCCATGAGAGCAAGTCATCGGAGACCTTATGGAGTCACCAGAGCGCGCGCCAGGCTGCGAGCATCACACGGACATGTCGTTTCTAGGCTTAGCTGTAAAACGGGCGAGATCCTGAGACCGCTGGGGCATGCGCTCAAACAAGTGAGGATGCGCTGGAGTATACGAACGTCGACGGCTAGTAATTACTGCTGTCTTCTTACAATCGCCGTTCCTAAAATCGCCGTTTATGTTTCTTCGACGTGCTTGGATCTGAGTCTAGTAATCAACCGCTGAGGGATTTGTATTCCGTATTAAGTCAAGGTTTTAAAAGAAGTCATATAATAATAAGATTCCACATACAAGGAAGCGATCTTCACTATAGACTACAACCAGCTTCAGATTCTGGTAGCCTAAGACGAAGGCTGATCTTCAACTGCTGCTCCACTTGAGTCTTCGAGTCTTCGAGTCTCGAGTCCTTGAGTCTTGACCCCTCTTGGCCGCTAGAGGCAAAGCCCCTAGCGTTTCACCCATGCACCGCGTTGAGGTGGGGGTTTATCGCACGGGACACCTACGGGGGGAGGGAGGGAGGGTGGGGGAAAAAGGAAGGGAGGGAATAAAAGAATGAAAAATTATTTGGGGGGAAATTATGAATTGTACTGCCACGGGCAGAAAACCGCCTTGAAATGTCCCGCTGTCAGATGTCAGGTGGGAATCCTCGAGTCGCGCTGATGTCAGACAATCTGCAGCATACCTGGCACACCTTACCAAGCTAGCTCAGCCGCGGCACATCGTACTGTACCGCGGCTTATCGAATCGTACTACGCCCCATCGAAGCTACCCAACCGCGGCATACCGTGCCGGGCTTTTCGAGCCGATCAGTCTGTTCCGTGGTCGGTTCTACGCGACTGTATCGTGCCCGTCTGTAACGAGTCTAGTCTACTATAATCGGAGACGAGTTGGAGCTGATCCTCATGCTGCTGGTTGTCTCACGATCTGACACGGGGCACTGGAGGAAAGGAGGGGAAAGGCGTGAAATGATGGCGGCCGCAAAATGCCAGCGCCGTTGCTCCGCGCTCCGCGTTCCGCGCAATTCCAGCGTTGTTGACCTCCCGCGTCTTCCCCAGCGCTGCTGTCTCGTCCCCAAGCCACTCCTGCGAGAGAACACGACAACAATATTAGAAACCCGGAGAAATAGACGAGAGAAAACTGAAACTCATACTTAGGAAGTCCCCCGTGGTAGCTTGAACTCCCGCCGCAACCGTTGACTCCCGTTCCCCACTCTCCTGCGCTGAAAAAGGGAACACACAATAGTAGTTAGAATTCGGAAAGAAGAAGCACGGGAAACTGAAACTCATACTTTCAAAGAGAGAGGAAGTCGTGGTAGCTTGAACTCCCGCCGCAACCGTTGACTCCCGTTCCCCACTCTCCTGCGCTGAAAAAGGGAACACACAATAGTAGTTAGAATTCGGAAAGAAGAAGCACGGAAATCTGAAACTCATACTTACAAAGAGAGAGGAAGTCGTGGTAGCTTGAACTCCCGCCGCAACCGTTGACTCCCGTTCCCCACTCTCCTGCGCTGAAAAAGGGAGCACACAATAGTAGTTAGAATTCGGAAAGAAGAAGCACGGAAACTGAAACTCATACTTACAAAGAGAGAGGAAGTCGTGGTAGCTTGAACTCCCGCCGCAACCGTTGACTCCCGTTCCCCACTCTCCTGCGCTGAAAAAGGGAACACACAATAGTAGTTAGAATTCGGAAAGAAGAAGAACGGAAAACTGAAACTCATACTTACAAAGAGAGAGGAAGTCGTGGTAGCTTGAACTCCCGCCGCAACCGTTGACTCCCGTTCCCCACTCTCCTGCGCTGAAAAAGGGAGCACACAATAGTAGTTAGAATTCGGAAAGAAGAAGCACGGAAAACTGAAACTCATACTTACAAAGAGCCGCTTCTGCGCTATCCGCCCGGGAAAACGCGCCTTCCACTCGCGAAACGCGCAATCCACCCGGGAAACGCGCCATCCGCCCGGGAAAACGCGCCATCCGCCCAGGAATCGCGCCTTCCGCCTGCAAAACGCGCCTTCCACTCGCGAAACGCGCAATCCGTCCGGGAGACGCGTCGTCCGCCCGCGAAACTCGCCGTCCGCCCGCGAGAAGCGTCGCCGTGCGGCCGTGAGGCCCTCTGCAGGAAGAAACCAACCACGTTAGAAACTAAACGAAAGGGACCGAAACCTTCAAGGCGGCAGGAAAGGCGGCAGGAAGCGAACGTTGATTGAGCTACCTCAACCGCAGCGAGGCGCAGCTTGTAGCGAACCGAAGCGTCGCCAAGCGCCTCCGATGCGCCGTGCGACGTTAAACTTGCCGAAGAAGCATCACCCTTCGCCACGTCGTCACGTCATGCGTCCCCATCCCCGCCAGCCATCCGTGAGTCGCGCCCGTGCGTCGCCGTTGGCGCACGGTCAGCTTCTGCAGAAAATAGAGAAAGAATCTGTTAGATTCCGCCAAGTATATGTCAAAGAGAAAGTAAAGATACGAAGCGAAGCGAACTGCGAAAAAATGGAAACACCAAACTACGAGGCGCTGCTGAAGGTCACGTTACCTCTACTTCGCTGCTGCTGCGTCGGCGCCTTCACCAATCATCGCTGCTGCTCCGTCGGCGCCTTCAACGATCGCCGTTTGAAGCTTCGGTTGCCAAAAGGTCTGCATCAGGAGACGGCATCAGGTTAGTGCTACTAGAAACCGAAAAAAATGAAAAATAGCGATTGGATATGCGTAACGGCGAAACGGTAAAAGAAAATCGAGTGGAACAAAGACTGTGCTTACCAGTGACAAGGGGCAGCGACGAAAGAGGCCGTCAGCGGGACTTGGCGTCAGGAGCAACGGCGACGGCGACGGCAATTATGAGCAGCGGGACAACGCGTCAGGAGCAACGGCGAAGGCGACGGAGATAATGAGCAGCGGGACTTGGCGTCAGGGGCAACGGCGACGGCGACGGCAATTATGAGCAGTGGGACATCCCGTCAGGAGCAGCGGCGACGGCGACGGCGATTATGAGCAGCGGGACATCGCGTCAGGAGCAACGGCGAAGGCGACGGCGTTGATGAGCAGTGGGACTTGGCGTCAGGAGCAACGGCGACGGCGACGGCGATAATGAGAGCTGGACTTGGCGTCAGTAGCAACGGCGACGGCGTCGGTGGCATATTAGTACTTGTCGGAGGTTTCGTGTCTCGGCCATCTTCGGTCGCCAAAGACGGTCGCCATGACTGTCGCCAAGAAGGTCGCCGAGGTCTGAAAAAAGAAGAAGGCAAAATATTAGTACTTGTAAAAAGAAACCGAAGTTACTTGAAATTAAACTTTGAAGTGATGTACCATTAGAGACAAGTCGGCCATTGACGACGGTCGGCGAGTCGACCTTGAATGCATCCGTAGCTGCGCCAGGGCTTGAAACCTTCCGTAGCGCCTCGAGCCATCTTGTGAGCTTGAGACGGTCGCCGATGAGGTCGCCAAGGCCTGAAAAGGAAAAAAGCAACACATTAGTACAATCAACAGATAAGAAAACTAAAGAAAGAAGAAGTTAATCCAAAGTCCAACTCAGTTTACGTACCCCAGCCGAGTCCAGAAGTCTGCCAATTGCGACGGTTGGCGAACACTTGGTGACGGGCTTGAAACCCGTTGGAGGCGTTCTTCCAGTTATGCTTGAGTGCTTCCGTCATGAAGACGAATGCGACGGTGGAAGCTCCTATCCGCTTCCGGCATGGCTTAGGTCTGACAAGAAGAAGGAAAGAAAGGATTAGTATTAAGAAGAACTGAAGATAAGACCAGCGACGATAATCGGGAATGACTTACCCCAACAAGGTGGCGACGGTCGCCTCGAGCCGTGCCGCGTCTTGACCTTCAGGTCCTCGCCACTTCGGATCTCAAACGGCGATGAAGCTCCTCTCGCGGCGACGGTGAGTGATCGCCAATCGGCGAGCTTGACTTGAGTGCGTCTCGTCTGTAAAAGAAGGAAAAAAAGGATCAGTAAAAAAAATAACTGAAGAAAATACCAGCGACAATAATCCGGCATGACTTACTTCAACAAGAAGCGCCTTTGGTGGTGATGGTGAGTGATCGCCAAGGGAGGCGCCGTGCTTCACTTTGAAGCTCTCGAAGTCTTTTCCATGGCGAGCTCGGAGCGTAGACCTCGCTGCGAAAAATTCGCAGTAAATATTCTTCGTTTGAAGATCGTGTAATGAAGACCTTGCAGATATGCTCGCGCCACGTAGATATGGCGGTTCAGATTTCGCGGTGAAAAAGGTGGCCGCGGAATTTCGGCATAGTACAGGTTCAGCCAAGGCACTTGGCAGCTCACTCCTCACGACATATACCCACCCACCCCACACCCGACTCTCTAACTCAACGCCGCTTCGTGCCTTGGCTTCCCCATGTACTATCCGGGTGAGCTCATTGGATTAGAGCTTCGAGAAAAAGAACCAAACAAACGCAGCATCACTAGATTATATGGAGCGGATGAGTTGCTCGAGGGAGATGCAAGCAAAATTGTAGCTGATGAAACCGAAGGATAAGCTTGCTGCTGATTGGTGGATACAAATCCGCCATTCTGAACGGCGGCTGTGGCGGCGAGCCTTAGCTCGACTTCAAAACCCTATGTGATTTTGAGTAATAGAAAGTTACAGCATCTACATGGGTGCAGTACGGTGAACGGGGCGCGACACCATGCCATGCTGCCGCCGTGTGGGAGGGAATTCTTGAATCCTGACACCAGGCTGTGTGCGCGGTGCGAAAAAGTACAGTGTGATGTGAATGGATGGATGGTGGTGGTGCAGTCGACCGCAACGGTGGGAAGGTGTGGTGAATGGGGTGGCTTGTGTGATGAACCACAGCGGCGGGATTGCGGCAGTGGCCAATTCGTCGAGCGGCGCGTGCAGAACAGTTTGAGGTGGCTGAAATTGTGTCCCCGCCCGCCTTGTCCATCTGGTTCAACACAAGTAGTACAGCACACTCATATTGCACATTCCGGTTATACAAATCGAATTGACCTGTCCGTATGCAAACGCGTTTGCCAAAGGCGAGTATTGGTGGTTTGGGAGGTTTGTTGAGGACGCTGGTGTGCAACAGCAAGGATAGGCTCGACCTATCTAGGAGGTGGTTGACGTGGCGCTATCTTTAGTTGGGTTGCGCCGTAAATTTTTTGAGCCGCGTGGGCTTTGCGTGAGGTGCGGGACAGCCTTGGTTCAGGGAAAGTCAGCTGAACCCGAACTGCTCGGGCAGCTGGAATATCAATGAATGGACGAGAACAAAATTACGCGAACCAATGGGATGAAGGTGTTATTGACACCCTGACAAAACCACCGGACCTGGTATTAGACCTGGTACCCCGAACCTGCCAGCTTTGCTTCACCCGTCATCTCCCAGATGCATGTCACCAGCATTAGCTCACACTAGGTCACCCGAACTTGCCTGTTTCGCCATGCTTCTCGTTAGTTCCGATAGTTATTTTTCGTGAAGACAGATCTCAGCGCAGGAGTCGATCTAGTTAATGTAGCCTTTTCTCTGTCGTGCTTATCTAAGATAGCTTTACGTTTCTACTGGCATGCTAGCAGTATCAGATCTAAATAGACTCGCAGTCTCGGTAAGACAGTCGTGTGCGCGCTCCAGAATAGTAATATTTTCACATGTGTAGAAGCGGACGGACTAGTAACATTCGTGGCGGACGAATTGGTAGCGTCGATTTCTGACGCATCAGTAGCGACTCGCGGTTCGTCGATTCGACAGCTCGTTTCGTCGACTTCACAGCGTCGATTATATCCAAGACGCAAGACGTGGAAAAGGAGGTGAGTGGAGCTGACGGTAATTTCCCCTTCCCCCTCCCCTTTTACGCTTTCCCCCTCGTGACTTCAGAGCGTCGACTGTATTCTGGTCGCGATACGCGGATATGGAGGCCGGGAGGTGAGCGGAGGTGAGCGGAGGGCAGAATAGGGGGAAATGGACATAAAGGACTGGAGAAAGGGGGAAGCGCCCATTTCCCCTTTAATTTCCCCTTACCCCTACCCTTTCCGCTTGTTCCCTCCCATTTCCGCTTTTCCCCTCCCCATTCCGCTTTTCCCCTCTCATTTTTCGCTTTCCCCTCCCGTTTCCGCTTTTCCCTTTCCCTTTCCCCCTTTTCCGCCCCATTTCCGCCTTTCCCTCCCCTTTCCGCGTTTTCCCTCCCCTTTCCGCGTCCCCCTCGTCTGCCTGGACTTGAGTGCGCGGCGACGGTCCCAGCCTGAACGCTAGACGGGAAAAAGGGAGGACGGGAGCGGAGGGGAGAAGAAAGACGAAGGTGGGCGGAGCGGAGGGGAGAGGAGGGGAAATGCACGGAGAGGACTGATGAAAGGAGAAAGCGCCCATCTTTCCCTTCCTCCCTCCCCCTCCCCCTCCCCCCCCAGCCCCTCTTCTTCCCCCCCCCCCCCCCCCCCCCCCCCCCCCCCCTCCTTTCCGCCGCCCCCCTGTCCGCCTTCCCCTTTCTGTTCTCCCCTTTCCACTCCCCCCCTCATCTTCCTGGTGCAACATGAGTGAAAGGGACTATTTTTTGAGGTGAGTAATTGGGTATTGGACGGGTGAAAGCCTCTTTAACATGTTGACAATTGTATTTAAACTATCTCCAATGTGGCATTGTGTGGCATGGCATGGCATTGTGTGGCATGGAATTGTGCGGCATGGCATGGTGTGGCATGGCGTGGTGTGGCATGCAATCTGCAGGCTGTCAACAGCTTGAGGGATGAGGAAAGAAGAGGGGTGAAGGGGTGTGACACTTCATGCTCTGCACTCCGCGTCGCATCACCTTTGCTCTGCTGCTCTGGGTTGTTGTGTGGTCCCGCCACATCCAATTTGAATCTCATTTGTAGGTGCTAGTTTGCCTCACTCTCAGCACTGGTCTATCTTACGCACTCTCAGCAGTGTGTCTGTTTGAGTAGCAGTACCAGGAACACGCCCTGAGCTTCCTATGTACTTCAATGCCATTAAAGCACAGCCCAGCAGCAGCTTATAGTTATGTTGTATTATGCACCATCAATACCTTTACAACTAAAGCTTGCGTGGTTGGAAATTCTCAAGTGGTCCAATGAACCAATGAGGTCACAATGTGTTCTCTCAAGAGAATGTACACTTTCCGGTAGAGCATTGTACGGTATCACAACCTGTGCCTGTTTCACAATTTAGACCTACAAGCACCCCCCTTGCTCGTTCCATCCTTGGTACCATGCCTCTGCGGCCCTTCCCACCACTCCTGCCCTTCCCTCAGCTGCTGCTGCTGCTTGCAGTGTGCTTGCAGCAGTCCAGGTGAGGAGGAAGGAGGGGGAGAGGGAGAAGGAGAAGGGAACGCGGGGGGTACGGTGCGTTGAAGGGTTGTGCGGGAGTGGGAGCGAGAGAGGGCGAGGATGGGTCGTAGTGCCGTGATGAGTGCATTCACATGGGCAGGTGTGTGCGAGGCTGATAGGGCCACTCGCAGGCTGGGGGACAGGAGGGGACGTGTGGGGAGGAGAGGTGAGTGGGAGACGGGAGGGAAGGGTAAGCTTGAGACATGTTTGAGACATGTCCTCTCAACAGTGCATTCACATGGGCAGGTGTGTGTGAGGCTGATAGGGCCACTCGCAGGCTGGGGGATAGGGAGAGGAGATGTGGGGCAGAGTGGGGGGGGGGGATAGGGAGGGAGGGTGAGGGAGAGAGGGTAAAGGGGGGAGGGGGAGAGGGGGAGAGAGGGAGGGAAGGGGCCGAAACAAATTCCGTGACAAGTGAGGATTCTACCGAAAATCGGATTAGCAAAATGCAATGCATAGTTAGGGGGACATGTGCGCGAGTATGATGGGTGTGATGAGCGCCGTATGGGCACATGGAGAGTGTATATTATGGGTTCAAGAGTGGGAGGGAGGGAGAGAGGGCGTTACCGTGAGGAGCCAGGAGCAACAGTGGGAGGGCGAATAGCAGGCACGTGGAAACCAGAAAGCAGGAGATGCCTGTGAGGGGAGGAGAGGGGTTTTTTTGGAGGAATTGTAACTTTGGCAGTTAGTTGGGACATGAAGACCAGAGAGAGGAAGGTGGTCATTGGTAGGTCCTGAGGGTGCGGTAAGACATATGGGACAAAAAGTAGGAAGTGGCCATGCCGCTGTAAAGGCTGTAAGATGGAAAGACGCTGCTGAAATCAGATAGATAACCAGAAAAGAAGAGTGTCACGTGAAATCCACTCTAGGCGACTAAAAGCAGTCTGCTGCTTTCAATGGTGATTGCCCCTGAACTCACCTGCTGGCTTGCAGAGCCAGGTCAGCTGAGCCGAGCACAACGGGGCAGATGGGACTCGTGAAAGTCACTCCCAGGCAACCAAGGCACCTATGAGATGCGAAGTGAGTCTTTGAGCCGCTTCCACTCGTTAGTGGCATCACATATTTAACTCACCTGCTGGCCTGCAGAGCCAGGTCAGCAGAGCCGAGCACTATGGGGCAGATGGGACTCGTGAAAGCATTTTTGGACTGCGGATGAGGAGATGAGGAGACTCCAGAACCCCCACCTGCTGGCTTCCAAGGCCAGGTCAGCTGAGCCAAGCAAGGACTATGGGGCAGATGGGACTCGAGACGGTCACACTCCCAGGCAGAGAAGGCACCTACGGATTCCATCCAAGATGAGCGTTTGAGTCGCTTCGACTCAAAAGGGGCAGCACAGGTAATGTCTAACTCACCTGCTGGCTTGCAAAGCGAGGTCAGCTGAGCCAAGCACTATGGGGCAGATGGGGCTTGTGAAGGTCACCCCCAGGCCTTCCCCCAGCTGCTTCACTCGCTGCCACACGGCCCTCTGCCTCCACTGCTCCTCTGCTGCCACTGCTAGAGCCGCTGGGGGTTTGGTGGGTTGGGATGGGTGGGTGGGTGGTGAGGGATGTGACAAAAGAAAAAGGCTTTGCTTGTGTGCTCCCAGGCCTTCCCCCAACTGCTGCAACCACCGTCACACGGCCCTCTGCCTCCACTGCTCCTCTGCTGCCACTGCCAGGGCCGCTGGGGATTTGGTCGGTTGGAGTGGGTGGGTGGTGTTAAGGGGCGGGATAGAAGGAAGATGAAAGAGAAAGGTTTCGCTTGCGTGCTCCCAGGCCTTCCCCCAGCTGCTTCACCCGCCGCCACACGGCCCTCTGCCTCCACCGCTCCTCTGCTGCCACTGCCACTTGTCAGGGTTGGATGCGTGGGTTAGGTGACAGGGGGAGGAGAGGCAGGATGTGCTTTTGCGCCCTCCCCCAGCCGCTGCACTTGGCGCTACACGGCCCTCTGCCTCCACCGCTCCTCCGCTGCCACTGCCAGGGCTGCTGTTGTTGGGAGGTATAGGTAGGAGAGAGGGGTGGGACAGAATAGAGATGCTGGGGAAAGCGATGACTTGCCTGCTCCTAAGTAGTTCGTGACGATACAGCAGGGAGCAGCGGGAGACCCACCGTGGGAGCCTTACCTCTGGCAGCAGCGACCACGGGCACAGGCAGAGCAGTGGAGAAGATGAAAGAGCGGCCTCGTGACGCAAAGAAGCTCCGCAGAGGAGCGCTGGGGTGAGGGAGCGTGCAACACAGTGTGGTTGGGAGGTACAGGTAGGAGACAGGGGTGGGACAGAATAGAGAAGATGAAAGAGCGGCCTCGTGACGCAAAGAAGTCCCGCAGGGGAGCGCTGTGATGAAGGTGAGCGGTGCGTGCAAAACGCAGGGCGAGCAATGAAGACCCACAAGGGAAAACGGCAGGGGAGGGGTTGGGTGGGTAGGGGTGAAAGAGTTGATGCGGGAGAGGGAGTGTACAGGAAGCGGGGGCTAGCAAGAAGGAAGCGGGGGAGAAATAAAGGAGGGGATGGGAATCATCTGGAGCAGAGGGCAGATGATGTGCAGATTATGTGCAGATGATGAGGGAATTAAGGGCATCAATCATCGCCCTTTCCCCATCATCTCTATTGTGAGTGCATGCGGTGTAGCTCCCCAAGCAGCCCACAGCCTTGCTGAGTGTTCCCACATGCCGTCCACTGCGACCTTCACCCCCATCTCCCCCTCCAAGAGATCTCCGCCCATCCCGCTGCCCGCAAGAGAGCAGTGGTTACTGTCACAAGAACTCACAAACTCCCTCTGCCCTCTGCCATCCCCCTCCCATCTCACCCATACAAACCTCCCCTACCGCCCTATCCCCCTACCTCCCAACCTCCCTACCCCCGTTCCCCCGTCCTTCCCTCTCTCCCTCCCCCCCGTACGTACGAGCAAGCGATGTAGCCCCCCAAGCAGCCCACGGCCTTGCTGAGTGTGCCCACGTGCACATCCACTGCGCCCTTCACCCCCATCTCCTCCGCTGCTCCCCCGCCCCTGCTGCCACACACCAGAGTCGCATGCGCCTGCATGGGGATGTGACAGTGACAGTGCCACCAGTGCCAACAGGAAGGTAGGGAGTGATGTGAAGGGGTGGGCAGAGAGGAGAAGATGGATGTGAGGAACCACTTTGGCCGCCTGCCTTTACCCCCATCTCCTCTCCTCTGCTGCTCCCTCGCCCCTGCTGCCACACACCAGCGTCGCATGTGCCTGCAAGGGAAGGCCGTGGCAATGGTGTCGGCACGGGCAGGAAGTTGTGTCTGGGCTTGAGGGTGCGAGGGGTGCGAGTGCTGCGAGGGGTGCGAGGGCACAGCGCGTCATGCTGACACAGCATGTCACACGAAGTGGTTACTCACACACCTCAGCAAGCACAAGCAGGAAGCCATGCTTGGCCTTGAGAGCCCTTCTGAGTCGGCTTAAAACACAACATCATGGCATGGCAGCTTCTCATCTCACGCACCTCATCAAGAACGAGCAGAAAGCCGTGCTTGGCCTTGAGGGCTGTTCTGAGTCGGACTCAAAACCCAACAGCGTGGCGTGGCATGGCATGGCATGGCATGGCATGGCATGGCATGGCATCTTCTCATCTGACGCACCTCATCAAGCACGAGCAGGAAGCCGTGCTTGGCCTTGAGAGCCGCGAGGGCAGGCAGAGGAGCAAAGTCCCCATCCATACTGAAGAGACTGCAGGGGTGGATAGAGGGGCGGATGGGAGTGCGGATGGCACATGGCATAGAGGGAGGCGGGGTAAAAAGGTGAAGGGGCGGAAGAAGCGAAGGCAAGCAAGCATGCGAGGGCAGGCAGAGGGGCACAGTCCGTGTCCATACTTGACTGCAGGGCCGATGGCAGGCAGATGGGTTGAGAAGGCACAAGGCATGGAGCGAGGATGGTAGGAGGCGGAGTAAAGAGGTGAAGGGGTGGAAGAGGCAAAGGGCGGATGAGAGAGCAGAAGAGACTTGAAGGGTTGACAAGGGAAACGACCAGCAAGCATATGTGCTGAATAGACTGCAGGATAAGAGGGAGGGAGTGGGAGTGGACAGAGAGGAGGGGGGACTTGACAGTGAAAGGGAACAGGATCGAGAGGAAGTTAGTAAGTCATGTGAGGAAGGAGAGGGCATGTGCAGGGAAGGGGAGTGCGAGGGCAGGCAGGGGAATGTACCCTTCCCTGCACTAGCTTTCTGGAAGCAGGCAGGGGAATGTACCTGTCAGAGACGACTAACTTTCTGGAAGCAGAAGATGCGGTGCTGTGAGTGGAGGCACCAGAGTAGGGTGGGAGCGGGTCGGAGAGGGGGATAGGGCAGAGAAAATGGCGGAAAGAGAGGGGAGACGGAAGGGAGAAAAAAAGGCGTTAGTGGGAAAGGAAGAGGAACAGAAAAGGGAGAGGAAATGAGGAGGAAGGAGAATGAGAGGAACACGAGTTAGTTCACGGCACGAAAAACTTTTTGTCTACAAGAGACACAGAAGGTAGCCTAAACGCACACAAGGCAAATATTGGCCTTTTTAGACGTTCCAAATCATTATACACGTACACATGGCGAAGCATAATGAATATTTACTTGCACCATTACCATTACCATTACCATTACCATTACAATTACCATCTCTATTTCCATTATCATTATCATTACCATTACCATTTCCAAATTCATTACCATTACCATTACCATTACCATTACCATCACCATTACCATTACTATGTCCATTTTCATTACCATACCATTACCATTTTCATTACCATAACCATTACCATTTCCATTTTCATTACCATTACCATTACCATTACCATTTCCATTTTCATTACTATTCCCATTACCGTTACCATTACCATTACCATTTCCATTTTCATTACCATTACCATTACCATTACCATTACCATTACCATTACCATTACCATCATAACCATCAACATCATCAGCAGCAGGACCCAAGCATCTCCCTCATTCTCTCTCTCATCTCCCCAACCACCTTTCCTCCCATCAATCCTCTTTCCCATCCTCGCCCTCACAGCAGCTCATCCAGATGTGCCATGTCGTTGTGTCGATACACATGCAAAGCCACAGCTCCACCAGCATGAGCACGCCTCTCCGTGGTGTTGCTGATGCCACCCTTCTCTGTGCGCGGCAGCAGCAGCCGCAAGGCATCAATGATAGACGCATGGTTCAGCTCATCTGAGAATACTGCCAAGGAGTCTCCCACAGAATTGCCTACACGGCCTTCCTCTACCCTCTCCGTTCGTCTCTGCCCGTGGCTCACACTCCTCCCACCACCACTGCCTCTAAAGCTGCTGCTGCTGCTGCTGCTGCTGCTGCTGCTGCTGCTGCTGCTGCTATTGCTACTATTGTCACTCCGTGACGCACATTCAGCAGCAGCAGCAATGGCCCCATTCTCCCTCCTGTTATTGCTGTCACTGCCATCCATACTATCGCTGCTGTCCTTGCCCTTGGCGCGAGGGACAGGAGCTAGAGACGCGAGAACAGCAAGATTGGCAGCAAAGCCGGTAGGGCAGAGCAGACATGCCTGCCATAGGAAGAGGAAGGAGAGGGAGAGGGAGAGGGAGAGGGAGAGGGAGAGGGAGAGGGAGAGGGAGAGGGAGAGGGAGAGGGAGAGGGAGAGGGAGAGGGAGAGGGAGAGGGAGAGGAAGAGTGGGAGAGTGACTGACTAACAAATTGGGAAGATGATGGTATATCCACACACATAAGGTTGTGGTTGGGAGCTTCCTTTTGGTTGCACCTCTGGAGGATCCTCTGAAGACCATATATAGGTCAACGGGGTCAACAGGGTCAACGGGGTCAACGGGGTCAACAGGGTCAACGGGACTGCGAGACGTCAGTGGCAAGTGATGGGAACGGCGTGGCATGGCACGGCAGGGCATGACATGGCATGGCAGGGCACAGCACGGCTGCACGGCATGGCATGGAACGGAACAGCATGACAATCAGCACCCACCTGTGTTCCTTTGAGCCGTGCTATATCATTCTCCAGTCCCTCATGCTCCATTCTACGACAGGTAATCAAGTTTCGAGACATCTCAACGCACGGCAGGACCGGGCACACAAACAATACAGACCTCTGGAGCATGACAATCAGCACCCACCTCTGTTCCTTTGAGCCGTGCTATATCATTCTCCAGTCCCTCATGCTCCGTCGTGTAACCGGTTACCAGGGCAGACGCCCGCGGTCCCATGCCCTGCTGCCATGCTGCCTGGGGGGGACAGGAAAAAGCAAGGAGCTTTTGAGACATTTCATATACGCCCGCGGTCCCATGCCTTGCCCACATGCTTACGGGGTTGAGGAGACTTGGATGAGGGGAGCTTGAGGTTCGGCTCGAGAACAAACCAACCGGTCGCAAAGGCAGGCACCGGTTGGTAGGGTACCCGCTGGCTGACGTCAGCAGACGCACGCGCAAAAGCACAAAAGCACGCAGGAACGCACCCTGGCGGCAGCAGCGCGGACGCGCGGGTGAGAGGCGAGGCCGAGATAGTCGTTAGCGGAGAAGAGGACTAGACGGCGGGGGGAGGCGCGGGGATTACCATTGGCGGAGGGCGGATGAAGGGAGGGGGAAGGGTGAGGGGAAGCGGAAGGGTGAGGGGAAGGGGAAGGCTTGGAAGTCGCGGAAATCGCGGACGGTAGAAGGTCAGGTGTTCCGTGTGACTGTATAGAGGGTGAAGGAAACAACTGCCCGCCGTCTCCTGCTGGTTCGTCAAGCCATCGCTGAAACGCCTCTTCCGATATAAGAACCTCCACTGCAGCCACATCCCACCATGGCGCTTCAACTAAATCCTCATCCGTTTCCTCCCCTGCACGTGCCTTCCCCCCATTCCCCCCGTCCCGTGCGCCAACCCCCCATACCCCTGGCCGCGAAAAGGCTTCCGCCGGTCCCCCAGGAGATTGCGACGCGCCGGGGGGAACCAGCGCGGGTGGAAGCGGAAATGGCGCGCGGATAAGGTCGATGGGGCGGAGGCGGCGGAGAAGGGAGTGCGCGTGGAGCGCGGCGAGACGGCTGTCGAACCAGCGCTGCCATTCGGGTGGCATGCCGCTTGCTACGGCGGCTTCTGCGGTTGCCATGACGGGGACGGCGTTTGGAGCAGAAGGCGCTGCTTTGGGGAATGGGGCAGCGCAAGGGACAGCGGCTTGATGCTTCTGAATCGATGTTGAGTGCTCCGATACGCTGAATCATATTTCCGGCACACTAATTACGTTAAAATATCACTTACCCTAAATGAAGTTTCCATGTCAGCATGTACGGCATCAAATTGGTAGGGAACAACTTTCAACATGAAACTGAAAATTGGGATCAACCCGCCCATTGAGACTATACCAATCACAATATACACTGCTGCATCCACAGTCAGACCTTATCTCGAGCATTTCACATTATCTCAACCTGCTACCGTACAGCTACAGCGAGTTCCTGTGGTTTCTCAAATCGGTTCATTAAAGCAGCAGTGAACTGTGGAACCCAACCCAGCACTTCAGCCGCGAGCCTTGATCCTGAGACAAACAGAGCAGATGGGAGAGAGGGTAAACGGTACGAAAGAGTGTGTGTGTGTGTGTGTGTGTGTGTGTGTGTGTGTGTGTGTGTGTGTGTGTGTGAGAGAGAGAGTGAGAGAGAGAGAGAGAGAGAGAGAGAGAGAGAGAGAGAGAGAGAGAGAGAGGGGGGGGGGAGCGAGATATGGGAAAGGGATTGGAAGGTAAGGGAAGGGAAGCGGGAAAGGGAATGAACAGGGGGAAGGGACAGGAAGTGGAAAAGAAAGAAATGAAAACAGAAACGGAAGGGGCTAACAGACGGGAAGGGAATCGAGCGGAAGGCTGGGGAGGGGAAGGGAAGGGGAGCGGAGGGGAGGGGAGGGGAGGGGAAGGGAAGGGGAAGGGAAGGGAAAAAAGGTTAAGGGAAGGGAAGGGAATGGAATGGAAGGGAAGGGAAGGGAAGGGAAGGGAAGGGCAGGGCAGGGCAGGGAAGGGAAGGGAAGGGAAGGGGAAGAGCGCGGTGGGTGTGTGGGAAGCGTACTGCTGGTGCCAGACGGCGACGAGCGGAACGGCTATACCGAAGGCAACGGAGCCGACGACTGCAACACCGAACTTGAACTTGCGGTTCTTGATCTGGAGGAGGAGATCACGGTCGCACCACACAGGATAAGGAAATATACCGATGGTGAATCAACAGGAGAAATCCAGGACCAGATTCACAAAGGATAAGTAGATTTGACGACGGGATGATATATTGTGGAAGAGAAAACGGCATAAATGCGACGAGCTTGAAGAGGGGGAACTACGATGAAAGCTTGAGCCAAAGTTAAGAGCCGACGGATCAACATAAAGAACACGAGAGAGACGCGGGGAAGATATGGTGCCTCAAGCCGTTATAAAAGAAGTACGTACCGAGGGGATGTCGTACATGTGATACGCATGGAGGTATGCAGGCTCCTGTTGGAGAGTAAATCAACCAAGGAGAAATAAAAAAATCAAAACAAATCCAGTCAGAACGAAGGTGCGTAAAACAAGCGTAACTTTTTCCTAGAGAGAAGATCCGCATGCTGTGCGCACTGCGCGACCTACATTTCCAGATCCCGCTGCAGCGCTGCGAGTCGGTGCCGCGTGGAACCGACGCACAGCAACATTGGCTTCCGAAGCCGCAGCGGTCAGCACGCGGCGCGCGGAGTTCGCAACGGCGGCCATGGCGACGACGTCGAGTGCGAGGCTAGGAAAGGAGCTTGTGGGAGCGAAGTGCGTGCGGGTGGATGTGGGCGGGATGGAGCGGGAACAGGAATGGCGGAAGCAGGCAAGCAAGGTTATGGTGGAGCAAAGGGGTAATACAGGCGGTCGGGGCAGGCGGAAGGCGGAAGGCGGAGTTGGGGAGGAAGGAGGAGAGACAAGCGGGAAGGCCTTCACTCTGGTCTCTGATTGGTTTGTAGCAACCCCATAAACACACGCGCACACAACCATTGACTCTGCTCCCTCGCAATTGTCCGTCCGATAGAGTCATACAGCTGTGGAAATACATTTGCGTGTTTTTAGACTGGTTTCAGATTTTGCGTTGTGCATAATCATGTCAAAACCATATATTTCCATTTCCACCAAGAGGTTTTAACTCCGCAGTGCACAGAAAAACAGGAAAAAAAAAATCATGCATCAGAATAGATTCGGAAGTTCTGGATATATGTACTTAATCATAACAAACACTTGCGAACATCAATCAAGCTCCCTCGCAATCTGATACCTCACGTTGTATTGCAATTGTACTCAAGTACAGAAGCAATACAACGTGAGGTATCGAATTCTCAATCCGAGGATTTTCACAACTGGAGCCAATTTCCGCCACGTGGAAAATCATTACACACACATCCAGCAATCCGCCGCCAGGTCACCTTGCTGACTAGACATTCATTCACCCCCCCACACCGCTCCTGCTCACACTCAACAAGCTGCTGCATACCAAACCAAACACCTTCACTCTTCAATCTCCAGTTTCCAAATTCAAGGTGCCTTGAAGAATATTTCCAGTGCCCAAAGAGAAATGTACTAATCTGTCACACGTGAAGTCAGCTAGTCAAGCAGAATCATCACCTGCTGCGGTATTTCGTGACCTCGCTTTAGCAGCTTCGTCTGTGTGCTGACAATGGCCTTCACCGCAAGCGTGGGCTTTCTCGCGGACAGAGCTTGCTCTAATGCGACGATTTTGTCCCGTTCGTCAATTGAGTCTCGCGGCCTCCGCTTGTCTTCCGCGGCATGCTTCGCGTCGGGAAATGATAGCATGTTTAAGCGAATGAGTGGCCACGGGCAGCGGCTGAGTGCTGGAACTGACGCGTCAGCTCCGCGATCTGTGCATTGCCGTGCTGCTGGTGGTGGTGAGTTTGAATTCTGTGAAGTACCTGTCCTCTGCCTCATTCTCGCATGTAGGGGAGTTTTTTTTGGCATTTTGTCGATGCATTAGTCGTGAGACAGAAAGAAAGCGCGAAGAGAAAGATACCAACACCCGTCCCCAGACCCCTCTAGGCGCAGTCGCACTCGGTCGCCCGCCCTAACACTCTGCACACATGCAAAGCTGAAACCTAATCTTGGCATTCCTCGACATTTTCCGCCAAAGATAGAAAGAAAGAAGAAACAAAAACGCCTGATCGTTCTTATCTGTAGCTGATAATCCTTGTTCCTGTTAGTACCCTGGCAATGAGTCTGCCTGCTACCCTACCCGTGCGTCTTCCTGCGTCGGCCTGCATTACTCAGGGGAGAAAATGGCTGCGCAGTCGCGGCGAGTGCAGGTGGACGCGACGAGGGTGCTAGCGGAGCTGCTTCAGGCCAAAGACCTGGAGGCCACTGTACGGGAGCGCGTTGAGGATCTGTCGGAGGAGTTTTTTATGGTTGCGTCAGCCTACGTGGACATGGTAGGGCCGTCAATGTGCTGCATTTGAACTTTTTTCCCCCTTTCGTTGCTGATCGTCAAATGAAGGAAGAGGTTTATTGGGGGAGGCGGGGGGTGAGAGTTTGACGTGCGGAGGGATGGATAGAGGGAGGGGAAGAGGAGAAAGAGTCAAAAGAGGAGAGTGAGTCAATGAGAGAAAGTGACTGATTGTGGTGGAAGACAACGGACACGAGAAACTGACTTGCATCTACATTTTGATCGCTGTACCATTTCTCATCCAGGCTCGTAAGGAAGGCAACCCTGAGGTGGTGCAGCAGTTAGAGTCGGTGCTGAAAGTGGCCATGGCAGAGAAAGAGAAGACACTCAGACCAGAAATCCGCATGTTGAACCAAGTGAGACTCCTTACCCGAATGCTTCCAATTCCCTGCGCTTCAGCTGGCTACGCCTTTGGCCTAGGCAATTACTGTCCTCTAACATGCGTTGATTCATGTTCTTTTTGTGGGGTTTTGTTTCCTGCTATTTCCAGCTTCTGCGCGACAAGACGCCTGCAGACCGTGCAAAAACTCTAGCGGCTTATGAGGAGTACCTCGTTGCAGGAAGTTACTTCTTCCACCTGCTCAACCGCATGCTGGTTGATGTGGAGTCACAGAAGCCGCCTCAAACCAAGCTGCTTTCACAATTGCGCACAATTAACAGAGAGGTGAAGGAGGCAGCCAAAGGGGGCAAGAAGAGTCGCAAGGAGAGCATATCCAACAAAAGTGAAGAACAATAAGGAGTATGCAACTGGTTGTTGATTACCTGCCTGTATCTCGTATTACTCCTCACTATTATCTTGTAGCAGGATTTGTTCCAAAGACTAATTATAGGGCACTGCTTTACTAAATCTTATAATTGGAACAAAGCTTCCGAATACGATCGGTCCTTATCGCGTATGGAAGACCCGAGCCAAGGATAATGCCAGGATTGCAATTTCGCTGACGTGTGCAGGTCCTCTCGAAATTGCCCTTTTCCAAATTCCCGCGCTTCCCTTCCTGAACCCAGACAGGAATTTAGAGCCTAGAAAACCACGAAGCATATAAGCCATGACCTAGTAATAACCTACCTAACCGTACTGAAGCTATCTAAGTTCTGGAACTGCCTCCAATCATTTTCAGCAGCTCCCCCTTTCCGTCCGATTCACGCCTCAAGGGCTGCCTGCTTTACCGCTTGATTGCTTTCCTTTGCATTGGTTTATCTTTTAGGCTTCATCAGCTCCCTCCCCAGTTCTGTCAATGCTGATCAACAAGGCTGCGCGTCGCAGAATTGGAGGTACTCGCTGATCAGCGTCGCGTCGCGTGTACCCCTGCGCGAATTCTATGTTGTACGAGCCCTGATCAAGGAAAGCGAATCATATGCTCTGGCAGACTATCGTATATTCACCTAACCGAGCAGCTCCGTAGACCTATTAAGCTGCTCGTCGATGGCGAATTTTCAAGTCCGCGACTCGTTCTAATTCTTAATTCCACCGTTTTCGAGGTTGAAAGTCCAAATGGCGTGCAGCGGTATCGCTCCGACGACTCTTGTCCCCGGCTTCGCGCAAAGCCTCACGGATGCAGGACAGAGGCAGAGGAGAGGAGTCAGAACCAGACACCCACAACTTCAACATCCCCGCGCGTTCGTTTTGCCTCCCCACGTTTCCCTGACTCCGTCCCGTCTACCCCCGCAATCGCCGTTCTGGAGTCAGCATCTCCGCTTTAATCCATGGCGTCGCGAGGAAATCGGAGCGCGTATCGCCCAATGCGGAAGGTTTCATCTGCTGCGGGCGGAACGGAGTGCCTCCTGCGGGAGTACAGGGGGGAATGCAGCACGGGGATTGGCGGGAGGCGGAAGCCGATCGCGGGTGGTTTGCGCAGCTGCGGCCAACAGCACGAGTACGCCGCATATGGAGGTATGCGCGACTGACGGTGTTGTTACTGATTCTTGTCCACACTCATAACTTTATCTCGAGGCAATGAATTCTCGTATATTCGCCCTTGGCTTTGCTGTCTCATGTGTTTCCCGCCCTCACTCTCTCTCCTGAACAGCGTAGCCATGCTCCACTATCCCTCCCCCCCCGTGTGATCACTCCCTCCCTCCTGTATCTTCCAACAGTGTCTAACTTCTAAATCTCCTCCTGAAACTCTCTCCACACCCCCTTTTCCAGGTGCCGGTTTCCATGCACGAGACTCGCCGTCTGCCGCCAGTCCTGTCGCTTCCTGATGCGATTATCGCGCTCTCCGCTGCTCTCTCCAACCTCGCCGCCTCCCCGCCCTGCTTCCCCTCTGGGGTGATTCGGTTTGAGGTGCGTCTGCTGTTCATTCAAAACACACCTGCTTTGCTTCTAAAGTGATCCGTTCGCATTGTGTTCTCTGCTGCTGACTCCAGCCACCATGCTTTGTTGAATCGTTCAATTGTCAAACACTCACTCACAAGCGCATCCGTGTCAGAAGCACAAGCACAGTCTTCCGTTTTACCTGTCTCTCAAAGCATCTTGCCCCGGCGAATGCTCTATTGTAGGTCATGCTTGCTGGTCGCGCTGAATAACGTATCCTTCGTCTCTGTACTGTGCTGTCCTCTCTCCTGTCTCCACCGACCAGGTTCCCCTTCCTCCTGACCTCAATGCCCTCGCATGGCTAGCAGCACAGCAACCAGCACCACCACCACCACAACCGGCAGCAGCAGCAGTTCCAGGAGCGCCAGCAGCAGCAGCCACAGGGCAACAATCAGCTGCTGATTCAGTAGCACAGGCAGCAGAACAGCCACCAGCACAAGCAGCGGCACAGCAAGCCAACCAGCCTCCTCTCTCCGATTCCCCCTCTCCTCCCCCTGGCCTCTCCCCTCGCATCTACTTCTCCCCACGGGCCCCCAGGGGCACTCGCTCCCTCTCCGCCCAGGCACCCTCCGAGCCTGCACCGGACGGGGCGAGCTGGTCCGGCATTGATGGCTCGGGAATAGGCTCGGTGGCGGGTGTGGGTGCTGCGGTGATGCTAAAGGGGGAGGGTGAGGGGTTCAAGGCGAGGCATTGGAGGCAGATCCGCAGGTATGCTGTCCGTTCAGAGCCGTCTTGCTCTCATACGGCCTGCTGTTGTGTGCAGGAGAGGAGAACCCCTTTTTCTTTCATTCACCCACGAGTTCCTCTCATTCCTCACAGCTCTTGTTGCTCACGACCTTGTTCTGTGATGCCATTAATCCCCATGCTGTTACTTCAATCCGTTGCAATCTCCCCCTCCTCCTCCACCCCTCTGGGCTTTGCCCCACACAACTGCTACACATCCCATCCCATCCACGCTTATGCTATTCAATCCATTTCCCCCACCCCTCTGAGCCTCCTATATGACACCCACCCACCACTCCACCCACCGTCATCCTCATCTTGTTCTCCCACAGGTACCTCTCAGACTCATCCCCCAGCGTGCGCTTCTTTGGGGGCATTCGCTTCGATGCAGAGGCTCCCACGGCGCATGAGTGGGCCCCCTTCGGCACCTTCCTCTTTCTCATCCCCCTCGTACGTCTGCCAGACTGTCTGATGCCTGCTCTAGGAGTGGAGTGGAGACGTGTCATACTGTCTCAGGAATTTTGGCACGTTTCTGTTCAACTTCATCCTTCCACCCCTCGTACTTACTCCCAGACTGTCTGCTTTTTCCAGCTCCCTTCCCACACCCAATTCTCTTCTCCTACAAATCCCCTCCACTCTCTCCCCTCGCATGCGTGCTCGCCCTTCAACCCACCATCTGCCGTGCAACCTTCACCCCACCCTCTACTCGTCCCTCACCCTACCCCACAGGTGGAGCTGCGGGAGTGTGAGGACTGCTGTGTGCTCGCGTGCCACGTGCTCTGGGACCCCTTCTTCCACCACACAGCAGAACCTGTAGACGCAGCACCAGCAGACGCAGCAGACGCAGCCCCAGCAGCAGAAGCAGCAGCGGCAGGAACAGCAAGGGGGACAGCTAGCTCTGTGCCCTGTGCGTCTCGGCATAGGCCAGCGGGTACTGTGTTGGAGGCAGTTGCAGCAGCTCGTCAGGCTCTGTCTCTGGTGAGGGCTGTTGAGTTGAAGTGAGTGAGGCAAACCTATCCTCACACGTTTTACAATCTTCACAGATGGAAACTTCCCAAAAAAAAAAAAAAAAAGAAACACAAGAACGGAATGTATTCTTCACAAGATTTACTCTTCCAGAGTTTTGATACCCAAACCCCTGCCCGAACCCTATCCCCTCCCCCCAATCCCTTATCCACATGTTCCCTCCCCAGGTCCGTCCCGTTTTCAGCACCCCCCATCCGCCGCGCATTTCAACACAAGTCACGTCCAAAGCAGTGGCACCAGACGAGTTACTATGGCACCTGGCTGTAGAGCGCACACTCCAAAGCCTGGGCCACAGAGACACACAGGGGGGCGATAGGGACGGGCGCGCGGGAGGAGCAGGGGACGCGGAGGGAGCATTGGGGGGAGAGATGGAGGGACGCGGGGAGGGAGGGGCTGGGGCGCAGAGTCAACAGAGCTGGGGGGATAAGCCGTGGATGCTTGAGCCGAGCCGGATCGACCAGATGCCGCTGTCTAAAGTGGTGATGGCTAGGCGCACTGCGTTGACCACTGTTGACCCTGTTGACCCAGTTGTGCTGCTGGGAGCTCTGCAGGTGAGTTTTGAGGCGCCTCTGTCTAGTGATGGCTAGACGCACTGTGCTGACCACTGTTGACCCGGTTGACCCGGTTGACTTGGATGTGCTGCTGGGAGCACTGCAGGTGAGGCGACACATGCGCATGCACTGTCGTGTGTGGTGTGGTGTGGTTGTGTTTGCTGTGGTATGGTTCTATGTTCAGAAAGACGCGTCCTGCGTCCTGGACGCATGCGTCCAGACCCAGAACGCTGTACCTGGACCTGTAAGACGCACCAAAAGACGCAAGCCCGGGCAGGGCAAAAAACCCCCGGGCAGGCAAAAAAAGGTTATAGGGCATGGGAAGAGAGGGGGGGAGGGGGGCGTTCCACACTTTCACGGCAAATTTGGCCCCAACAACAAATTTTTCCCCCAAATCTCAAGATTAAGGTGAGTCAAGCTACTAAGCTAAACCCTCTAGGGTTTTCGAAAGAGAATTGGGTGGGTGGGTTAAATGAGAAAGAACAAATGACTAGGATGAAAAGTTGGGGGGGCTGTTTTTCAATGTCGAATTGGGCAAGGGGGATCGAAATGTCGCGATTTCGACAGTCGCGTCGAAATCGCGAATGTGCATTTCGCGATCTGGATTTTTTTTTTTCGGGCAGCCCGGAAAAAAATCCGATGTGCGTCCTGCGTCTGGACGCGCGTCCTGCGTCCGAGCGTCCAGACGCAGGACGCAGCGTTCCCCCAGCGTCTTTCTGAACATAGGTATGGTTTTGCTTGGTGCAATTTGGTGTGGTGTGGTGTGGCTCACTACTAATCTTTCCTTTTTTTCTGTCCGTCCTCTCATCCCCTTCTCCACACTGTAACTCCCCACCACTCTTAACTCGCGCCGTGTATTCACCAAACCTTCATCCATCCATCCACCCATTCCTCCATGCACCCATGAATGCATCAGGCAAGGGATCCCAGCGCCTTCCAGTTTCTCCTGGAGCCCCATGCAGGCTGCGCCTTTGTCTCTTCCACGGTCCGTCCCTTCCTCCCTTCTCGCTCACCTCCTCTCATGTTCCCTTCCCGTTTGCCCATCGCCCTTCGCCATCTCCCCTTCCCTCTTCCCCTTTCGCCCTTTCCCTTTCGCTCTTTCCCCTTCCCCCTTCCCCCTTCCCCCTTCCCCCTTCCCTTTTCGCCCTTCCCCCTTCCCCTTTTGCCATTCGGCCTTTCACATGTCTCGAACCTTCGTCTGCCCCACAATCTCCCCCTTTCGTCCTGCTCTCATGTTCCGTTTCTGTTTCCCCTCCCACTTGCACAAGCTCTCCTACTCTCGCAAACACACACAGTCTTCGTCTCACATCAACCTTTCCATTCGCCCATTTTCCTCCTCTCCACCTCTGCATTGCTACTCCCCCTCAACCCCTTTGAAACATCCTCCACACCCCTCGCTTCCTGCAAAAACCCGTCCCCCTCTCAGCCTGAGCGTCTGTTTGCGCGCAAGGGCCTAGCGGTGACGAGTGAGGCAGTAGCGGCGACACGAGCAAGAGCACAGGCACCAGCAGAAGACCACAGCATTGCCCTCGGCCTGCTGCTCAGGTGCGAGCGGTGGTGTGGTCTGGAGTGGTGTGGAGCGGTGTCAATGCACTATGATGTGGTTTTTCCCCTTCCCTCCCCACACCCGTAACCTGTTGTTCCTGGTCATTCTCTGTCGTATGCTTATCATTCCCCGTCGTGCCCTGTCCCCACTCCCTACTTTTTTTCCAATCCAGCAACAAGGATCATGAGGAGTTTGAGATCGTGAGGGAGAGCGTGCACAGACATCTAGCAGTAAGCTCCATGTTCCTCTAGAGTTGATGCAAGAATCAGTTATCACATCCTGTTGTTTGTCTATGGGTGAATGCAAGTGCACGTGGGTCGTTGCATGTGCGCATGTTTGCTTTTTGCATGTGTTTGCCCTATGTGCAGCAGCAGACGTGATTTTGTACGTGCCACGAGTTTGTGTCACTAGTTGATGTCTTTCTGTGCAACCTGCCATCCAATGGGTGCTTCTGCGTGTGTGTATGTGACTGTGTGTGCGTGCATGTGTGTGTCGTGTGTGCCTTCTGGCACGTTAAATGTGTGCATGTGTGGATGTGTGCGTGGATATGCATGCCTCCGTGTGTGCATGTGGGCATGACTAATGACCCAACGCACACAGGGTGTGTGTGAGAGCGTGTGTGTGGAGGAGTACAAGCGGATCATATCACAGCACAGGGTGCAGCACCTCTACGCACGCATCAACGGCCGCCTCTTCAGCACAGCAGGCGAGGTCAGCTACCTGTTATGGCTTGCCTTGCCGTGCCTTACAAGGCAACACTTCCACACTGCAGGAAGGAAGGATCGGTTACCTTACCTCTTTGAGCATTCTCAAGCGTCACCTTGTTTCGACCACGAATATTGTCAGCATGCTCGTCTTTGGCATTCACATGCAGTGAAACGGGACCCTCAATCGCAGCTTACGCCTTCCCCCTCTTCCCCCCTCTGCACCCCTCCCTGCCAGTTCAACCTGCTGACCTCACTGCACCCCACGCCAGCTGTGGCCGGGCATCCACAGAAGCAGTCCCAGGAGTCTATCCGCTTCGCAGGTGCGCTCAGAAGTTTACAATCTCAGATGTTCTATGGGCTTGATTGAGAAAACGGGTCTGCTCAGTTCTTTCAATCAAGCCCATACCCGTTTTCTCTCCCGTATCTGTGCTCTCAACAGTGGTCAGACACCCTTTTTTTAGCGCAATTTGGAAACCCACCCTTTCATTCAGTACTGATCCTACCCCCCTCCCCCCTCACCTACCCTTGTCCATTCTCCCATCTCCGCCCTCACTTTCCTTTCATCTCCCTTCACCTTTCCCACCCCCAGAGTCCTTCGACCGAGGCCTGTATGCCGGACCTGTGGGGTGGTTCAGCGCCGATGCCTCGGAGTTTGCCGTGGGCATCCGATCCGCGCTCGTCCAATCAGGAGCCAGTATGGCGCCGTGGGAGGGCCAGCCTGGGAGCATGGATGCAGAGAGAGTAGAGGACCAAGGAGAGGGGCAACGGGAGAGCGGGAGGAGGGGTGGTGGGCGAGTGTTGCTGTATGCGGGAGTGGGGGTGGTGAAGGGTACAAAGGCGGCTTCTGAGTGGAGTGAACTCAACCTTAAGACTCGCCAGGTAAGTCCTGACCTGAGTCGACTTAAATTGAACGCATGGGCTGTGGGGGGAAGTGTGTTGCTGTATGCAGGAATGTGACTGATGAAAGGTGCCGAGGCTAATTCTGGCGGGAGTGCAGGGCGATAGGTAACGGGCGGAAAGGCGTTCGTATCATAAGGTCAGCCTCAGAGTTTCAGTCAGCCTATCAGCAACTGCATTTGCGCGCTTCTCCGATCCAATTTCCCTTTATCTCCATTATTACTCCCCCCTCCTTCAGTTCGAGGCGCTGTTAGGGGGAGCGCCTGTTCCTGTTCCTGGGAGGGGCTCATCTGGGGAAGTTGGTGCTGCTGGTGTGGGAGGTAGAGTGGATGGACGCGGAGGAGAGGGGGCAGGAGCAGGGGCAGCAGCAGGAGGAGCAGCAGGTGGGGGGGCAGTAGCAGGCGGGCAGGTGGATTTGGAGGGCCAGCCGAATATTAACTTTGTGTGGTGTCGCATGGCTGTGGAGGAGTGTGTTCGCCTTGGGATCACGGTGGGTGGGTGGGTGCATGGCTGAATGATGTGTCACTCCCACAAGGACACGCACACGCACACCCATGGTGTGCACACACATGCACACATCCACATGCCCACGCAACGCACACGGATGGACACACAAAAATGCATGCACCCACACACCCATGCATAACCACAGAAAGCCTATCAGTTTCACACAGTTGCATGCACCCTCCTCCACTCTGTCCTCCTTCCCATCACTCCCTCCATACTTCCTTCCCTCCACACTCCCAATCCCGCTCACCTCCACACTCCCTCCCACTCTCACCCCTTCGCCCCATCTCTCATTCACTCAATACTTCTGCATAGCACCGGGGTCGCGCTCATCCCCGCTCGCCATAGCAGCGGCCACCAATCCGCTCGTCACCACCGCGGTGGCCATAGACGAGCGCTCCCTCGCCTTCCACGCCCTCACCCACGCCCATCCATGCGCCCGCCCATGGCCCTGTGGTTCTTGAGGCGCTTTGAATGCCTTCTCCCCCACATTCCCCGCCACCTTCCCTCACATGCTCCCTCACTCCCCTCCACACCCCCGCACACTCCCCGTCCTCAGTACTTCTGCATAGCGCCGGGGTCGCGCTCGTCCCCGCTGTCCATAGCAGCGGCCACCAATCCGCTCGTCACCACCGTGGTGGCCATTGACGAGCGCTCCCTCGCCTTCCACGCCCTCGGCTACGCTCATCCATGTGCCCGCCCATGGCCCTATGGTTCTTGAGCCGCTTTGAATGCCTTCTACCCCACATTCCCCGCCACCTTCCCTCACATGCTCCTTCACTCCCCTCCACACCCCCGCACACGCCCTGCCCTCAGTACTTCTGCATAGCACCGGGCTCGCGTTCATCCCCGCTCTCCATAGCAGCGGCGACCAATCCGCTCGTGACCACCGTGGTGGCCATAGACGAGCGCTCCCTCGCCTTCCACGCCCTCGGCTACGCCATGGCCGCCCGCCGCCCTGCTGCCATCATCACGTCTTCTGGGACTGCTGTCTCCAACCTCCTACCCGCTGTAAGCCACTGCCCTTTTCTCCTGCTGTAACTGCGCCGCTCCGCTGCCATCGTCACCACCGTGGTGGCCATAGACGAGCGCTCCCTCGCCTTCCACGCCCTCGGCTACGCCATGGCCGCCCGCCGCCCTGCTGCCATCATCACGTCTTCTGGGACTGCTGTCTCCAACCTCCTACCCGCTGTAAGCCACTGCCCTTTTCTCCTGCTGTAACTGCGCCGCTCCGCTGCCATCGTCACCACCGTGGTGGCCATAGACGAGCGCTCCCTCGCCTTCCACGCCCTCGGCTACGCCATGGCTGCCCGCCGCCCTGCTGCCATCATCACGTCTTCTGGAACCGCTGTCTCCAACCTCCTCCCTGCTGTGAGCGATCCTCTACAAATCCTTATCTGCCTGCCCTTGCTGTAAGCTCCATTCCAGCCGTGGCTCCTTAGCACTCGCCCTGCTGCCATCATCACCTCCTCCGGAACCGCCGTCTCCAACCTCCTCCCTGCTGTGAGCACTCCCTTTCTTTTCTTGTTTTTGTCGGCCTGGTGCTGTGCTGTGCTGTAAGCTGGTATGCCTTGTTCCGGCTGTTCCATCTGCCCCACCTGCCCCACCTGCCCCTGCTGTGAGCCACTCTACCCGTGGACCCCACCCCATACCGATACCGCCCTGCGGCCATCATCACATCATCTGACCCGGAACTACTGTTGCGCAGTTTTCATGCGCTGAGCTTAAGCCACCCACCTCCCAGCTGCGACCCGTTCGTCTTCCTTCCTGCCTATCCCTGCTGTAAGCTGCCTTCGCCCTCACGCCCCCTCTTGCCACCCACAACCGCTTACCACCCCTCTGTGCACCTGCTACAACCAATCTCCTCCCTATGGACCATCCCAGGTGGTGGAAGCGAGTCAGCAGCACGTGCCGTTGCTCGTGCTCACAGCCGATCGACCCGCAGAGCTGCGGGATACAGCAGCAAACCAGACCATCGACCAGGTGCCAACCCCATCCTCCTGCACCCATACCTGCTCGGCCTCTCCCTTCCTCTTCTCTCTCTTTTTCCCCTTTCTTGGTCTCTCGTTCCCTCTCTCTAGCTATTTCAGCACCTTATTTCATTGCTGCCTCCACCTCCACACGCCATCCGAACAAGCAAGCCCATTATCCCCTCCCTGTTTGATTCTTGTCTGCTCGTCCATCTCTATCTCTCTGCGCGCTTCAGGTGCACCATTTCGGGACCTTTGTTCGCTATCACGCTGATGTTCCTGCACCTTCTGACAAGGTCCCTGCCAGGTCTGCCTCTCCTCTCCTCTCTTCACTTCTATTCTTTCCTCTCCTCTGGAATTCGAAGTGTCCATGGCTCAGAACGGTCCCCCTGTTCTCCCCCTTTTCTCTCACGTAACCCTCAGCCCATTCTTCCCACCCTCTCCCACTCACCTCCCCTTCCTCCTCCCCCTCCCATCCCAACCCACCAGGTTCGTCCTCACCACTATCGACACCGCTGCCTTCCGAGCCTGTGCCGAGCCTCCAGGCCCGGTGCACCTCAACTGGCAGTTCCGGGAGCCTCTGGCGCCCAGCCCACAGCCCTGGAACCGAACCTGCCTGGCAGGCTTGCACCGTTGGCAAACCTCTGTGCTGCCCTTCTCACAACCGCTTAGCATGACCACTACTGGTGCTGCTGTTGCTGCTGCTGTTGAGGCTGATTCCTTTGTTGCTTCGCTCCCTACTTCTGCTCTGCGTCGCCTCGGTCAGCCTGCTTCTCTGGGTGCTGGTGTGACAGCAGGAGCAGTGATGGGGACAGGAGCAGAGGGAATGGGAACAGGAATGGGGAACACTGCGACTGGCATGGGTATTAACAGGGAAACGGGCATTGGCAACAGCACGAGCAGCACGAGTATGCTTACTCTAAGCGCAGAGTTCCAAGACGTGCTGTCTATTCTGCGCTCAGCCAAAGGCGGCATCATCCTGGTGGGCAGTCTGCCGTCCCCGCGCGACGCGTGGGCAGCCTCGCTCGTCTGCAAGTGCCTGCAGTGGCCGGTGGCTGCTGATGCACTGTCTGGGCTGCGAGTGTGGAGACCACAAAGGGGGAGTGGGGGAGGGAGAGGAGGAGGCGGAGGCGGAGAGGGAGGAGGAGGAGTGGGAGGAGGAGGAGTGGCGGCGAGTGGGTGCGGGGGAGAGAGTGGTATGGTGGGGGCATTCTTTCTGGATCATGTGTTGCTGGATAAGGGCGCAGCTGAAGCTGTGGCTCCTGATGTTGTGCTGCAGGTGAGAGGGTGGCAGGTGCATGGCAGGTGTTGGTGGGTGACAGGGGCATGGCAGGTGCAACTGGAGGGATGCCTGTGGGTGAGCTCTGAGACTTCACGAATAGGTGACAATCCAGAGCACCGCATGATCGTCTTGGAATCGGAGCTATCGCTACCGTGGGAAGTAGTTCTTTGAACCTTAGACCTGAAAATTCCCAGCTCGAAACTCTAAAGCCGAAACTCAGACGCAAAAGATTTTAACCAAATTCTTTTTATCCATGTCTCATAACTGTGACCCCATTGTCCATTCCTTTTTTCTCCTCCTTTCAGCTAGGAGGCCCTCTGGTGGGCAAGAGACTCCCAGGAATGGTAGAAGCAGCAGCCACTGCTCCTCCCTCCTCCTCCTCGCACCCCTTCCGCGCATATGTCCTCGTGAACCCCTCCCCTCGCCGCATCGACCCGGCCCATGCTGTCTCGCACCGCCTCCACATGCCTCTGCCTGCCTTCGCCTCTGCTCTCGCAACTGCTCTCCCGTTCATGGGGCGAGCAGGGAGCGTGGGAGACGGAAGGGGAGGAGGGAGAACGGGAGGGGATGGAGAGTGGAGAGGAGAGGAAGAGAGGGATGGGGTTGAGGAGGATGGTATGAGGCATGCAGCTCTGGTGGAGTTTCTTTCCGATGCGGTGGGTGTGGATAAGCGCGTATGCCTGCGTGCACGCAATGGCAGGCAGGCACATATGCATGCACAGCACATTTCATGGTCCACAGGCATGTAACTCACGCCAGTGTCTCATTGTTCCAAGTCTTGCTTTACGATTCCCATTTTATGCGGAGCCCCTCCTAAACTTCACCATCATCAATGCCTGAGATTTCGCCTGAGAGATTGCCTTCACCCCCCAACCCCTTCATCCCAGGTTGGCAAAGAGCTTTCCCTGGCTCTAAACTTCCCTTCCCAAGTACCTGACGAGGCATGGGTAGCTCGCACGGTGGCAGCATCGCTGCCGGACGGCCATGCCCTGTTCCTGGGAAACAGCATGCCCATCAGAGACATCGACATGTACGCTGCTGCTCCCTCCTCCATCTCCTTCTCGTCTCATCAACACTCGCACCTGGCTTCTGCTGCTGGTGGCGCTGGTGAAAATGCTGCTGGTGCTGATGGTGCTGCATCAGCGGAGAGGTTTCTGGGGACGTGGGAGGAGGGCGGTGGGGAGAGAGTGTGGGGCGGGGTGCGAGTGGCGGGGAACCGCGGGGCCAGTGGGATTGACGGAGTGGTCAGCACGGCTGTTGGCTTTGCAGCTGGCATACAGCAACCGGTGAGCATGCTGCATTTCGCATGCTGCGTGCTGCGTGCTGCGTGCTGCATGCACATGGGCACGATGCACGATGTCCATTCACACTGTCCACTGCAGGCTGCAGGCTGCATTTCGCGTGTTTCTTGTCCCCCTGTGCTATGCTCTGCTGCAACCGTGCTGTTTCTCCGTGCTGCCCTGCCCTGCCCTGCCCTGCCCTGCCCTGCCCTGCCCTGCCCTGCCCTGCCCTGCCCTGCCCTGCCCTGCCCTGCCCTGCCCTGCCCTGCCCTGCCCACCCTGTCCGCTTCCAGGTGTCGCTGCTGATCGGTGACGTGTCTTTCCTGCATGACTCAAACTCGCTGGCTCTCCTCTCCGCTGCCAGGTATGTGTGTGTTGCGTATGGACCTATGCCAGCACAGGGGCATGCTGTGCTTGCCCTGCTGAAAAGCCTCACTGTGAAGCATTCCTTTTACCACTTATGCAGCAGTCCCTCGTGCTTGTGTGCTGTTTATTCATCCATCTTCCCATCCCATCCTCATCCCCTTCCCTCGGTCCATGCATCAGGTCAGGGCAGCCCCCAGTGACAGTGGTGGTGGTCAACAACGGCGGGGGTGGCATCTTCAGCCTCTTTAGAAGCGCCTCCATTACCTCCATAAAAGAATCATCCTTCCCCCATCCCATCCCCCCTCCCCTCCGTGCATCAGGTCAGGGCAGCCCCAGTGACAGTGGTGGTGGTCAACAACGGCGGGGGTGGCATCTTCAGAACAAACCCCTTCCACACCCTTCCTCTCCCCTCCCCTCCACGCATCAGGTCAGGGCAACCCCCGGTGACAGTGGTGGTGGTGAACAATGGGGGAGGAGGCATCTTCAGCCTGTTGCCAGTGGCAGGCACGTTGGACTCGCACGTCTTCTCAGAGCTCTTCTCCACGCCGCACCAAGTGCAGCTGCACCACCTCTGCAAGGCGCACAGGTCAGTTCGTTAGTGGCTCAGAGCATTATCTCGACAATGGTATGGTATGGTTCATCTGTTGGCTGGCTTGTGAGGGTCTGAAGCAGTGCACCATGTGTATGCTCATGCTCATGAACATGGAGCACACGTTGCTCTCTGAGCTCTGCTCCCGCCCCCTCTCTCCCGTGCTTTCTCCCCTCCCTCCCTCCCTCCCCTCAGAGTGGCGTATTTCCGAGCAACCACGCGCACATCCCTCCTCGCATCCCTGCAGGCAGCGTGGGCCACGCATCGCCATGCAGTGGTGGAGGTGCACGCGCCCCCCATCCACCTCAACGTCCTCTCCCACCGCCTCCTGCAGGCCGCTGCTCGGGCCGCTGCTGCTGCTGGCAGTGCTGCTGCCCCTTGCTCTCCCTCCCGCTGTTCCAGCACTAGGAAATAGGCGTGCCACCTGTTTCCCCCTTGCCCTTCCCCTCCCAATTTCCCCCTTCCCCCCTCAGAGTGGCGTATTTCCGGGCGACCACGCGCACATCCCTCCTCTCATCCCTGCAAGCAGCGTGGGCCACGCACCGCCATGCAGTGGTGGAGGTGCACGCGCCGCCCATCCACCTCAACGTCCTCTCCCACCGCCTCCTGCAGGCCGCTGCTAGGACCACTGCTGCCCGGGCCCTCTCACTGTTCCAGCGCCAGATGGAAAGGAGCACTGGGTTGGAAGGAGAGAGGGGTGAGGCAGGGGAGGGTGTTGGGAGACGAAGTGGGTCTCTATTTGTGGCGGAGACGAGTATTGAACGAATCAGGTGAGTGGAAGAACAGGGTACGGGGAAGGGGAAAAGAAGGGGAGGACGGGAAGGAGAGGCGTTGGGTGAGAGATGGAATGGGTGCCGAGCAGAGCATTTTGCTTGGGATTTGGAAGGTCTGAGCTGTTAGCATGCTGTTTTTGACTTACTTGGTTGGTTTTGTCTTTCCCCCCTTGTTCCCTCCCTCCCTTCCCTTGCCAAGCAAGTTTATCATTTCTCCCTTGTTCCCTCCCTCGCCTTTCTCTCAATGCCGCATACACGCTCAGTTCCATTCCCTCCCGTTCCCTTCAAAATCCATTCCGTCCGTCACATTGCTCCACAACAGCCTCCCTACCCTCACCTCCTATTCACTTCCTCCTGTCTCCCTCCCACTTCCCTCCTCTCCGTCTTCACTGCCTCTCCCGTCTCCCGCCCCTTGCTTCTTACCAGGGTTGTCCTGAGGGAGCCCCCAACGTCAGTGGCTGTGTCTGGGGCAGCACTGTCGCAGTCAGAGAGAGAGGGGTTGCTGCTGCACGTGCGGCTGGAAGGGGGGGGGCTGGGCACAGGCGAGGTAGGTTGAGAATTCTCAAAAATCACTCGCAAGGAGCGGGTGGTGAAATGGTGAGGATAGGGTGACAGGGTTCGGGTATAGGGTTTGATTGATGGTCCTGTGATTGGGTGGAAAAGAGGGGGGTTCTGGGCACAGATGGCATAGGGGAAGAGGCGTGGGTGAGCAGAGGGGTGGTGTGGAAGGTGTTGTGGGTGGGGTTGGTCTCAATATTACCATCAGCTTCTTGAGCCCTACTAACAAAACCCTTCAACCCGTCTTGCAGGTTTCCCCCTCCCTCCCGGGTCTGATTCCGGAATTGCTCCTAGACGCGCATGAACAGCTGTGCTTGCGCTCACGCAACTGTGCTCCCTTGTTCTTCCTGCAATGCTCCCCGGAACCTTCCCCCATCCCGCAGGTAGACATGATCAATCGAGGCGAGTTTTAGCTCGACTCGCTGGCTCGACTCGACTTTAGGTCGAGTCGAGTCAGTTATTTTATTTTCCTGACTCGAGTAGAGTCGAGTCGAGTCGAACTGAGGAGAAATCTCGATGCATCGCCCGACTCGACTATGGACAGTCTGGTGAGCCACGAGTCGGCGAGTCGGCTGACTCGATTCGAGCTGGCCTGACTCGAGGGCCACCAACTTTATCCACGTGGATTCCCTTTGTCAATTCCCCCTCCTTTCCTCATGCAATTTCTCCCGTCACCGAATTCCTGACCATCACTCAATTTCCGCTTGACTAGCAAATCTTCCTTGACACTCAATTTCCGCTCGACATGCAAATCCCCCCCCCAACACTCAATTTCCGCCTGTCACACATCAAATTCCCCCGACACCCAATTTCCGCCTGTCACGCAACTCCCGACTCGACCGCGATTCGAGGTGACTCGGCTCGACTCGACTCGTGATCATGTCTACCCGCAGGTCTCCCCTCTCCCGGGCCTGCATCCAGAGTCACTCCTAGACACGCCCGAGCAGCTGTGCCTGCTCTATCTCATGTGTTTACAGTAAACTCACAAACATGCCCACACCATACCCTCATCCCGCAGGTCTCTCCTCTCCCCGGTCTGCATCCAGAGTCCTTCCTAGACGCACACGAGCAGCTGTGCCTGCTCTCCCGCAATTCTTCTCCTGTTATCTTTGCGCTTTCTCCCTGGGCCTTCCCCCTCATCGCACAGGTCTCTCCTCTCCCAGGCCTGCATCTAGAGTCTCTCCTAGACGCACACGAGCAGCTGTGCCTGCTCTCACACCGCCTCCCAGGCCTCGCCCTGCCACTCTCCCTGCCGCTGCTCAACGGCTCCTTCTCCCTCTGGGTCTGGCACACTCTCGGCATTCAGGTGGGAACAGTCTCACTGCTCATGCAGGACTGAGGTTGCTTTGGAGGCGTTTCAGAGTCATTTTTAGAGTCTAGATGCACAAGAGCAGTTTCGCCTGCTCTTGCCCTGCCGCTCTCCCTGCCACTGCTCAGCGGCTCCTTCTCCCTCTGGGTCTGGCACGCTCTCGGCATTCAGGTGCAAATGGTTGCCGGATCGTCGCTGCAGCTTCTTTTACTGTCTCTCCTCCACCGATACCCCTTTCCAAAGCGCTTCACCCAGCTCTTCTACCCTCACACACACCCGTTTGCTCCCTTCCCACCTTCCACATGACCCTTCTCCCACCCCCTCTCTCTCTTCCTCCTTTTCTTCTCACTGAACTTCTGTTCTCTCCCATCCGCCCGCCCGCCCACCCACCCATCCGTCTAACCCCCGACACACCCTGCCCCCCTTCCCCCCCTCTCTCCCAAGCAGCCAGCATCGCTATACTCCAGTGTGAGGGCTGGTCTGGAGGCCGCATGTCTCTCTGCCCTAGCAGCTGCCCACAACACCTCCCTCTCCCACCTCCTCTCGCAATCCCCTGCTTCTCCTCCTGCCACTACTACTCCCCCTCCTCGTTCAATTCTGCTCCCCCCTCCTCAAAAACAACCCCCCGAGCCGACCCACCGGGTGCGAGTGCGGTGCTGCGGGTTGCTGGACGGTTCCAGGGGGACCATTCCCTCGGTGGCCCGCGCAGCAGCGCACCTCGTGCACTCCCTCGGCTTCACCGCCCTCAAAATCAAAGTAGCCAGGCGCGCTTCCCCAGCAGAAGACGCCGCAATGGTGCTTGCGGTCCGAGAGGCAGTAGGCCCTAGAGTCCACATCAGAGTAGACGCGAACCGAAGCTGGTCGTTGTCGCAAGCTGTGGAATTCGGACGGCTAGTAGCACCCTGCAATGTGGCGTTTATAGAAGAACCAGTGTCGAATCTTCATCTCCTTCCCGAGTTCTACCAAGCCACAGGTCTCCCGTTCGCTCTGGACGAATCTCTAGACGACGCGCTTCTGCTCCCGCCTTCCCACGACACTCCCACTCTCGCGCTTCCCTCTTCTCTCGATTGGTCCGGCCTGGCAGCGGTCGTTGTGAAGCCGTCTAGACTGGGCGGCATGGAGGCGGCGGCAGTGGTGGCGAGATGGGCGACGTTGCTTGGCGCGGAGTGTGTTGTGAGCTCGTCGTTTGAGTCCCGGCAGGGGCTCGCTTCGCTCTGCCACTTTGCTGCTTTCCTCGACACGCACCCGTTCCCTTCCCCGCAGCCGCAAGCACAGGATGCTGGTGCGTTGAGTTCCCCTGAGTCTCCTCCTGGGTCTCCCACTGCTGTCGCTCATGGGCTAGGTACTTTCCAATGGCTTGTGGATGGATCAGCAGGGGAGGAGGAGGATGGGGAGAGGGAGGGGGAGGGGAAGGGGGAGGGGGAGGAGGAGGTGGGGGAGGGGGGGGTGGAGGGAAAGGGTGAAGAACAGGACAGGGAAGAGTGGAGAAGTGCGTATGCAGAAGGAGTGGATAGGTTTTCCCATTCTCCTCCTCTCTTGGTTGATGAGAGGAGTTCAGATGGTCAGCTTGGCGTGCTGCTTTCTGCGCGTTCCGATGTTGGCGGTGCCAGTGGGATGCTGACACGTGGAGTGCTTGCCACGTCAGATGCAGCTGCTGTTGCTGGTCCGGAAGGGGGGAGAGCTGTTGGAGCAGAAGGGGAGAGTGCTGCTGCCAGTGCTGAAGACGCAACGATTGGGATACAGGCAAAATCGTTGACAAATCTGGCAGCAGCGATAGCACCAGCAGCAGCGGTACAAGCAGCATCAGTAGGTGCAGCAAGAACTGCAACGTGGGAGGAACGAAGAGAAACAGTGGCGCTAAGCAACGGGGGAACTGTCGAGTTCAACATCCTCGTGACACCCTCCCCACACTCCTCCTCCACGTACCCTCCGCTCTCTCCCTCCGGACCGTCTCTCCCACCCGCCACCCCCCCACCAACTCTCGTCTTCCTGCACGGTTTCCTTGGCTCGCATGTGGACTGGCTTCCCCTCGCCAACTCCCTCTCTCTCTCCTTCCCTTGCGCCCTTATTGATCTTCCCGGCCATGGTTCCACCACTGTCGCCCTCCCTGCACATCCCACCACCGCACTGCACCCATCGCCGCCAGCCTTGTCGTTTGAAGAAGCAGCATCTGCTCTTGCATCCCTGCTTGCCCGTCTGTTAGAAACCCCAGCAGCACAGCAGCAGCAGCAGCAGCAGCAAGGAAAGGTGGTGCTTGTGGGATACTCCATGGGGGCTCGTCTCGCCCTCTACTTAGCTCTCCGCTATCCACATCTGGTGAGAGAACAAAAGGATAGTCTTGAGGCCTGGGGATCATAATCATTTGTACTTGAGGCCTGCCCACTATCTGATTTCTGGACCAAGGCGCGCGCCTGGACCAGGGTGCGCGCGTGGACGCGTGGACCAAGGCGCGCCCGTGGAGCAAGGCGCGCGCCTGGACCAAGTCGCGCGCGCCGCCCAAGTCGCGCGCGGACCAAGGCGCGCCCGTGGTCCATTGCGCGCCCGCGTGGACCAAGTCGCACGTGGGACCAAATTCTTGTGGCCCTCGAAGTTCTTCTCGTCTTTCTTGTCTGTCTCCTCACCGTGTGAGACAACGAAGACCACAGCCCGCCCACTACATCCCTCGTACATCCCATCTCCACTCTCATCCTTCTCGGATCCATGCACTCCCCTCACACCCTTGGCATGCCCGCGCCCTGTTCTCGCAGGTCTCGTCAGCGGTCGTCATATCGGGAAGCCCGGGGATTAGAGAGTTTTGTGACGTCACACGCCCTCACATGCCCTTGCACTGATCTCGCAGGTCTCGGCAGCGGTCGTCATATCGGGAAGCCCGGGGATTAGAGAAGCGGCTGCGCGTGCTTCTCGTGCAGAGAGTGACGATTCGCTGGCAGCAGTGCTGACGGCTGGTGGGCTGGAGCAGTATGTTCACTCGTGGTACCAGCAACCACTGTGGGCCAGGTGAGTGATTCATAACCTTTTTCCTTGAAGATTTGGTGTTGTAACTGCGTCTGAGAGATCTCAAAAAAAAAGCTTTGACATATCTTGTTGTGACCTGGAGCAGTATGGTCACCTGTGGTACCACCAACCACTGTGGGCCAGGTGAGTCAGTCAACTGAGTCACTGCTGTGGAGACAGGATGATTCTAGGTTGGAGGCATTATTACTTCTGGGTAGTGCTTCTGCCGTGCATTCATATTTTCACATGAGCGTGCACGTGAGTCCATTCTCCCATACCATGCTTGCTTGCAGCTCATAAAACCACCCAGTACTAAATACCCTCCACCGTGTTGACATGACAATTCTCTCCCTCTCTCTCTTCCTCCTACCCTCCCATCAGCCTGCGCGCCCACCCATGCTTCCAGCCCATGCTCGCCCGCCGTTTCGCCTCCTCTCCCTCCGCCTCTCCTGCTTCTCCCCCCACTGACGGTGCCAGTCCACCCATGGTGGTGTTTCCTGGGGGCACGGAGGCAGGCCTGGCCATGGCTCTCCGAGGTCTCAGCACCGGAAGACAACCGTACGTTCTGAGTTGACGCTTTCAGCACTTGGTTTTTAGGTTCCAGGTTTCCATTCTTCAGTTCTCGGTTTCCCTAGCTTCCTGTTTTGCGCTGCATACCGTCTCTGCTGTATCGCTCTTCTGAGTCGCCTGAATGCTCTCAGTGAGGCTCACAGAGGACTACGCACTGAGCACTGGGAACACAACCCTGCGCTTTGAGCTTGCATGACCGGGCATTTCTTTCCTTTGGAAAAAAAAAAAAACAAAACAAAACAAACAAACAAACAAACAAACAAACAAACAAACCAACCATCTGCGCAACTCCTTCGAGCCACTTTTCCTTCTTAACACCTGCAGGTCTCTCTGGGACGAGCTGACCACGTCCTCCACGCCACTGCTGCTCGTGGCTGGCTCCCTCAACCCCAAGTTCGCCAATCCAGTCATGCCCCATATGCTACGAGGCGTCTTGGCAGGCCCTATCACCATTTCATCCCCATATGTGCCCACCTCCCTCCCCCTCTCTCCTCTCCGTCCGCAGGTCTCTCTGGGACGAGCTGACCACGTCCTCCACGCCGCTGCTGCTCGTGGCTGGCTCTCTTGACTCAAAATTCGTCTCCATCGCCCACCAGATGAGCACCGCTGCAGCTGCCCCTGCAGCCGCAGCAGCAACAGCAGCAACAGGAATCAGCAGCGACCGAGTCAGCTCCTTGCAGCAGGAGCTGCAGCAGGTGCAGCAGGAGCAGGGTGGGCAGGAAGAGGAGCAGGGTGGGCAGGAAGAGGAGCAGGGGGGCGGGAAGAGGAGCAGGAGCTTTTCTTCCCACCTGGTTCTCCTGTGGAGAGCCGAGACTCTGACTTTCCTTCTCTCTCAACCTGCCTAGTGTTGCCGCGTTCAAATCTGCTATCCTGGGAGGGCAGGCGTGGGAGGAGGAGGAGGAGCAGTACGAGGGGGACGTGGTGGGGGAGGGGGACGATTTTGAAGAGGAGATTGGGTTGAACGGGAGTGCGGGTGGGAGTGGTGGTGGGGGTAGTGGGAATCAGCGCAGCAGCAGGTTTGATGGTGCGTGGGCGGCAGATATGAAGCGCGTGCATCTGGAGGAATCCTTGGGTGCTACTCCTGGTAAGCATGGGGTATCATGGGTTATCATGGGTTATCATGCGTAGCATGTAGCAGGTGTCTGTGTCACACACAAGCTCTGTACCTTCTGTCATTTCTACTTATGTGCTCCCTCCTTCAAACATACCTCCCCTCGCCACCATTTGTCGGTTCCTCCCTTTTCCTCTTTTCCCATCCACCCTCACTCAGGTATGCCCTCTCCAGAACCCTCCACTAAGGACAAGGCATCGATGCTCCCAATAGCAGCAGCCAAGGCTGTTCTTGAAACGGGTGGTGCTGTGAATGTGGCAAAAGTGGAAGGAGCAGGCCATGCTATTCATGAAGAGAGGCCCGAGGCACTGCTACCACTTATCCGCCTGTTCGCATCGAATGGTAGTCAGGCTAGTGCGGAGTAATGATTTTCATGCATTCGTTAAATTTGGGAATGATACCAGAAATATTATCTTACGCGTCTTTATATGCGTTTGGTGGACCCACTTTATCCAAAATTGTAGAAGACAGAAGTGTGTTCACGTCCCTTATTTGTTTGAAGTCATGTAGAGATTTCCATCTGCACTTTCTCGTTGTATCGAATCAGAAAGAATCCGAATCAAGAATCAGAATGCAATCTGCTCTCACGAGAATCTCGTCTCGTCTCGACATTTTTCAGTAGAAACCAAGTATTTCCCTTCCCCACCTCCCTTCCTACATTTCGCACGGCAGCCTTCAGCCATTCCGCTTCCTTTCCGCTCGCCGCCTTCCGCCTGCCGCGTCCTTCTCCGCATTCTTAGTCTTTTTCCGCGGAAAGCGCTTTCCGCCCAATGGCGGCCGCTTCCTCACTCTGCTCCCCGCGTTTCGCGGCATTGGATTCGGCGCGCATTGCCCCGCGCGCCTCCCCGCGCAATGGGGCACGTGCCATTGCCCGCACGCAGCATGCTCTTGCGTCACTTCCCGTATCATCTTCATCCGCTTTCTGCCAAAGACTTTCCGCGCACGGGTTGAATCCGCACGCAGCGGGGAAAACTCTAACTGGCGGAAGCGCGCAATGGAAAGAATCCGCTTCTTCAACGCGCTTTTCCCCGCGCCTTTCCCCCACCCTCCGCGTATCCGCATCCGCGCGCCCGTCCGAGGGGAATGTCGCCCTTCCAGCCATCCGGTTCCGCCCAGCCGTTCCCGAAGACATGGGAACGATCCAACGGCTGGTGTTGTCTGAATTGTAATGCGCCTTATCTGTGCTGGCTGCATTCACTTGGTTGGTCTTCTATTTTTGCATTTATTCAACCACCATTCAGTCACCCGTTTCTCACTCACACACTCACTCACCCACTCACTCGCTCACTCACCCACATTCACTCATTCATCCATTCATTGCTTAATCTTTTTGTGGTTTTTTCAACCTTGTACTCGGAATGTGTGCGTTGTGAATCGATGAGCCCAATCCCCTAAGCACTAGTTGGGTTCCTCTAAGCACTCAAAGTGGTTTCGGAAATTATCGGGATCGAACACACAGCAAAATGCTTCGGGAGGTGGCGTGTGGACGGTGCAGCAGCGCTGAGCGCTGAAGCAGCGAAATGTCTTAGCGGCTAAGGGCGTGCGACTTGAAATGAAGATTGCCACTGGAATAAAAATCCCTCCCCCCTCCCCTCCTCTCCCCTTCACTTCGTCCCCACGAACCAAACAGCATGAATCCACTAAGCCTGGACGTCCGGCGGTTTGTGGTTGCAGAGGCAGCAGCAACAGCAGCAGCAGGGGCGGGAGCAGGAGAGGGGGGGGGGAAGCAGGGTGGCGACTGGTGGGTGTAGGGCAGATGAAGGAGTGGAAGAAAGAGGGTGAAGCAGGGACAGGGGCTGGGCCTCTGGTTGAGCTGAGGAGCCTCGTGGTGCTACCAGAAATGCGGTAAGACGTGGGGTTCATGGGGCCTGGAAATGAGAGCGCACTGATGAAGACACTGGAAACTATACTGGGGATGACCATAGTAAGGGCACAGGGAAAGAGGATGGCCTCGGCCCATGCCCATGCTCATGCCCATGCCCACGCCCACGCCCATGCTCATGCCCATGCCCATGCTCATGCCCATGCCCATGCCCATGCCCATGCCCATGCTCATGCCCATGCCCATGCCCATGCCCATGCCTTTGCCCACTCCCATGCCTCTGCCCTTACCCTGGTCAAATCTCTATTTCCCAACTCCTCTCTCTCTACCTCGCCCGCTCCGTCTCCCTGTGTCCTCCCTTTCTCTCAGAGGCCGTGGCATTGGGTACGTACTGGTATCAGAGCTGCTCAAGTCTGTGCAAGGCCGAGGCGCTGTATACTTGCTCACTATTGGGGCCAGGTGTGTTCCCCTAGTGAGGATGTAAGTGAGATTCCGTAGTGGGCACGCAATTGCAACTCTCTTTGACAGCCAGGAGGAGCATGGTGTGTTCTTCTCGCTCCGATCCCTCACGCTCTCCCTTCCCATCTCCACCTTTCAACC